TAATTTGGCCTTCCCGTTGAACTGTTTTGGCCTTCCCGTTGAACTGTTTTGTTTAATTTGGCCTTCCCGTTGAACTGTTTTGTTTAATTTGGCCTTCCCGTTGAACTGTTTTGATTAATTTGGCCTTCCCGTTGAACTTTTTTGATTAATTTGGCCTTCCCGTTGAACTGTTTTGGCCTTCCCATTGAACTGTTTTGTTTAATTTGGCCTTCCCGTTGAACTATTTTCATTAATCTGGCCTTCCCGTTGAACTGTTTTGTTTAATTTGGCCTTCCCGTTGAACTGTTTTGATTAATTTGGCCTTCCCGTAGAATTGTTTTGATTAATTTGGCCTTCCCGTTGAACTGTTTTGATTCGATCGACACTGATAAGTCTGACAAAGACGTAAAGCAATGTCGACTTAGTGTAACAAATTATAAGCATGGTATCTTTGAAGAGTTTTTACAATCGCTGAGTTGATACCACTGTATGTGGATCGTAGACATCACCAGCCAAGTAGTCAGTTACAATCGCTGAGTTGATACCACTGTATGTGGATCGTAGACATCACCAGCCCAGTAGTCAGTTACTCTCGCTGAGTTGATACCACTGTATGTGGATCGTAGACATCACCAGGGCTGCCCAGTAGTCAGTTACAACCGCTGAGTTGATACCACTGTATGTGGATCGTAGACATCACCAGCCCAGTAGTCAGTTACAATCGCTGAGTTGATACCACTGTATGTGGAAGGTTCGTAGACATCACCAGCCTAGTAGTCAGTTACAATAGCTGAGTTGATACCACTGTATGTGGATCGTAGACATCACCAGTCCAGTAGTCAGTTACAATAGCTGAGTTGATATCACTGTATGTGGATCGTAGACATCACCAGCCAAGTAGTCAGTTACAATCGCTGAGTTGATATCACTGTATGTGAATCGTAGACATCACCAGCCCAGTAGTCTGTTACAATCGCGGAGTTGATACCACTGTATGTGGAAGTTTCATAGACATCACCAGCCCAGTAGTCAGTTACAATCGCTGAGTTGGTACCACTGTATGTGGATCGTAAACATCACCAGCCCAGTAGTCAGTTACTCTCTCTGAGTTGATACCACTGTATGAGGAAGGTTCGTAGACATCACCAGCCCAGTAGTCAGTTACAATCGCTGAGTTGATACCACTGTATGTGGACGTTTTGTAGACATCACCAGCCCAGTAGTCAGTTACAATCGTTGAGTTGATACCACTGTATGTGGAAGTTTCGTAGACATCACCAGTCCAGTAGTCAGTTACAATAGCCCAGACAGTAGTCAGTATTTATGTATCAATGATACAGTCATTTCCTTAAATTTCTATTGCACAATTTTGAAATATTCGCAATACTAAGGGTTTTTGTACTCACAGGCATAGATGGCCTGAGTCGTATTTAGCACATTATTTGGTGTTTTTCGTTTTCAATGTTCTTCGTCTTCGATTTTTGTTTTGCCTCTCAACTGTTTTGATTTGAGCGCTTCTGATGAGTCTGATGTACACAAAACCCCGTCGCGGACTGGCGTAACAAATGATAAGCCTGGTATCTTTTTTTTAAAGACAAAGCAATCTTTTCAACCATGTTTGAATGTTAAGAATCTAATTAAAATGTAGATCTCTGATTTCGTTATTCTCATATGAGCTTATATGTACGAACGCGCGAGTTAAGATAGATTTGAATTTTAATCAGGTTGGAATGTTAATTAATTGTCATGTCGTTGTCAGTTTCTTTTCGACGAATGTAAATGTCACTTTCAAGTTTGTATCTCAAGCCTGGGACTTTTATGCTAACTATCATATTATATGTCCCAGCCCAAAGCTTGGTATCTTCTACCTCTTTGTTAAGAGGGTACCCGACTTTCTCTCCACGATAAGTTTTCGTGTCTCATTGCCACATCTTCTTATTCATATATATTATTCACTTATTTATATATACTATTCACTTTTTCAAAATACTGTTGCAGGAGACAGAAATGCATATAAATACTTTTAAATGACCAATCTTTCACCTTTCCGTGGATTTTTTTCTAAGAAATTTATGCATAATATATGCATCTTCAAACTTCAAAATAATTTGCACCTACCGATTGACTGTCTTTTGGCAATCATTGCAACATGGCCCTATTTTCTTCTATAGATACTAAAGAGTGACAATTGTTTAATTTCAATGGATGTCTGCCTATATAGCAACATTATGCAAATAATCATACTGACACAATACAAAAACCTGTTGTTGAATAGTGTTCCTTGTATGACGAAAAAGACTGAGCCATAACAGAGACATATATACACATGTTATATGTTGATTATATAGGGAATCACTGAAGCATGACTGGAACGGGCCCCTCTTAGGCAGTCAGTGCCCCCCCCCCCCCTTCCGCCCTTATTAAATTTCTGGATCCGCCACTGGTAATAACATAACTAAAGAAAATCTCTGTTTTTCTTTTCATCTTAGGTTTTCATTATGGTAAGTAGATTTTGTACTTTTGAGCTCATAGTGAACAACTTTAATTATGCAGTGCTATGCTGATTTAACCATTTATTTAAACAATAACAACTGAAAACTATTAATTCCCGGTCGTATTCGAATCGTTGAGGGAGAATCTTCGGAGAAAGTTCATGTGGTTAGTGGTGTCCCCCAAGGGACTGTACTTGGACCATTACTATTCCTTCTATTTATAAATGACTTACCATCCAACACACGACTATTTACACACGATTGTATAGTATACAGAACAATAACATCTCCTGCTGATACTAAAATACTACAAGAAGATCTATACAAACTTGCAGATTGGGAAAAAACCTGGGGCATGGACTTTCACCAACATAAGTGCAGTGTACAATCTACCACCAGATCACGTTCAACAATAAAACACTCATACACGCTTAAGGGACAAGTGCTAGAAAGATCAAGAAGTACCAAATACATTGGAGTTGACATTGAATCAGACCTGTCCTGGAAACAATACATCGATAGAGTAACCAAAAAAGCAAACAGCATGCTAGGATTTCTAAAACGCAACCTGAGAACATCTAACAGTGAAACCAAGACAAACGCCTATGTTGCAATGGTCAGATCCAACTTAGACTACTGTGCAACAGTATGGAACCCATACCAAAAAGAGCAGGTGAAAAAGGTTGAAATGGTCAAGCGTCGTGCAGCCCGTTATGCCACCAATCGCTATAGGAACACCAGTAGTGTGGACAGTATGTTGGAAGAACTTGTTTTTGACTGTTTATGACGTCTTTACACTAAATCCATTGGATGTTGGATGTGTACGGATTGATAATTTAGTCTTAGATGCATGATTTTTTTTATTAGTTGTTAGTGGCTTTGAACTAGCTGTCAGTAACTGCGAGTACTCTCAGATCTGTACTTAGTGTCTTTTTCTTGTTTGGATGTACAAGTACCCGGCCACGTCCACTTGTATTTGTAGTATTTGTATTTTTATCCATCTGATGAGTTTAGCCTCTTTCAACTGATTTTTATAGTTCGTTCTTATGTTGTACTGTTACACCACTGTCCCAGGTTAGGGGGGTTGGAATCCCGCTAACATGTTTAACCCCGCCACATTCTGTATGTATGTGCCTGTCCCAAGTCAGGAGCCTGTAATTCAGTGGTTGTCGTTTGTTTATGTGTTACATATTTGTTTTTCGTTCATTTTTTGTATATAAATTAGGCCGTTAGTTTTCTCGTTTGAATTTATTTACATTGTCATTTCGGGGCCTTTTATAGCTGACTGTGCGGTATGGGCTTTGCTCATTGTTGAAAGCCGTACGGTGACCTATAGTTGTTAATTTCTGTGTCATTTGGTCTCTTGTGGAGAGTTGTCTCATTGGCAATCATACCACATCTTTTTTATATTGACAGTACTTAGTGCCAAGTTTTCATGAAGCAGATGCGTGAGATTTGGCCAAAATTGTAAAGATCAAAGAGAAAAAACAATAGATCAAAGGAAAATGCCGCCAAATATGCATGAAAATGTAATTGTGTGAGACTTGGCAGCCCTGCATTGACTGGGAATCATTGGAAAACAGAAGTTAGGGTGAAATTACAGCTAACATTACTCTACAAAGTGGTTAATGATCTTGTGGATATACCATGCGAAACTTACTTAACTCCAATGTCATCAAGAACAAGATCATCACATACCAAGAAGTTCCGGCAATATTTAACCAAGACTAATGGCATATAAATACAGTTTTTCCCAAGAACAGTGACCGTTTGGAACTCTTTACCATCAACTATAGCTGAGGTTCCCTCCTTGGTATCGTTCAAGAGGGAGCTTTCAACATTCACTTTCTAGTCTGTTCAGTCCCCCATACACCTTATCGCTAATCCCGCTTGACCCGAGAATCAGTCCCGCTCGAACTTTTGACGTCATACAACAATCACTTTTCCATTGTGGCGTCAGATATTTTCTATTATGACGTCAAAATTTTACGGGAACTTGTGTGATGTCCAGTAATGGCGGACAAATAGCGATAAGGTGTATTTGCCAAGTAAGTCAAATGATGGACTGGAGTTGTGCCGGCGGGGATTATTTCCCTGGTACCGCCACGGAAGCCGCATACACCTTATCGCTATTTGTCCGCCATTACTGGACATCACACAGGTTCCCGTAAAATTTTGACGTCATAATACAAAATATCTGACGCCACACTGGAAAAGTGATTGTTGTATGACGTCAATAGCTGAAGCGGGACAGATTCTCGGGTCAGCCGGGAATAGCGATAAGGTGTATCATGGTTCAGGCCAGATGAACGAAAATCAACTGGGTACCCCTTTTATTATTTTACTTTATTATTATATTTTTTTTTCCCATCATATTTTATACTTGCTTTATATATTTTTGGTTTTATCTTATAAAATTACTCTTTTTCTTGCGCCCACTGGAAGCGTTGAGTATTGGCCAAGTTTGAATGTAGATGTAGAATACGCCTTTTCCGTATTACACAACAATACCTTCCCGACTTGACTTTGGGGTTTAATAATGGGTCACTCGGAACATATCAAATTTTTCCGAATGGACGGCGATGGATAATTTTCAGATACTGCCAGATGACATTATTTTGTTGATTTTCTCACATTTAAGCTCAGGAAGGCTTTGTATTTTAAGTAAAGTTAACAAGCGGTTCCAAAGACTTGTACAGGATCGAAGCCTTGTCAGGTGATTCATCATCAGTGTAGTAAAAAATCTCATGACCACACATCATGCATCATGTCTTATTTTACTATATTGGCAGTTACTTCTTTTAATCTTTATATGAATCAGTTATTTAACTTTCCTGCTGATGTGTAATAGCATTAAATATGGCGTCTTAATCTTATGACCTGTTGGTACAACTTCTTTCTAGGGCTAAGTTATGCTGTCTGGAGCTTTTGTCACTGTAATGTACTTTCCTTCTTTGTGCTCGTTGGCATCAACACATATCTCTTATTACAATCTAGAAATGCTCATCTGCATCAACACATAACTCTTATTACAATCTAGGAATGCTCATCGGCATCAACACGTAACTCTTATTACAATCTAGGAATGCTCATCAGCATCAACACTCAACTCTTATTACAATCTAGGAATGCTCATCGACATCAACACATATCTCTAATTACAATCAAGGAATGCTCATCAGCATCAACACATAACTCTTATTACTATCTAGGATTGCTCATCGACATCAACACATATCTCTTATTACAATCTAGAAATGCTCATCGGCATAAACACATAACTTATTACAATCTAGGAATGCTCATCGGCATCAACACATAACTATTATTACAATTTAGGAATGTTCATCGGCATCAACACATAACTCTTATTACAATTTAGGAATGTTCATTGGCATCAACAAATAACTCTTATTACAATCTAGGAATGCTCATCGGCATCAACACGTAACTCTTATTACAATCTAGGAATGCTCATCAGCATCAACACTCAACTCTTATTACTATCTAGGATTGCTCATCGACATTAACACATATCTCTTATTACAATCTAGGAATGCTCATCGGCATCAACACATAACTCTTATTACAATTTAGGAATGTTCATCGGCATCAACACATAACTCTTATTACAATCTAGGAATGCTCACCAGCATCAACACATATCTCTTATTACAATCTAGGAATGCTCATCTGCATCAACACATAACTTTTATTACAATCTAGGAATGCTCATCAGCATCAACACATAACTCTTATTACAATCTAGGAATGCTCATCTGCATCAACACATATCTCTTATTAGAATCTAGGAATGCTCATCGGCATCAACACATATCTCTTATTACAATTTAGGAATGTTCATCGGCATCAACACATAACTCTTATTACAATCTAGGAATGCTCATCGGCATCAACACATATCTCTTATTACAATCTAGGAATGCTCATCTGCATCAACACATAACTCTTATTACAATCTAGGAATGCTCATCGGCATCAACACATATCTCTTATTACAATCTAGGAATGCTCATTGGCATCAACACATAACTCTTATTACAATCTAGGAATGCTCATCTGCATCAACACATATCTCTTATTAGAATCTAGGAATGCTCATCAGCATCAACACATATCTCTTATTAGAATCTAGGAATGCTCATCAGCATCAACACAACTCTTATTACAATCTAGGAATGCTAAATGAAGATGCATTATTTGCAGTAAAAACTGAAAGTCTAAAATTTTTTGTTTTTATTTTAGGTCATCAACATTTGAAGAATGTTACAACATTACAGATGACATGCTTTTGAATTATGGTGCAAATAGTTATCCTCATGTAGAATGTCTAAATCTTGCCAATTGTTACTGGTTCAAAAGCAGGTCAATAGAATGGGTTACCAGTAAATGTAAACAATTGACAGAGCTATATTTAGTTGGAATTAATTTGACATCCAAAAAAATTTGTAAGATTCTTGGATCTTTACCAAAGCTAGAAAAGTTTTCATTCACAACACAAAATATTCATGAATTTGATGAAGAAGTAAATAGTGTGACTGATGCTCAAAGGACAATCGGTAATTTGAAACACATAACAATACACTTTGAAGTACAGGAATCAACTAGAACAGATGTAGCAATATCAGTAGAAATAATACATAAAATTTCATCATTTTTTGAACATTGCAACAAACTGGAATCATTGCATGTTCTTGGTCAGCCAAATATTGGTGGTAGAATTCCTAGACTATTGGTTCAACCAAATGTAGTTAAACTGGAAAACTTGTCACATTTGCAACACCTTTCATTAAACTGTGCAATTGATGCTGCAGCTAGGATGTTTTACTATGGTGCTTTATTTTCAATTGCCAAATTGAAAAACCTTCAGTTAAAAACTATTTTAAATCCATCAGCAAACTTTGAAAATCAGTCTCAGTTCTGCTCTTCGTTTTGGCAATCCCACAGATCTCTGGAAAACTTAGATTTGTCAAACATTTGTCTGCATAAGATTTTCACTGAAGATTGTGATGTTTTGGAAGTGAAGCCACACTTACAGTATCTGAACTTAGCTAATACACATGTCCAAGGTGTTAATATATCATTAACATCAATAGCCTCATCATGTCCAAATATACACAGTCTAAACTTAATGAGCAGTAAGCTGATGAACAAATGGACAATATTAGGAAGAGAGGTAGGTGTATAATTTTGTTAACTAGATGTTTGTGAGTAACGAATGTAAAAATTTAAACACTCATTTAGCACATACTCTGGAATCTTTTTTATTTGTGGGATACTAATGTTATGCATTACAAGGGTTTACAACAAAATACACATTTCCTTTAGGCTTATTTAATGAATTTGTTAAAACAACAAAATCAGGTAGCCATGAAAAAAACAACTGAGTCCAAAAAAGAAGAAGTGAATATATGTAGTAAATGCGTTATGTTAATGAAGGATTATGAAATTTGATGTGGAGAAGTTTGAACATACTTTTTATTGGCTACATATAAGAAGAAGGAGATGTGGTATGATTGCCAATGAGACAACTCTCTTCAGAGTTAAAATGAAGTGAATGTAAGCAATTGTAGGCTACATGGCACCATATGGCCTTAAAAAATGAGAAAAATCAATACCTTATAGTCTGCTTTAAAAGGCCCTACATGAAAAATATGTAACAATTCAAACAGGAAAATTAACGGCTTAATTTATAACAAAACAATTAACAAAAAACAAATATGGCAGACATGAACCAATTATATTATATTATTATTTCTATATCAAACTATTACCTGAGTATATACATGTATAATTATACAAAGTGAATGTGGCTTCCAATTGTGTTTTCATATTTCATAGGGTTGTAATAGCATTGATCAAAGCAAACATTTTTAGACTGGATTATATGGATTTAAAATCCAGTGATACCACTTTAATAGGAAGAAATCTTTAATCTGTAACTACACATGCATAAATTATCAATATTTACATTGCAGGAATTTGATGTTAATGGATTTGGTGCCCTTGTAAGGTCATGTAATCAGTTATCTCATATCAACTTAAGTGGTATACATGTACATTGTCATAACATCACTTCAGAAATCTGCAGGTGTTTATCCCAACTAAAAGGTAAATAGTCAGAAATCTGCAGGTGTTTATCACAACTTAAAGGTGAATAGTCAGAAATCTGCAGCTGTTTATCACAACTAAAAGGTAAATAGTCAGAAATCTGCAGGTATTTATCACAGCTTAAGGTATAAAACCACTAATTCATAGCCCCATTGCTTTCTATGTTAAATTCTGCAATTTCAAGCATTAATGGCTACTTTATCTTAAGTTCAAATAAAGTGGCAGTTATTTCATGTCAAACCTGTACCTTATCCTGACTTGTGCTGAAAAAATCAACATACCTTTAATTGCATATTAGAGCGTTCTGGTTCCCGGAAGTTTGATAGTACAAAAACAGGAACTTCTGATCTGAACAACAGGCCAAATGAGCCCTCCTATTAAAATTTCTTATACTTCTTTATTATTCAAATAAAACTTTCAATAATGGTTCTACAGTGATCCCAAGTCCCCAAGCTTTCATTTGATACTAAAACAACCCAAATATTCCAACTATTGACAAAGATACAGCTATGCGTAGGAACTATTTTGTTTAAAATATGTACTACTTTCTTGTATGTTCCTTCCGACCGGGCCTGAATTAGTGGTTCTATACCTTAAAGGTAAATAGTCAGATATCTGAAGGTGTTTATCACAACTAAAAGGTAAATAGTCTTAATATAAAAATAAGGAGATGTGGTATGATTGCAAATATAATTGATGCAACTTTCCACCAAAAAGTAAAAGACAAAGATTTAAACAATTACTTCCACCATCTGAGTCACTATATGGTCTGGCTTTTGCTCATTTTTGAAAGCTGTAAGGTAACCTATTGTTGCTTACATCATTTGGACTTATTAAAAATCATACCACATGTTTGGTCAGTACTCACATTGATATGCTTTAATGATTTTTGACAGCTTTATCTAGACATCCTCGGGGCCAGAGAGGTCTAAGTAGTCGAAATACTGTATCACTAGCCTGTCAACACTGATGTTGTGAGTTTGAATCTTGCACATGGCAGGTGATCTCAACTCCAATCTTAATTGACCAGAATTGTCAGTTTTCTTACCGAAGGTCGTGGTTCTCTCTGGGCATTCCAGCTTCCTCTACCAATAAAAAGTGAACTCCACAAAACAGCGCAATAGTGCTGAAAGTGGCGTAAAACACCAATCAATCAATCTGGACATCCTAATGTAACAATTACAAGTGAGCATTTGTTGGGTAACATGGATGATTATGAAGGTCATTATGTATAAAGTAATATATCAAAAATACCGAACTCCAAGGAAAATTCTAAACAGAAAGTCCCTTATCAAATGGCAAAGTCAAAAACTCAAACACATCAAACGAATGGAAAACAACTGTCATATTCCTGACTTGGTACAGGCATTTACTTATTAGAAAATGGTGGATTAAACCTGGTTTTATAGCTACATGTAGCTTAACCTCTCACTTGTATGACAGTCGCATAAAATTCCATTATATTGACAAAAATGCGTGAGCACCACTATTGATATTTTCATTTTGTGTTGCCTTGAATTCGGATTGTAGCAAAAAAGTTATAAATTTGATAGTATAAGCATTATAAGTGTAAAAATAAGTGATACAAAACAATGCTGATTTATTGAATGGTTTCTATGACAGGTTTAAAGTCTCTGTCCCTGTCTCCATGCTGTCTGCATGTGGAGCATCATAAAGAGAGTGGAGCACAGAAAAGACCAGCTGAGGGTCCTTCTCATGGTAGTAAGAAAAGACGGCTTGCTGCATCAACTAATGTTTTACAGGTAAATGTTGTGTTGATAATCCATTTTACAGGTAAATTAATAATCCATTTTACAGGTAAATGTTGTGTTAATAATCCATTTTACAGGTAAATGTTGTGTTGATAATCCATTTTACAAGTAAATGTTGTGTTAATAATCCATTTTACAGGTAAATGTTGTGTTGATAATCCATTTTACAGGTAAATGTTGTGTTAATAATCCATTTTACAGGTAAATGTTGTGTTGATAATCTATTTTACAGGTAAATGTTGTGTTAATAATCCATTTTACAGGTAAATGTTGTGTTAATAATCCATTTTACAGGTAAATGTTGTGTTAATAATCCATTTTACAGGTAAATGTTGTGTTAATAATCCATTTGTCGACAAAGATCATGGTTCTTTCCCTGCACTCAGAATTCTTCTACCAAAGCTTGCACCACTATATAGCCATGAGTGCTGAAAGTGGCATTAAACACCAACAATCAATCAATAAATCATGTAAACAATCCTGAAAAGGGTGGTTAGTCTTTATAACACCAACTTTGTTAATTGGCTTGTTAACTTTCTCAGTAATTATGATATATTGTCAAGATTGAGCACATTTTCTAGTATGAATAAATCAATCAAATTTATTTTTCATTTCCATATTTGCAAAAATAAAGACTGCTTAAATATTTGGCATACTTTTTACCTTCTAAACAGTGAAATTCTACACCTGCCAAAATAATTCACTTGACAGTATTCAAATTTTTGTCGAGCCTGCAACTTCTGTCGCAGAAAGCTCGACATAGGTATAGTGATCCGGCGGCGGTGTAACAAACTTCTTAAAAGCTTTATATTTTAGAAGGTGGAAAACCTGGATGCTTCTTACTTTGTATATAGATGCCTTATGTTATGAAGTTTCCGTCTGTCATATGTCCATTGTCCTTGACCTTATTTTCATGGTTCAGTGACTACTTGAAAAAAAAGTTAAGATTTTTTGTAATGTTAATTTCTCTCTTATTATGAATAATAGGATAACTATATTTAGTATGTGTGTACCTTGCAAGGTCCTCATGCATGTCAGACAGTTTTAATTTGACCTTAACCTCATTTCATGGATCAGTGAACAAGGTTAAGTTTTCATAGTCAAGTACATAAACCAGATACTATAAGCAATAGGTCTACTATATTTGGTGTATGGAATGATTGTAAGGTGTACATGTATGTCCAACTGGCAGGTGTCATCTGACCTTGACCTCATTTTTATGGTTCAGTGGTTTAAGTTAATTTTTTTTGTGTTTTGGTCTTTTTTCTAATACTATATGCAATAGGTCAACTATATTTGGTGTATGGAAATATTTTATGATGTACATGTCAGTCTGGCAGGTTTTATTTGACCTTGACCTCATTTTCATGGTTCATTGCTCAGTATTAAGTTTTTGTGTTTTGGTCCATTTTTCTTAAAATATATGCAATAGGTCAAATAAATTTGGTGTATGGAATGATTGTAAGTTGTATATGTCTGTCTGGCAGGTATCACCTGACCTTGACCTCAATTTGATTGGTCAATTATAAGTTTTCATGGTTAAGTTTGTTTCTTAGATACTATAGGCAATAGGTCAACTATATGTGGTGTATGGAATGATTGCAAGGTGTACATGTACAGGTATGATCTGACCTTGACCTCATGTTCATGGTTCATTGGTAAATGTTAAGTTTTCATGGTTAAGTTTGTTTCTTAGATACTATAAGCAATAGGTCAACTATATTTAATGCATAGATTGATTGCGAAGTGTACATGTCTGTCTGGCATGGTTCATCTGATCTTGACCTCATTTTCATGGTTCATTAGTCAATGTTAAGTTTTCCTGGTTAAGTTCGTTTCTAAGAAACTATAAGCAATAGGTCAGCTATATTTGGTGTATGGAATGATTGTAAGGTGTACATGTATTTCCGGTTTTGTTTATCTGACCTTGACCTCATTTTCTTGGTATCATGTTAAGTTTATGTGATACTTGTAATAAAGCTTTATATTTAGGACTATCAACATAAAATCAATGGTCAGTAAAGCAGGTGAGACATTTCGTGTGCACTCTTGTTGTTTTTAATCTGATTGAATATTTGGGGTTTCTCATACAAAACAAAAAGAATTCTGTCTCACACTGAAAGTATTTGTTATAAGTTAGGTTATTTTATTTTAGGCCAGTACTTCCACTAGTGCTAATTCAGATTCAGAAGAGAAATGGACCAAAGGTTTAGGACTAATTGTTAAAAGCTGTCCCAAGGTGATAAAGTTTGAGCTGATAAATGGTGGACTAAAACAAACTGTGATACAATCAGGCAAATCAAAGCCTGCTCCAAGTGAATATAAACCTTGGTAATTATCTGTAATGTTACATCTCAATCTTGAAATGATCAATCATATTGCCCATTCTATTTTTAATGTGGAAAGTTTGTGCTATAGCTATAATAGGTAAATATTGGAAAGAAAGCATCCTGAAAAATAGAATGGCAGGATTTACATCAAAATCTTTTTTTACACAATGATATTTAATATGTTGTCAATTACAGACATCCTAAATTACGGTATCAATAATTTTGTATTCTTGATAATCATCTTCATTTACACAACCACACCTTATGCACTCCTCACTTTCTGTTTATCAAAAGATCAATCTTTAGTCATGTTTCTTAATATTTGTGACACTAATATAATGATACAATATTACCAACAAAAAGAGTGATACTCGAAGGGCATTGGCAAAGATTGATAGTTGTACGTCTGAAACCATTTTCCTTTAGATAAAACAAGCTTACTGTATAATTATATAGCACAATTCTTTAGGAAATGGAAAATGCTGATAAAAATTGTAAATAGGTTTCCAATAAGTTGTCAATAAGATCTTGACATCTTTTAACAAGTCTTTCAGAATTTATTTCTTGTTAGTGTTATCCATGTCTGATCACTTACTATAAAATACCTCCAATTAGAAGATGGAAGAATAAAAGGAGAGAAAGTGTAAATATTGACAGCAACCCAAAAATGAGAATATTTATTTATTTCAGTTCTGAGTCTTTCATGACAGCAGATACACTCCTATGTATATCAGGATGGAAACATCTGAGATTTTTGCAGTTGGCCGGGATACATAGTAAGCCAGATTCTGTTTACTTTATATTGCATTCAAACTAACTGCTAGTATTATAAACATCTTGCTATAACATGATAATTTAGCAGAAAATAACATTTAGAGGCATGTTTAGTTTATCAATACAGTTAGAGTTTTTGTTATCACATGTATCTTTCTTTCTCCATCATTGATTGAAAATGAAAAAATCTCAAATTACAGTGAAACATTTCAACACCAAACTTATTCGGGACAACAAATAGGTTCAGTTTACAAGGGTTATATATTAAAAAAGACTAAATCACCAACCATCGGTGTAGACAAGTAGTGAATAGATTTAAAACAGAATGTCAGTATCAACACCAAATTCCACAAAATGACAGAAGTACATTAAGACATGACAAAATGTATTTCTACTTTATGCATTGTACAGTTCAGAGCATATTGATTGTACTAATTTTTATCATTTTTGTTTTTGTTTAGGTGCAATATCAGGTGTGAGTTTGGTTGTCATAGCAAAAGAATGTAAACATCTACAGCAGCTACATTTAGCTTATCTTGGACTGACAGCACATTGTATGTACATAAATCAGCTCTGTCAGGCCTTTCCATACATGGAAGCTTTAAAAGATTTTAGGTAAATTTATTATTGTTATGTCTAACATGTAAATAAATATACAAATCTATAATGAGGAATGACAAGGAGTAAAGACTATGGTCAGACTTGGAATGACAACAGTAACAGTTACAGGTCATATGCAATGTTTTTACTTTAGGCATTTATGCTTGAATAGTTCATTGCTGCTTAAAAGAGGCATTCTATTTTATCATCATAATTATGAATTGTTCATGCATGGGAATATATCTATAAGACTTAATTTCCAATTTTAAAAAGGACATAAACAGTGTATACAACAACAATTTAAAAGACAGCAACCTGACAACTTTATTGTTTTCCACTGAATTAGAAATAAAATATAGTGTAAATCAATAAAATGTAAAATGTTCATGTCCTGTTATGTCTTGTTATCCGTGTACTTATGGTGCATGTTCCAATATTCAGCATGAACCACTAAGTTCTTATAAAGAGTGACAAAAACTTTTACCTTTAGTGTATGCAGCATTTATAAGCAATATCACCAGGAGACAGATTTATAAAAGTTTTTTTTATATATTTCCTTCTTATCCAGTGTAAGAGGGTACATACTTCCAACAAATGCTTTTCAAATTTTAATATGTTGTTACTGACGACAAAATGGAGGTTAAATTCAATATTGACGAATTTCACATAAACTGTGTTATTGTCCTTGATAGATTGGAAAATAGGAACTGACATGGCAGGTCAACAAACCTGAAAGCACTTTTAAAATATAGAAAACCCAGTAAGCTGTCAATTTGACAGCTCATTTCTTGTTCATACTGTTTTTTCATTTTATTGATTTTCTTACTTTCATTGAGGACTTTGTACTCATAGTATGTGATTTAAACAAACTAACAGTTATGAGGTTTAACTTGTTGATCTAAATGCATTCTAAAATGGTAGCAATCCAAACAGTTGCATTTGACCTTTAAAACAAACCATTGCATATCTAAAAACCAATATTAACAAAACAAAGGTGGTATACTAAGCATATTATTTTTTTTTTTGAGGTTATAATATTATCCTTTGTTTTTATGTAAGTATCCAAGGATCTGTTTCCAACAGTTCTAAAAGTTCCATGAAAATCTTAGTTATTTAATTGCAAATATTATAAGTGGCCCGAGAACACAGATATTTCGTAGTGCATTTCTTTTAGACAATAAATTCAAATTAAAAAAATCGCACCTGCTCTATCTCAAAAAGATTTTTACAGTGTAGTGTACTACTATTGATACAAATAATATCAAAATTATAGAAACTTCTACCAGCTCTTAACTCAAAATATTGACAATTCTGTGTTAAGGGGGGCTAAAATTCAGTTTGACAGCTTCAGACATTCTAATTTTTGACCTTTTTTAACTGGACCAAATCACTACTTAACATAAAGATTCATTACCCAAAATTTTTTAACATGTAATTTCATCCCCTTAATATTTCATGCATAAAATATCAAGAAATAAATTGGAAAAGTGTATAAAAAAAATGCAAGTTATACACTGTTCACACTAGGGACTATATTCATAGACAACAAAAACCTAAGGACGATAACTGTGTCCTTGGACCAAGTGGGTTACAGATTTAAATATTAGGTTCCACTTTTTTGACATTTATATTTTTTCAATACATGTACTATACATAAAGGAACACTCTTGTTATATTTTAGGTTGGAACATTCTTACCTTTCAATCGACAAGACATTCTGTACTTCTCTATCTAAATGCAAAACCCTAGAGAGGTTCTGTGTTGTGTCAAAGAATGGCAGCATAGATAGTTCTGCAGTAGAGTACTTGATGGAAAAGGTAATTTAAGATGAATTTGTTATTGCTTAAATTTGAGATCAGTTAGTGGAAATACTCATTACTGAAGTTTTAAAACTGTAAGCATTTTCATTATATCCTCTACCAATGAAGTTAAAGGGCAATAAATCATTCATCCCAGTTGTTTTTTTTTTTTACCATTTCAAGTTCTTTTTGTGTTAACTTTAAGATCCAAGCAAACACAAGCTCAGATAGAAATGAAATTACTGAAAAAATATATTTCATCCTTTTTTAACATTAATTAATTTTTCTTATTCATAACAAGATTATATAGAATGAAATATTCTGGTTATAATATTCAACCAACCATTGTTTACAGGTGCAATCATTGGTGGTTGTCCAGTTATTTACAGATGCTACACAGTCTTTATGTAAAAAACTACAGAAATCACTTAAAGACAGGTATGTAGGTATTGTAATTATCTTCCTTATATAGGAAAGGAGGTATTGTGATTATGTCTCTTACGTGGGTAAGTAGGTATTGTGATTATCTCCCTTGCATGATTTTGTAGATATTGTTATCATCTCCCTTTCATATGTAAGTAGGTATTGTGATTATCTCACTTAAATAGGTAAGTAGGTAGTGTGATTTCCAGCTTTGTTGGATTATTTTCCTTAGAATATGTTGTTTGGTAACCAGCTTTGTTGGATTATTTTCCTTAGAGTATGTTGTTTGGTTACCAGCTTTGTTGGATTATCTCCCTTAGACAGATAAAAAGGTTGCCTGTTTACCGTGTGTGTTTGGTTATCTCTTGAACATATTGATAAGAAGTATGGGAACCAGAATTGCTAGGCTCTTTCCATAGAACCTTGACCGACAAGAAGGTTGTTCACTTACCAGCTTTATTGTGCTCTTTCCCTCAGTCATGGTTGGTTGGTTGTCGGTTCAGTTATTTCTCCTTTATGTGGCAGTAGATACTCTAGATACTGGTAACAACTTCAGTCAGGTTTTTATCCCCAGATAGGAATACCTTTTGATAAGTAGCTTATTAGGATTGATTGTTTTGACAGGGAAGTAGATTCTTTTTTATCTTGACAAGTTATATACTGCATTAGGTTTTAAAAGAGGTAAAGATGTTTTCTCACAACCTGTCCATTATTGAAGGATGTATAATGATTTCTATAATCTTAAATCATTAAGCGTTGACATTTCAGATGGAAACAAATTTTCAAATTTGTCTTATTGTTTACAGATACACTTAAGGTGGTACCTAACACTACAGGGAGATAACTCTGTAAAAATCAGCTAAACGTTTTAATTACGTTGTATTGTTAAGGAAATATTAAGCTTCTCAATGATCAAAATTAGTGTTTGTCAAACTGCTATATAACCAGTGAAATTTTTCTGATAAAGTGGTTGGTTCAAATTCTTTGAAATTTTTATATTTTTGTCAAAGGGTCAAAGTAAACATTTTGTCAAAATTTTATGAAAATTAAACGAGCCAAATTGATTTTAGTCAAGGTGTTGGGTACCACCTTAATAATGATATAAACAACATACCAGATTGTGGCCGCGATATATATACATTGGGTCTATTAATTAACTTAAATTATTATGATACTTTAACAATCAACTTTATAGTTCTTGGAATATGGTCATCTCATTTAAAAAATAAACATAATGCTTTATATTTACAGATATGAATCTGTCCGTCCAGCGCTTAGTTTGGCCATATGGCCATTGTTTGACGAGAATGCAGCATATGTAATGAAGAATATACCCAGAAAACACCTAGAAGAAATGACTATATTTAACTCTAGGATCTGTCAACATCCACCTAATTTTAATTGGTGATATGTCAAAATTTAAATTAAAAAAATTAATTATAATTTAACTGGTGTTGCGTTTATTAACAAGACCATGCACAAAAGGACAGGATATTTAAACCTACAGAATTATTATCATGCTCCAGGATGAAGTCTGGTCCTTAGTTATATATATGATAAGTCAAGAATATTTAGAAAATGGATAAGTTGTTAGGAGTATATATCTGTATCACATGGCATATGGCCTTGACCTCATTATTGTTTAGGTTTTAGAATGAGGTCTATTCCTCAGTTACTATATATGGTAGGTCAACACTGACTACTGTAAATCCAGAAATTATTCTGTGCATTTATTATTTATACGAATGTTTGACCATCGACACAAACCTGAGTTGATTAATGGAATTTATGTAATACACCATACAGATAATGCTATCTAAATTTAAATACAAGTTTTATTTTTGTGACACTGATCTCTTCACAATTTTCCCATAATAAAACATTGCACAAATTTTTGAATTTCCCTTACTTGATAGTGTGGATTGGTGGCAAGGAGTATATGTAACCTTTACTTCAATTTCAAGGTCAAGTGATAAGGGTCTGTTCCTCTATGTACATGAAAGGTCAACAATATTTGATATGTGGTTTAGTTTGGAAGAATAGATGTCTGTCAGATTTCTGTCATATCCTAGGAAGATTGATGAATGTGTGGATACTTGGGGAAATAGTTTCAACTTCCAGAAAAAAAAAGCTATAATATGTATATATATATATTATTTGAAATTGAAATTAATAATTTTTCTTGCACAGACACTTTTCTAAAGTCTAAGATTTTATCAGCTACTTTGAATTCTTTGTCTGAACATGTTAAAAGTTAACAAAGTTTTTGAAATGTAACTGTCTGGTTGTTGTTTCCTTGTCTTCTCTATTTCATATGTATAATTTGATGGTACACAAACTTCATTATGCTTTGGTTAACTATTTGTACTGATTGAGAAAACAAAATCAGAATATAACTTGAAACACAGATTTTTTTTATTGAACAATGTAATATAAAATCAACAATAAGGTTATATATATTAACAAGGTTTGCAAAATTCAAACAAGGTTTACACTATTTAACCAAGATTTACACATTTCAAACAAGGTTTACACTATTTAACCAAGAATTACACATTTCAAACAAGGTTTACACTATTTTACCAAGATTTACACATTTCAAACAAGGTTTACACTATTTAACCAAGATTTGCACATTTCAAACAAGGTTTACACTATTTAACCAAGATATACACATTTCAAACAAGGTTTACACTATTTAACCAAGATTTACACATTTCAAACAAGGTTTACACTATTTAACCAAAATTTGCACATTTCAAACAAGGTTTGCAATATTTAACCAAAATTTACACATTTCAAACAAGGTTTACACTATTTAACCAAGATTTGCACATTTCAAACAAGGTTTGCAATATTTACACATTTCAAACAAGGTTTACACTATTTAACCAAGATTTGCACATTTCAAACAAGGTTTGCACTTTTAAACAAGTCTTACATATATCAATTGCACCATCATGTATTGCTGTATTTTAAATGCTAGTTTTACCATCAATAATACGTCATATTATATGTTGTATATACAATGAGGACATCCACAGATATAATATATATGCAAAATATGATAAAAATCTATACAGATAATCTTGAATCGTTTTTTTGTTGTCAACAAATATTTAGACAAGCTTCAAGGAAAATCTGTAGGGAGATTAACTTTTAGAACAGACTATATCTATTGGCCAAGACATTTAACATATGGGTAAACATATACCAGGTTGACAAGTATATCTTAAAAGGGGACACCTGTGTTAAATTTCAATATTAATGAGCACCCAGACCTGGAAGAAGTGTTAAATGCTAACTGTTAATGAGCAACAGACCTGGAAGAAGTGTTAAATGCTAACTGTTAATGAGCAACAGACCTGGAAGAAGTGTTAAATGCTAACTGTTAAAAAGGCAAAAGACCTGGAAGAAGTGTTAAATGCTAACTGTTAATGAGCAACCAGACCTGGAAGAAGTGTTAAATGCTTACTATTAATGAGCAACAGACCTGGAAGAAGTGTTAAATGTTAACTATTAATGGACACCAAGGATGGGACAAGTGTCAAATGTCACTATTAATCAACAACCAAGCCTGGGACAAGTGTTAAATGTTAATTATTAGTGGATGCCCCAGGTCTTGGACAAGATTAATAAGGGATGGACAGGGGGTCCCTTACTCCAACATCCCTACCTTCCTACTTCTACTTTTCTTCCCCGTATTCCCACCTCCCTCCCCTTACCCCCAGACGATAATCGGTCAAAATTATTTCTCTAGGATTTCCCTATTTTTACTCCCCCCCTCTTCTTCCCATCCCATCACCACCGCTTCCCTCCCCTGACTCCCGTTTCCCTCCCCTGACTCCTGCTTCCCTCCTCTCATGCTCATGTTTCCTTAACTCTGTCATGGACCTACCATTTTTGGCTTGGGACAATAGTAAAATGTCGTTGCTGATGGCAGACGGTTTCTAATCTGGGACAAGTATAAAATGTTGCTATCAATGGGAATATCAAGTTTCTGGCCTTGACAAATATAAAGTTTTCTTATTATTAGACATCCTTGCCTATAAAAATTAAGTGTTAAATATCCCTATAAAGAACAAACAAATTTTATTAGAAGTGGCCCAAGACAATTAACAAGAGTAAAATTTGATTCCTCAACCTGTATTAGATAAACAGAGTAAGTTGCAAGTTGCGTATTCTTGTATTGTCAAATCAGACTGGCATCCTTATATTATTCGTATAAGCCATAACCACAGTGCTACGAAAGCTACTGATATTTTAGTGATAGCAGTACTGTCGGTTGAGAGTTTCCGCCTTGAAGGTCGCAAATGCAGTTTTACTGGCGACGCAAAGCGGAGACAGTTAAACAGATATTTGAGACTGTCAAATCCCAATTGACGGCGACAATTCTTCACCTATACAGAACTGTTATTCCTATTCTAATGAATTACGAAAAGAAAAGATATATAAGAGCTTGTAAAACTGTATAAATTTAAGATATTATAAAATTCCGCGAAACTTTATGAGTGATTTTGGCGTGATTTTGACATGACGTCACACAAATGAAAACTCCCAAACCGAAGGTTTATTCGTTACTTGTGCGAATCAGATTTGGATATAATCTCATTGAAACGTCATTTTTGAGGTAGGTTAAGTTTAATTTTCGATTCCATCAATTCAAAATGGTGGCCCAAGGCATGTCAGTTTTGGATTTGACGTCAAATGTTAGCCAATGAAAAAAATTGTTACATAAAAATTGATTTAGAATAAAGCACTGGAAAACAGGTAAGCAACCTCTTGTGTACTGGAAAGATAAACTTAGAAAACTCTGTAGATGGATTAATCATTTCTCCTTCTTTTCAGCATCTAACTTAGATTTCGTTACGTCGATATGTAATTTATTATCTAAGACAAGAGCCATATAACAACCAATGAATGGTCCAATCCAATACACTATAAAATGTTCCCATGCTGAGGTTCCTCTGCAACCAAACATATGACCAAACGCCATGGCTGGGTTAAAATACATTCCTGTTAAGTGCATTCCTAAATAAAAATAACAATTTGATACAATCAAGTTTCTAACTTAAAGCAGTGACAAAGTTTATTGCTATCGGGGATTTTAATTTTTTTTAGCAAAAATATAAACATCCACTTCATTTGAACTTTTGTGGATAGTTGTCTCATTGGCAATCATACCACATCTCCTTATTTTTATATGCGACCAAATCTATTACTTGGGTATAGTACTTTCCTTTCACATACATTCCTAAATAACAAAGAGATAACACGATGAAATAGTTTGCCTGCATACTTAATATTGATGTCCCGCGTATATACTTCATACATAGTGAAAGATGTTCTTTTGTACATCATACATAGTGGAAAATGTTCTTTTGTACATCATACATAGTGGAAAGATGTTCTTTTGTACATCATACATAGTGGAAAGATGTATTTTTGTACATCATACATAGTGGAAAGATGTTCTTTTGTACTTCATACATAGTGGAAAGATGTTCTTTTGTACATCATACATAGTGGAAAGATGTTCTTTTGTACATCATACATAGTGAAAAGATGTTCTTTTGTACATCATACATTGTGATAAGTAAGTCATTTAATTCTATTACTGAAGCAGTACCATTATAGGTCTTGTTCAATGTGACCAACACTTGAATTCCTGTATTTGTATGTATCAAATCGCACAGCCCCTCTTTGCACCCTTTCAAAGTTATATGTATTGATGCAAGAAGCACTGAAACAGCACTGATCTTTCGCTTTTCCCTTTGAGAACCAATTATACGTACACCTATTTGTTAATGTAACAGAAAAAACATGACCTAATAACAAAACAAAATTGATCTACGAACCATGAAAATAAGATCAGATGAACCTTGTCAGATATACATGCATTCTAAAGATTTATCATAGTTCACCAATTTCCTGAAAAGTAACTGAAAGTGTATCCCAATCAGGAGACTGAAACGTTGATCAATGAACTCTAAAAGTGAAGTCGTTACAGGGGTGGATCTAGGATTTTTGAAAGGGGGCATGATTCCACTAAAAGTGAAGAAATACTAGCGAGCGTAGCAGGGCGGAAAAAAAATTGGACAATTTTATGTTAAAAGTATATATTTTCCAATCAAAGGGGACATACGCCCTCTACGCCCCCTCCCCCAAGAGTCCATCACTGCTAGGTAAAACGGATATTAAATGACCGTATATGAAACGATTCTATTGACAAAACTTAAAGTATAACGGAGATATTTACTAAATCATTGAACAGCTGTTAAAGCATAGGATAAAAGTGGTGAAGTAAACAATTGTGATATACCAGTATATATATAACCCGAGTACTGGTATATAGAACCCGAGGTGTTAAGTGAACATGATATACGTGAAGGATAGTACTGATAGGATAGGCTACGTGTTATTATAATGTTATCTAAGTTTAAACTGTAATTCTTCTGCCGATGTGTTTGCTATTAGTTAAACAAGCAAAAAGCTTTAAGATAAGTGTGTTGATCGAGCAATGTACATAGGGAATTCTTGATCTGAAACGTTATGTGTAAATACATATTATACATATGCAAGTATTGTGTGTTGCAAAATAATAACTTACCCATGACAATCATGAATGCACCATTAGAACACTTCAGGACTTCGTCGATAAATGATTGTGGAATCAGGGTCTGCAAACCTAACCATGTGTCAATCAAAGTAGCTCCTAGCTCAATGGTCAGACCGATAGCCAAGGCAACGGATAGATCAGTATCACACACAGTTTCCAAGTACCGCTCACGGTGATCCTCTACAAGATCTAAAGACCAAACCATTCTAGCGAAATAGTAAGACGAGGCACCAGCTAAAGTCTGTACTAAAATTTTAGCAATAGCAGTTTTTGTGCTTATTTTAAATGTACACAAATCGTAGAACGATTTAACTGGATTCTCCGAAGCACCGAAATATGTTCTGTTTGCTACCAAACACTGGAGAACAACTGCAATGAATAACCATATGGCACCATAGTGCTTCATTATAAAGTTATTTTCGAAGAAGTAAGCACACATTTCCAAAGTGGCTGAAAAATCCGCAATGTATTGTTGGCACCACACAGGAGAGTACTGCTTGTTCAAAACACGGAGTATCACTCCCGTGCCCATGGTTACAATAAAATAAACCAAATTTCCTATAACTGGACTAAGAAAGTCTTCTAAATCCTGAGATTCTCCCATAGTCAGTTGCCATAGAGCCCGCCAAGCCATCTACAACGAGTACAATTATCTGCAATTACTTAGTTATATTAAGTTTAGAAGTGATCCATTATTCCAATATTATTATAAATACGAATCATGACACCTTTCTGATCATTTCACAACCCTTATTGATTCTAAATAGTCTCATTTTTCTTTGTTTGTTTTTGGTTTAGATAAGTGTCGAAGAAGACATCTAATAATCTCCGTTGGATTCATTCATTTTTATTTTTTGGTGAATGAATTTATGTAATTATAAGAACTACTAGTCTGATTTTTGTCGAGCCTTCGAATTTTGTCGAAAAAGCGAGATATAGCGATCCTACATTCCGTCGGCGTCGGCGTCGTCGTCGTCGTCGTCGGCTGCGTCCACAAATATTCACTCTGGTTAAAGTTTTTGAAATTTGAATAACTTTCTTAAACTATCCTGGATTTCTACCAAACTTGGACAGAAGCTTGTTTATGATCATAAGATAGTATCCAGAAGTAAATTTTGTAAAAAAAAAATCCTGTTTTTCTGTATTTTACTTATAAATGGACTTAGTTTTTCTGCCAGGAAACATTACATTCACTCTCTGGTTAAAGTTTTTGAAATTTGAATAACTTTCTTAAACTATCCTGGATTTCTACCAAACTTGGACAGAAGCTTGTTTATGATCATAAGATAGTATCCAGAAGTAAATTTTGTAAAAAAAAAATCCTGTTTTTCTGTATTTTACTTATAAATGGACTTAGTTTTTCTGCCAGGAAACATTACATTCACTCTGTGGTTAAAGTTTTTAAAATTTTAATAACTTTCTTAAACTATCCTGGATTTGTACCAAACATGGACAGAAGTTTTTTTATGATCTAAAGCTAGTATCTAGAAGGAAATTTTATTTAAAATTTTGTACTTGTTTATCCATATTTTACTTATAACATGTATAAATGGACTTAGTTTTTCTTCCAGTTAACATTACATACAGTCTGCAGTTAAATTTTTTAAAACATTTATTAGATTCATAAACTATCCTGGATTTTTACCAAACTTGGACAGAAGCTTCTTACAATAAAAAAATTGTATCGAGAGGAATATTTTTATTACATTTTTTCCTCATCTCATTTTTGTTGAGCCTGCGATTAACAGCAAAAGTAGGTGAGACACTGGGTTCCGCGGAACCATTACAATTTTTTTTACATTAGCAACACGACTAGTGAAACTGGAACTCTTTTATGTGAACAATAAAACTATGCCCCAAACACCTGTTTTCAATCCGGATTTCGACAGGGTTTGTTGTGTTTCGTGGACTGTGGACTGCTTTTTGTCAGTTGGCCACGATGTTGCCTGCCTTTACTCGGCTTATTATATTTGTTCGTCCCTTTGGTATAGCTTTTTATAAGGATTGAGAGTATTGAATACTGCATTCGCAGATAAAATCGCCAATTTCTATATATTTGAAAAAGCAAAGTCAGTCAAAATTTTGTAGTTAACTACATTTGTTTGTATTTTCATAGAGTGAAGCGTTTGCAAGTCTTTTTCATTTTGACTTTGACTCGTTCTAATAACGAATTGTTAACGCTAAATAGGCAACAAGTTTCAACAAAATCAGTATTATAATCAAATGCATGCACTTATATTAATTATACCAATATAAGAATCACCTTGTCCGTCTGTCTGTCTGTCAGGTTTAGGTTGAACTTAGATAGATCAAACTTAGTATGCATATGCATCACGGGACGGGTGCGTGTCATATATCAAAATCAGGTCACTCTGACCTTTACTGACATTTGACCCTTGTAAATCCTTGTCTGGCTCATAACTATATATAATGTACCAGCGGAAAACTTAGGTTAACCAAACTTGGTATGCAGTTGCATCATGGGCCTCGGGGGGGGGGGGGGGGGGGGGGGGGTGGGGAGTCATATACTAAAGTCCGGTCACTCTGACGTTTATTTGACCTTTGACTCCTACCACAGTGAAATATTGCCTGCGCATAACTTTTGTACAATGATCTGCTGATGCACTATTGGTTGTGTGTGTGTGTCATACACCATAGTTCCCTCAACCATTGACCCTATGATAGTTATTTGTGTCCGGGGTATAACAGTGTTCTCTTGAGATGAAATGAATGACTGAAAGCCAACAATATCGAAGTGTCAATGTCTCTGTACTGAATTTCACAGAAGCAACTAAAATGAATGGACGGGGGTATTAGTTCCCCTATGCTAACAGCTTTAATTTATTTTGGAACCGCTAGGTACGTTTCATTAATAATTGCAAACGCTTCAGGGAACGACCATATTTAACTTCAAGGGGGGGGGGGGTGTTCTTAAAAAAATATTCTGATTTATAATATATATATTAAATTCAAAATAATTTGATTGATAGCGTTATAAAACTAAATAAAATTGTTCTGACTCAAACAAAAAACCATAACCCCCCACCCCCCTTTTGAAGTTAAATGGTTGCTCCCTTACTATAAAAATACCATCGAATACAAGATAAACGACAGAGTATTGATAGCTTTGCTATATTAAATATAGCAATTTTTGTATTTTATTTGAAAATGCAATAAAAAAACTTTCGAACATTACAGTAAGCCATATTCCTACTGTAGGTCCGTAAACTTTTTGTCATGGACGAGTCACGGTCTAGTCGCTGACCTCTAGCTCGACTTTTTTTTATAGTTTTGTTGAGTTGCTATGTCAATGCCGTTTAATATTACGTTTCTTAAGTATGCGTGTGTGTTTATGATGGAGATTCATGACCTACGATGACAAGTATTTGTACATGAATAATTATATTATAAAATAATTAATTTATCTATATATAACCACCTACCATTTAACTGGTTTGAATGAATAAAGAATGTTGACATTGAGCGTGAAGGTCAGCAACAGGAATTATTGCTTTATCAATATCTCGAAACTGCTATCTTGTTATTAAATATTGATATATATCTAACTGCTTATTGATTAACATACCTCTGAAACTGGAATGTCCAAACAAAAAAATCCGGATGTTTACAAAGTTTCCGCTTGAAAGATGACAGTTTCCTTTCTTATGGAAAACATTAAATTATACACAAAGTTATAACTGTTATTCTATCTATTGATAAATACATGTGCACATAATCATGGTAATTGGTCGTTCAGTACAGATTTATCTGTCTAGTGAGTAGTTACAAATGTAAATATATTAGATACATATACTCTGAGGGCGTTAGTCCTTTAGGATGTATCCGAAGGTGGTTCTAATTTACACAATGATTTTATGATCCATGCATAATTAAGCTTTCAATATTTAAAAAGGTGGTCTTCATAATATTTTAGGTTACAGCGTGATATATGCAGAATATCCAATAATATTTAAGGCAAAATTGCCGTAGACTACTTTCTGCTGCACAGTAAACCGTTTTTTAATGCTCTCAACATTTTATGGTATATTTTTTTTGGTTTTCCAAAGTTAAGAGGCTCAGGTTCTGATGAAATTTTTCGAGAAACACATGTTAATCATATGTAAATCGACATCATTCGTTTGTATCACTTCCTCTGTGTCGTTAATACTGTTGGCGGACTACAGTCAGTTCCCAGAGCTAACCATCCACCAAGTAGACAGTGCTTCTATACTGGCATAATCTAAATGATTTGACTGTAGCTTTTCAGTTTTTGAATACTAGTATAATGTGATCCTACTTTTAAAAACTAAAGTTGCAACTTTTTTATGCAAATTTGACCTTAGCTGATTTTTGCTGTTTTGATGAGGTCCATTTTGGTGCTTATGCTTTCGATTGTAGCCATGCCAGGTATCTGATGAATGTTAATCCAGAAACACATGTCATTTACATAGAAAAGGTTGGCATTTAATTACATTAGAAGAATACGACCACGACCAGGTCACATGAAGATTTCATATGAATCTAGACTCATAAGACAGAAGCATCATACAGAGATAACTACTCATAACACCTCGGTTATACGCTAACTCATAACACATCGGTTATACGCTAACTCATAATACATCGGTTATACGCTAACTCATAATACATCGGTTATACGCTAACTCATAACACATCGGTTATACGCTAATATACTCAATTTTCTCTAATGGAAAAAAATATACTCCCAAAAGCACTTTTTGTTGTTCTTTTCTTCATGATTATTTGTAGTTCAATTTCAAACCCGATGATGAGGTACTTCCCATGCATACACTTACTGGTAAGAATGAACCACCGAGATGATCTGTGATCATGACAGATGAATTTGAAATAATCTAAGGGGACAGAAAGTTACTCTCATTGTAGTGCAATTATTTATTTATAAGACAATATTGCATGAATATTCTAATTTTTCATGCTCCACTTTTTCTAACATTTTTGGGGTTGGGGTATTTATTTCCAATTTGGCTTTTGGAAAGGTCTTTTATGTTTGCAAGTTGCAATGTCAGGTTATTTATCTTCAAAATTATCTTGCCTCCTTCCCCACAAATTATAAAAGAGAGGCGACAGATACCAAAGGGACATTCAAATCCATAAGTCGAAAATATACTGACAACGCCATGGCCTAAAAAGAAAAAGACCAACAGACAAACAGACAAACAGACAAACAGACAAACAACAGCACATAAAACACAACATCTAAAGACTGAGCAACACGAACCCCACCAAAAACTGGGGGTGATTTCAGGTGCTCCGAAAGGGTAAGCAGATCCTGCTCCAAATGAGGCACCCGTCGTGTTGCTCATTTTAGTACAAACCCGGTAATAAGTCTAAATCGGTAGGTCACATTCGGGGAAATGGGGACGGGATTGTAGTTACGACATTTGGAACATATCCGCTGTCATCTGTGAAACGGATATTTCATAACGGTCAACCAGCTCGCGATGGCGTCTGTAAAATTTACGAAGGGATGATTTCAACTTCACCACTTGGAACTCTTGGTTTAATAGCTTCCTTGTGAGCAACAACCCTCTATCAAAGAAATCATGATAGGAAATACAAGCCCTAGAATATCGTATTAACTCAGAGATATATACTCCGTATGCAGGCGCTGCTGGAATGTTGCTACATAGAAATGGAAAGTTCACAATTGGGAAGCTGAAATCATCTCTTATTTTGTTTTCAGTCGACCCTCACTGTCAATTTAATTCTAGATGTTAGTCAAGATATGAGGCAGACTTAACTGTATCTGTTGTATCCTTTATCTCAAGTTCGATGGGATAGTTGCGTTCAACATAGTCACCAAATTTTGAATTATTTAGTGATAAAACATCATCTATATAGCGGAAAGTAAAGTTAAAGGATACTGCCAACTTCTTTTCTTTCTTCCTAAGAAGTTTCTGTTTGAAGTCAGCCTCATATGAATAAAATGAACAAGTCGGCAAGAAGAGGGGCACAGTTAGTTCCCATGGGAATGCCGATTGTTTTTTGAAAAACACGTCCTCCAAACGTAAATGGTCGAACCCTTATGTAACTTTCAAAATGTATTTTTGAATGTTACAAAAGATCTCATTTATAGTTGTCAAAAAGGGACCAATCAGACGTTACAACACAAATAATGCACAACTACGTAGTCATATCTTTGTTATTTTTAAGGAAAGGTAGCAAAAAGAAATTAATTCGTATCAATAGTAATATCACAACTATTTCTATGTGAAATTTGTAGTATTTTGGTCTGATTAAAGGAACATTTAAAAACCTCTTTATGGTCAATTTTAGCCCTTCGTGAACCGCCTCCTTTGGACGAACATAGCACCTTCAAACCTCACATACCAGATAATGTCGGTTGTAAAAGTGTACAACTTAACGAACTATTATAATAAATTTATTAAATGAAGCTTTTTAAATTTTAAGATTTCGAAATAATGCTTGTCTATTTTGTATGGTACAAAACGTAAAAATTAGAGGCTCTGAAGAGCCTGTGTCGCTAACCTAGGTCTATGTGTATTTAATTTAACAATGGACAATTGCCAACATTGTAGACTAGAATATAATTCATGACAAAAATCTCTTCGCTATTGATCTTGTATTTCTGATAAAAAAAAAATTGTTTACAGTTTTTGTCTATCGCTGTTGGCGCAAAATTTGACTTATTTGTAGATTGTTTCTTTCTGATCATTTTAGCTGTTTAAAGTGTCTACCTAACTTTTATAGTTTTCAAGATAATAGGCAAAATATTGGTCAGACTTGTCATCTAAGAGCAATAACTCCAATAAGGAGTCAACTGGTTTTTTTTTATTTATATTTCAAACTTAGGATTTCGGCCATGTTTGACTTATATATATATAGATCTGGTCATGCTGATCATTTTAGCTCATTAAAATGTCTATCTACCTATATATGATAAAAAGGCAAACACAAAAAATTGGTAAAAAACCAATAACTCCAATAAGGAGTTCACTGACGATTTCGGCCTTTAAACTTATTTACAGATCTTATCATGCTGATCATTTTTGCTTTTATCAATTATAGTTTTTAAGATATTTGACAAAAACGCAAAAAGATGTCAATGAAGGGCAATAACTCCCATAAGGAGTCGATTGCCTATTTCGGACATTTGACTTATATGTAGCTCTTATCTTTCTGATCATTTTTGGTATTTAAAGTGTCATTATATTTATTTTAGTTTTCAAGATACTAGGCAAAACAAAGTTTCTATCTATCTATTATAGTTTTTATCGAGCCTGTGACTTCTGTCGCAGAAAGCTCGACAAAGGAATGTGATCCGGCGGCGGCGGCGTTAACTAACTACTTAAAAGCTTTATATTTTAGAAGGTGGAAGACCTGGATGCTTCATACTTTGTGTATAGATGCCTTATGTTATGAAGTTTCATATGTCCACTGTCCTTTACCTCCTTTTCATGGTTCAGTGACTACTTGAAAAAAAAGTTGAAATTTTTTATAATGTTAATTTCTCTCTTATTATGATTAAAAGGATAACTATATTTAGTATGTGCGTACCTTGCAATGTCCTCATGTCTGTCAGTCAGTTTTCATCTGACCTCGACCTCATTTCATGGACTAGTGAACAAGGTTAAGTCTTCGTCGTCAAGTCCATATATCAGATACTATAAGCAACAGGTCTACTATATTTGGTGTATGGAATAATTGTGAGGTGTACATGTCCAACTGGCAGGTGTCATCTGACCTTGACCTCATTTTTTCATGGTTCAGTGATTAAAGTTAAGTTTTGTGTTTTGGTCCTTTTTTCTAATACTATATGCAATAGGTCAACTAAATTTGGTGTATGAAAATATTTTACAATGTACATGTCAGTCTGGCAGATTTTATTTGACCGTAACCTCATTTTCATGGTTCATTGCTCAGTGTTAAGTTTTTGTGTTTTGGTCTGTTTTTCTTGAACTATAAGCAATAGGTCAACTATATTTGGTGTATGTAATGAATGTAAGATGTATATGTCTGTCTGGCATGGTTCATCTGACCTTGACCTCATTTTTATGGTTCATTGGTCAATGTTAAGTTTTCCTGGTTAAGTTTGTTCTTAGAAGGTATAAGCAATAGGTCAACTATATTTTGTGTATGGATTGATTGTAAGGCGTACATGTATTTCCGGTTTGGTTTATCTGACCTTGACCTCATTTTCTTGGATCATGTTAAGTTTATGTGATACTTGTAGTAAAGCTTTATATTTAGGACTATCAACATAAAATCAATGGTCAGTAAAGCAAGCGAGACATTTCAGCATGTGCACTCTTGTTAAGATATAAGCCAAAAAAAGAAAAAAAAAGATAAAATCGTCATTAAAGGGTCACAACTCCAATAAGAAGTCGGCTGACGATTTTGGCCATTTGAGTCATCTGCAGTTCTTGTCTTGAAGATCACTTTTGCTATTTAAAGTTATAGTTTACAAGGTAATCGGCAAAAATAAAGAAAAAAGGGTAAATATGTCATTGAAGGGCAATAACTCCTAGAAGAAGTCGTCTGACAGTTTTGATATTAATGGACTGTAGGTAGATCTTAATATTCTGAAGATTTCTGCCTCGTCATATTTTCACTATTGATAGCGGTTTTCAGGATAATAGACAAAACTTGTATTTTACCCCTATGTTCTATTTTTAGCCATGTCGGGGTCTCGGACACATTTTTAAACAAGATACCCCAAAAATAATTGTGGCAAAGCGGATTTGGTTAAATATGGCCAAGTAGTTTCAGAAGAGAAAGATTTGTAACGGTTAAAGGATGACGACGAACGACGGGCAACGACTACGGACGCCGGACGACGGAAGCAAAATGATGAGAAAAGCTCACTTTGCCCCTTTGCCGGGTGAACTGATTAAGGCCCGCCCACATGGATTTCATTTTGTGACAAACTATGTTATTCGATTTATTTTGATGAGTTTTTGTATATTCTATTGTAATTCTGTGTTATTTCCTCTTTATCGATTTTATGAGTTGAGGCTGCACCTCGCGTCTCCATCTTAATCCGTTCATTAAAATGCACTTCTCGTTATGTTACAAAGACAAATATTTACCCGCATTTATTTGCAATGTACCATTCAGGTACATGTTAATAAAATAAATAACGTATAATTTGAAGTTTATTACCTCCATAGGTTTTTCAAGTATTATGACGATTTGAATTATGTTTACATATACAAGCGAAACAAATACGTCACCCATGCATAAACAATTGTCATAATCAAATTGTCTATGATTGTCCCAATATATTCACCTATATTTTTGTAATTACGTCTAAGCCGATTTGATTTCCGAGGTGAAAATCGATCCCCACTTTTCAGTTTACGTAGTTGCTTAGATTCGATTGTAAACACATTACTGTTATGTATAGTTTACTATTGAGAATTTAAAAAAACATTTTGGAAATTCAAACTGGATGATCGCCACGGTTCATTTGATTACGGAATTTAAAATTTTAGTGCATATTGAAAAAATAATCTGTGTATGAAGATAGTTAAATTAACATGGATTTGTAAATAACTTTTATAAATTATATTTTTGTGACATTCACTTGAACAAGGTAGGTTCAACGATGTTGTTTAAACTTCATTTATGAGTATTTTCCCTTTTTAGTTTCAAACATCTCGTTTGATAAGTATAAAAATAAGAAGATATGATTGTCAATGAGACAACTCTCCACCACATTCCAAATGACATATAAGTTAAGAATTATAGGTCATCGTACGGCTTTCAACAATGAGCAAAAATGTTAACAATCACAGACGAGGATAACTGGTCTGGTTAGTTCAGAACGTTAACATTTTATTGAATCCAAATACTGTGAAAGTACTTTTATTCGTGGGGTACCATTTTTCGTGGTTTTCGTGGATGGCTTTATCGACGAATTTAACTGTCCAACAAATATAATAACTGTTGTCCAATTTCAGACATGGAAAGATCCCCATGTAGGTTTGATTACATGGATACGGTCATATAAACCAACGCACTATGAACTAAATATACATTTTTTTGTACAACTTCAGACCGGATTTTACCCATTTAATCTTTAAAAAATCTAAAATGTACGACTGTTAACATTTTAATTCTCATGAGAAATATTTTTTTATCGATGAAAATCAGATATCCGGAGATGCGATAATGAAATGTTCCTTTTTCATAATTCTCATACGAAAAAAAATACTGATTTCATTTTGGGCTTGCTTTTTTAAGTCATAATATTTGTTTCTACAATTCAAAATATTATGAATTTGTTATTTATGAAGGACGAACAAGTGAGTGAAAATGAACACCTTATTTAACAATGCCCCACAAACCATTATAAAACAACATATGATTAATATCACGAATATTCGATTCTGAAGTCTTCAAATTCGTCACTCGATTTTTTTTCTTCAGAAAACTAAAATTCACGAATTTAAGAACCCACGAACATGTAACTTTTGCTGAAACCACGAAAATTGATACCCACGAATAAAAGTACTTTCACAGTAATACATTTTTGTAGAATTTAATCGCTTTCCATAGTAAAACACGACTTAAATTCAAACATTGCTTTCCAAAGTAATACAATTTAAATTCCACCATTCCGTAAAGGTTCATGGATCCTCAACTATATGGATATGTTACAAACGAGGAGATGTGGTATGATTGCCCCCATAACCACAGTAACATGAATGTATGCAGCTATAGTTCATTGTATGGCCTTCAACAATTAGCAAAACCCATATCGTATAGTCAGCTGTAAAAGACCCTGACATAACAAAATGTGAACTTGGGACGAGAAAACCAACGATTAATTAACAAAAGAATTAACGAAAAATAAATATGCCAGACATGAATCAACGACAACCACTGAACTACAGGCTTCTGACTTGGGACAAGCACATAAAGAATGTGGCGGAGTGAAACACGTTTGTGAGGGTTAAACCCTCCCCTAACACAATAATGAGAACAAACTGTAAAAATCAATTGGAAATTCTCTTAAAAATACATTAAGACGAGGGTAAAAAATAACAAACAAAGGGCAAATTCAGAAAATAAAACAATTCTTGGTAATAACAATAGCAGCAAACAAAAATAATACAAGGTAATTAATATAGAGAAATAGAAGACATTTAATAATAAAAATCAACGATGGACATCTCTTTCCGTGAGTTTCACAAGCAAAAAAAACATAACTGTAAAGTACAAGGTCATACACCTCAAACATTTTTTTGAGGATGTACTTGCTTACATGAACAATCTTAATCTAATATAAAGGTATTCAAGTGATTTTAAAAGTAAGTCAGTCCGATTAAATAAATGTTCATAATGAAAATTACACCGAATTAAACTACCATACATTAACATTCAGCAAACTAATCGGACCAAAGCAATCCGCTTCTAATGATTGAAAACATTAATATATGAAAATAAAAGACCCCATGGACATGAAAATAGAAATGAAAATCATTTCGTATGTCCACTTGGGGATGAAATTGGTTCTTTCAACGCTAGTCGAATCGATCGTTTTACTTCACGCAAACTGTAAATTTACTCTTCAATTCTCATGACTAAATTTAGGGGGACCACGGTGGCCTAGTAGTGTAGCTCAATTGACTAGGATTGTTAGTTCTTTTACTGAAGGTCTGTGGTACTCTCCTGGCACGCTGGCTTCCTCCACCAATAAAAGTTGGCCGCCACTTAATAGCCAACAGTGCTTAAAGTGGCGTTAAACACCAATCAATCAATCAATCATGATTAATTTGAAGTTGTTGCATCATTGGCCAAACGTGAGTCGAATGATAATCGATCGTTTTATTTCAGGCATATTACACTTCAATTTTCATGATAGATTTGAAGTAACTGCATCATTGGTTGTTTTAAAAGAACTGATAAAAAGGCATCATGTGTTTTAGGGAGACAAAGAACAACACATATTCCAAGTACTCACAAGGTGTTGATAGAAAAATCACGCTGTAATCGAGTTGTTAGAATATTGGAGTACTTCATACAAAAGGAGAGATGTGGTATGATTGCCAATAAGGCAACGATTCACAAAAGCCCAAATGTCATATATGTAAGTAACTATAGTGTACCATACGGCCTTCAACGATGGGTAAAACCCAAATCATAACATCAGCTATGAAAGGCCCCGACATAATGAAATGTGAAACAATTCAAACGAAAAAAAAAATAACGGCCTGATTAATGACAAAACGAAAGATACATATGATATACAGCAACAAACGACTAACAGTTCATACATATTTAAGAAATAGATCCGACCTTTAAAATTACTAACACCATTTATGAATGTTTTTACAGGGAAGTTATCGAACATGGGATGTGCACCATCATCAGATACCGGCACACAATATGCATCACTTGGTCACCATGGAAACACAAATGTAAGTAAGAAAACTAAAACACCAACAGATAGCCAACTATATGGTAATACAAATAAAAGTAGAAAGTCGTCTACATCGTCGTCTTCATCAGATGATAGTCGAAAAAGCAAAAGAGAAAATCAGCAAACTAATATACATCCTGTTCCACCACCACCGGTACATTTGACAGAAAATGACAAGAAACAACAACAGGAAAGAAAAGTCAAAACACCGCCACCACCGGATCCGGTTCCAACACCTAAGGAAAAGGAAGAGGCACCACCTGTGCTTCCCCCTCCGCCTGTTGAAGAGAAAGAGAAGAGACAACCAAGTCCAGTACCATCGCCTACTCCAATAGAACAGGAACAAGAGCGTCAACCAAGTCCGAAACCACCACCCCCACAAGATGATGATGACAAGAGAAACCCAACTGACGAAGATCAAGAACAGGTACCCCCAATGCCGCAACAGGAAGAGGAGAAAATAATAACACCACCGCCACAAGAAGAGGAGAAACAATTAACACCATCAGCACCACCAATGCCTCTACCACAAGATATGGTAAAATTTCATCTGCTATGTTTCTTTGTGTCTGTGTGTTCTGTCTGTCTGTTTGTCTGTATGTCTCACTGAACTAACAAGACATTCTATATTTTAATCAAATCAAATTGTCTTATTTGTGTGACTAAATTAATCAAACTGCACTCTGGCTAATTGGTATTACAGCTTGCTTGAATTGTATATGGAATAGAGATTGGGGTTTCTACTGAATGTTTCAGCTCATTATACTATTATAACTCCGTAAATTCGTGGGTTACATTAAAGCCTGTTTGGTCGATAATTGACATTGTGGCTGCTTTAAACGCAAGACCGTTTTCAATATATAATACAAATTCATTTACACATGGAATTCTATACGACTGTCAAATAAGTGAGAGATTTAGCTAGCTATAAAACCAGGTTTTATCCACCATTTTCTACATAGAGAAACGCCTGTACCAAGTCAGGAATATGACACTTGTTTTCCATTCGTTTGATGTGTTTGAGCTTTTGATTTTGCCATTTGATAAAGGACTTTCCGTTTTGAATTTTACTTGGAGTTTGGTATTTTTATTATTTTTCTTTTTACAGTTTAGAAACAGGGTAAGACTGCCTAAGTAACAGTTCACAAACCAACTATTCATTTGTAAAAAATTCATGGCTAAGTGTTCTTTATAAAATATATAATATCATTGTCTAAAATTATATAACAATATACGTATAAGTGTCCTTGGGCCAAAATTTGTGAAATGCGTTGACGAGTATAAAAAGATTATAATTCGCACTTTTAAGTGACATCGGATTAACTTGTAAATAGTTGAAATCAATAATCGAATTCGGCTTTTAAAATATTTAGACACATTTGAAATGAATAAAATTAATATATCATCAAAAACCATAGTAATGCGAATATGAAAGAATTTTTGAATTTTTATAAAAATTTCCTTAACGTCACTGTTTCCCGGTTATACTAACATGGCATGCGTTTGTGTTTCATAATCAGTATTGAGTAAGATGCTTTTATCAATACTTTTGGTTGCTTGTGTTCGGTGGAAGATGACCTTGTATTTAAATCCATTATTACATGTTATATTTATCTTGTCCATGCCCCAATAAGCCATATCTATTCAATGACATGTCACGTGGTCTAAACACTTAATAATTTTCTTGGTAGTATTTATTGTGATATATACACTTGAGTAAAAAAAAACAATCATGGTAAGTACAGTATTATTAATATTACTAAAATATGTAATATAAATATGTAAAGAGAATGCTACTACAATATGTACTATATATGTAAAGATATTATTAATGTTACTACAATATGTAATATAAATATGTAAAGGGAATGCCAATCTAAAAATGTCTGGAATAACGAACCCGAAACTCTATAGGAATCATATAATATTTGGTAATCTTTCTTGGATATTAGAATAAACTATAATAGATACATCATTTCCAAATGATTCGATTAATTTTAACAAACTAAAACTTCATATTACTCCAACACATTTGAAACACATAAACAAAAACATGATAAGGAGAAAAAACCTAACATCTAGAAAAAAATCATATAAAATCATTACAATAATGGACATATGCATTAGTTCGAAATGTGAAATTTAATGGAATGAAACATTTAAGAATGAGATAAACTGACATTCTGTTTGGACAAAGCTGCCTGTATCCAACAACTTTTTAATGAGGATAACTACATACCATAAATTAGTGCTTTACAGTTATGACCACTTACTGTCCTACATAATGTATATGTCTTTACACCTAGTCCATTAGCTGTGATATTCTATTCTGGAAATCATAATTTATTTAAGAGTTATAATTGGCTTCGAACTAGTTTTGAGTAACTACGAATGCTATTAGATCTATACTTTGTTTCTTTAGTCTTTTTGTAAGTTGTTTTTGTTCGTTTTGTCGATCTGATGGTTTAAACCTTTTTCGACTGATTTTTACAGTTTGTTCTTACGTTGTGCTGTTACAACACTTACAGTCCCAATTTTGGGGAAGGGTTAAGCGCTCACTGACATGTCTAACCCCGCCATATTTTGTATGCGTCAGGGGCATGTAATTCAGTGGTTGTCGTTGGTTGCTTTTTAGCTTTTTTTGCCTTGCAAGCCACACATTTTATTGTGTGTCTTGCAAGGCAATATTATCGTTTACACAGTTTTTTCTTGCATTGTGCATTGCCTTTGTTTATCAATGAGTTTAGCACTTATGACCAGTTTCTCATTATACTAAATGCGTTTTTAAGTAAAATGTTTTGCTAAAACGTTATTCAGATCCTTATATGTGTATTGTGATGCAGTTCCTTATCATACATACTTGAGTGTCTTTGTAAAAGTGTATAAATTACACATTTTATTGTGTGTCTTGCAAGGCAATATCCAAACAAAATGATTTCCCTTTTACTTATTTCAGGATGATTCAACAAGAAATGGAGGAGAAACAGCAAAACCAGGAAACGACAACATCGACTTCGACAATACTGATAATATGGACACACCGGCGCTACCGGACTTTGGTCGGTCAGAATATGTACCAACGGATGTTGGAACGAAAGAACGGTTTGTAGATTTCCGTACAGAAGGCGGAGATTTCACAAACCCATCTAGACCTTCACCCAACGACAATGGACTTTACACTGAGTTTGAATTCACGGTTGATGTGGCTATTCCTAGTGCAAGCGGCCTTCAATGGCAGAGACCAGCTGTGAGTTAAATACCTTTAAATTATTAAGATTATATGGGCCAAATCATTTCTGGTATCTAAATTAAATGCTTTTCAACTTCGTATTATTTGACCTTTTTTTTCTTATTTCGGAACTATCCGATAAATTTTATATAGGAGAAACGCGCGTCTGGCGTATTTAGTTCTAGGCCTGGTATCTTTGGTTACTTTTGAATAAATGTTGGTCGGTACCACTCCAAGTATACATGTTAAAATCTCTCGAAATATACAAGTTCTAACCCTAGACTGACATATATATGGCATTTGTTAAATTTGTCACTACATTCTTGAATTTGGGGTTATCTTTACTCTGCAGCTTCGTCATTTATTTGAATTTACAACTGTTTTGAATAGAATATATGATGGCGTTTAAGGAAAGAGAAGAAAAAATAGAAAAATCGGACAAGCAACCATAAACAAGACAAAATCAATAACTTAAAATGTGAATGATAAAACGAGAACAAGGTTGTGAATATGAATTAAAGGGAGATGCTGGGTTAAGTACATTATTAAACGCATTTCAGAATATTGACGAGAAACTATAATTGCATGTGAATCATAGTGATATATACTATAATGGAAATAAGCACAATTATGAAAAAAACAACTTTTAAGATTTTTCTTCATCCTTTACTTTTTCTGCTCGTGGGTGTATTTCTAAAATAACTGTTTCTTGTAGGAAATTTGTGAAAGTCCAGCTTTGTTTACTGATGGCACCACAAGATTTGACATTGGACAAGGTAGAGTTGGTACCTGTTGGTTTTTGTCTATGGTGGCAAATATTGCAGATAAACCAAGGCTGTTAGCACGAGTAAGCACATGTTATATTTTCAAAAAACAAAACAAAAAATATTGTATGTACTTTTAGATGATAAACAATATTCTTTTATAAATCATATTATTTAAAAAAAATTGAGAGTCGATCTAATAAGAAAAAATAGTTAATTATTGAGTATTGAACTCTAAAGTGTTTAACATAAATGGAATCTACTTGCTTAATCGGGAAAACGTTCGCATTAAACAGATAGAACAAAATAATACATTGTGACAGTCAATTATATATTGGTTTTGGACTCTTTCGTAGGTTGAACTTATATATTGTAGTTATTTTGAACATTTTCCCAGTCAAAGAATATCAAGGAAATTAAAATGAATAACTGAAGCAAGTACAGGAATCTACAGGAAAAGTTACCAGCCAATCAAATAGGTTCTAGATACATGTAATTATAACTGCTACTTTCAAATATTGACTTTAACAGGTGGTTCCAGCTAAAGATTATAAGATCGGTTCTAATGAATACGACGGCGTCTTTCACTGTCGGTTCTGGAGATTTGGACACTGGAGTGATATATATATAGATGACAAACTACCCACAACCGGTCGCGGACTTTATGGAGCTCACTCTAATACCGATCCTAACGAAATGTGGGTGGCTCTTCTCGAGAAGGCGTTCGCACGGTAAATATTGTAGACAGTTGTTTATGACTTTTGTCTAATTTTAAACAATAAATATATTTACACTAAGAAAGTGTTTGGCAATTAAATTCGTTCGTTATATGAAATAGGAGTAAGAGTAAGCTAATTATAAATATACTTTTAGACTTTGATAATTAATAGAAGCGATGCTTTTATCGAATTCAAAATACGCAATATGAGTTACCGGAATTACCTCATCAAGGAACGATCGAGTACAAAAATTGGAAATCAGAATACATAAAAAATTCATGGCCATTCAAAATTAAAAGGCCTGGCTAGAACCATTAAAATAAGTTCAATGGTTAACTTTATGTATTGTATGATAAAGGATTTTTTATTCAAGTAAATATAATCTATTAAATGATTTTTTTTGTCTAGAATGTATGGAAGTTACGATGAGGTATCGGGAGGAAGAACGGCCGATGCCTTTATGAATCTTACTGCCGGTGTAGGAGAAACCATTAAGTTTGAAACAATGAAAATGTCATCTCAACAACTGTTTCGGAGACTTAAAAATGCATTCCAGTCAAAGACTACAATGGTTGGCTGTGTTTGTCCGGTAAGTACATTGCATTGCTGACTTTCATACAGGGTTTTTCAAATACATTCTTGTATGCAATGAAAGGATAATTAATTTTGGTGTTTCAATTTAAATATTTTTTAACCCAATGTTTTGCTGTATATCAAAGTCGGTATTTTAGAATGATATGAAATAAGTGGTTATTTTTGTTTAATTGTTCAGCCCTTCAACATACATGAACTACTTTTTTGTTCATATTATACATTTTGAAAAGTTTTTGTTGAATTGAGCAAGATATCAGTGAAACGTAACACTATACTGATGTAAATGTGTTTTATAATATATAAGTATAATTTGAAAATATTTTGTTTCAGCAAAAAAGTGATGGACAGATTGGTTTAGTTGGAGGTCACGCATACTCAATGAATGGAACATGCCAGGTTAGATAAACAGTTTAAATCTATTTTTGTTTAATCATAGTTCCTACTCTTAAACCATTGTGGTGACGTCAGCCTATTCATTTACCGTGGATTCTTTTTCTAGAATCAACGCTTCCTAAATCTGCCGCTGAAATTGACTCACCAAATTATATTCAATTGTTTCCTTTGTGTGCCTAATTTCATTAAGTTTGAATTGGCTAATTTACTGATTTCTGTTCACTAATGGAATTAATTTAAAAACTTACCTTTAATTTTTGTAATTTTTATGTGCCTTCACTGGGAATCGAACCCTTCCTTGAAATATGTTATGTGTGACTGACATCAACACATCGACTAAACCTCTCGGCTACCAATGGGTTGCACTATAGATGTCTATTTTATATATTTAAATGAACATCTGATATACATCGGTTCATCGGACACACAGGGCTTGTACCTTTATATAGACACAATAGGCAGTCGTATAGTATGAGTTGGTAGCCGCGAGGTTAGCATGGTTAAAATCAATGAGTCAAAGATATGGATTTGTCGGTTTAGGTTCGAATCCCTGTATTCTCTCTGTTGTTCCAATTCTTAAGTTATCCTGTTTTTTTTTCTAATTTTGCATGTTATAGTGGATATTTTTGTAATAATAGCGAGTTTTTACCGTTTTTTTTTATCATTATTGGCTATTTCACATGTTTGAAACAAAAATGATTACATTCTATTTGTCAATTTTTGTTTTATAAATATAGTATGATTTCATCTGTTTTACTACATAATTTTACAAAGGTTTGTTCGCAAATTCCTATGCGTGAAAATCGTGATGTGCCTATATATAGAGTGCTAGAAAAAGTCTGATAACATACTTATTATATATACTTTATATATGCCTTTTGGTCGGGTTCTGGTCTCTTTGACACGTTCCCCATTTCCATTTTCAATTTTGTTTTTAAATTTTCAATTTTATTAGAAATAATTTCGAATATGTCTTATTTTTTATAAACAGATAATATTCATATGCCTGGTAATATGAAGATCTTTAAAGGTAGAAGTGTTATATTTGTGTTTTGTTAACCAATTAATTGTGATCTGAGATTTATCAATGCATCGTTGGACACGATAACATGGTTATTTACAATACCTTCTAATTAAGAAAAGGCTTTAATTTTGAAAAGAAATTAACACAATAGTTTAAGTTATAGATACAATGGGCAAGCGTGGATTCATGAAAAACAAACCATTCGCCCTCCGGGCTCATGGTTTCTTTTTCAAGAATCCACGCTTATCCATTGTATCTATATAACTTACACCCCAGTTCTATTGTTATACTTCATAGTTTCTATTTCTGAAACAAGTGTAAATTGAATAGATCTATTGTTACGAATAACAATGGATTTTGATCACAGAGTGTGACGAGCGGGGTTTCTGGAAACCCCTGCTTCTACATCCCAGAAACACGGTCCATTGTTATTCATAACAATAGAAATTGTTTTTTTTAATAGCATGAACTTAAGAGAGGTTTATAGTGTTCACTACAAGTTGTTTCAAGACATATTAAAAAACATATTTCAGGAAATTCCAATAGCAAAACAAATATTTAGCTTCTATTTTGAATTAAAAACAACATTTAAATACTCCTTTGCTTGAAGCTAAAATTTTAATCCCATATGGCAATGTCTTAAAGAACATACATGTACAGAACTTTTATTTGAATTCTACATTAAAAACATATAGTTTTCATTTGGACTAAGTCTTAAGACTAATGATTGCACCCAGGGGCGGATCCAGCCAATTTTTAAAATGGGGTGCCAACCCAGGATAAAAGGGGGGTTCCAGCCATATGTCTACATTCTAAAACATTGATCGTAAAAATATGGAGATTCCAACCCCAGAACCCCCCCCCTTTTGGATGACCCCAAAAAGGGGGGTTCCTACATATGTAATCTTTTTTTTGTATGTTAAGCGTGTCCGGTCGACGGGTTTCTAATCCAGACACCTATCCCTCACTATGTTCGAACATGAATGTTTGTTTAATGTTGAGAAGAAGGGGGGGGGGGGGCTTTTTTGATAAAACCGTAACATGTAAAATTACCTTGATTAAACTGTTACATGTAAGAACTTTGGGTTATAAACATTGCGTTATCTTCAGTCTCTTCTGCCAAATCCAACGCCTGACTCAAAATGTCGTCCGTCTTATCCCCGTCCATATTGACAACTGCATAAAAGGATTATGATTTTTTTTTGTAATAAGAATGCACGATACGGCCAACCTTGTCCTGCTGATCCATATTAGCACATGGATTTAACGGGAATATTAGCAAAACGGCAACTTTGACATTTGTAAAATCTACTCACTTGTCAAAGTTTGAATGCAGATCGTCAAAGGAAGGTTACTTGTGGGGTTTCATCTAAAAAAAAAAAAATTTTCTTATTAATCGTGGTTTGAAATTGTCAATAAAAATGCTATCCGTTCTTTTTCATTTAATATTCAATGTTAACAAATATAGGGTTTAGTATCGGGTGTAAGTTAGTTATACACTTTGGGATACGGCGTGTCTGGATAAGAAACCCCTCCGGCCTCCGGCCGTCGGCCGTCGGGGTTTCTTATCCACACACCTATCCCTCAGTGTAAAACTATTACAGAATTTGAAATAGCATCGACAAGAAGAACTGATGTTTTACTCACTGCTGATATATACTTACACAAACTGTTAAAAATACGTTATTTTACTTACCTCTTTAAAAACTTTTCAATACTGATTAAAGTTCTGAAACGCGTATATACAAATCTGTATAATTTTAATGGGAATAGTCTGCACCTTTTTTGCCATGATTAATATTTGTTACAGGTCTTAAAGACATCACACAATATTTTGTAGGTAGGTGATACTATGTTGGTTCGTATTCGTAACCCATGGGGAAGACAAGAATGGGACGGACCATGGAGTGACGGGTTAGTTATTCTTAGGATTCACCGTATTCTGTTCATATATAGGACAGTGATTAATTCACCAAAAAACCTGCTCATCAATTATATGTAGACAAAAGTATATATGAAAGTGAGATTTCAAGAAACCAATATAAAATCCAAAAGTTGTAATACTAATAATTCTCACGAAAACAGCTACAAAATAGTTCATCTCAAAGCTTAAAAAAGATTTTGTAAAGTCTAAATTGAGCAAAAACTTTAACATTACAACATTCAAGTGGGCCACTGCAAAACAACACTGAGAAAATATTTCACCTTATAACATATCCAAGATAATCACTGCAAAACCTTAATTTTACAGCAAACGCAATAGTCCTACAAGGCTGTCCCACAAAATAACATATCATAAACGAGCAATATCATGCACTTTTAAAGAATTGTTTGAACTTTGTAGATCTTTGCTGAACACATGTATTTCAATACATGTCACATATATTAAATTTTCGTAACAGTTTTCTTATTTCCTGCAAATCATATCTATTCAACTTGTAATATTTTCCTACTTTTTATTGTATCTAAACATATGTTGTAATTGTATCTAAACATATATTGTAATTGTATCTAAACATATGTTGTAATTGTATCTAAACATATATTGTAATAGTATCTAAACATATGTTTTCTATAGGAGTAGGGAGATGAATCAGTATGGAAGTTCCATTCCACATCCGAATAAAGATGACGGAGAATTCTATATGGATGTAAATCATTTCCTCCAGTATTTTGAACAGTGCACCATTTGTAATTTAACACCAGACGTTGACAGAGATGGAACGGCAGATACTTTAAGTAAGTCATAATTAGCAGGATCTGCTTACCTTTCTGGAGCACCAGGTTTTTGGTGGAATTCGTGCAGCTCAGTCTTTAGTTTTTTATGTTGTGTGTTGTAAACTGTTGTTTGTCTTTCCTTTTATTTAGGCCATGGCGTTGCTAGTTTGTCTTGTACTTATGAGATTGACTATGCCTTTGATATCTTCAGCCTCTCTTTCATTAATTAATAAAGCAACAATATTTGAACAAGGTGCTTATCACGTAGACTGCAATATAAATATATGGATGGAAACATATATCATCAATAGACAGGTGTTTTCACAATACCGGGTATGTTAAGCTCTAGATCGTCCCGAGTATATAAAAGTTGCAAATAAATTTAACAGAAACAGTCAAAGATCTGCCAGTAAAACCAGATTTTGAAAAGCAAGAAAAACATTGACATGACATTTGACAACCACTAACACTCACGGGCTTAACGTTTCTGATCAAATCGTTATTTTACGTGGACAAGTGTAGTTTCTTACGCATGGGTAGCTACAGTATTCAATATTTACAGCGTTTTAGCATACTTTGGAGAGTAGTTATTCTGTTTTGTATTTAAATATCACGAAACTTTCTTTTTTGTTTTTGTAAATTTTACAAAGCTTTTGAAATAGGTTTATGTATATAAATTTATCTTTTATTGCTTAATAGACTATGTGACATCCTTATTTGGAAATTGGCGTAGAGGGAAAGCTGGAGGCTTCCAAAGCAAACTGCAAAATCCCCAGTTTTGTGTTACAGTGAGTGATCAAGGTTAGTGGATATCTTCAAGCCTATAGGTTGATATATTTATCTCATTGTCTTTTTTCAGACTGGCCTTTTAGGAAGTGAATTGGTAATTGAATAATGTGTCTTCGAAACATCACATTTTTAAGCTGACATAGCTTTTCTTAAGAACAATGATTTAATTCCATACAAATAACACACACTGAGTGCTAGCTAGGGTTTGAATATAAACTATCATACATCTCTCACGATATATCTTTATTCAGTGTATTTGATAAGAATGCAACATTCTTTTGTTGTGGGTAAAATAAGAAAATACAGCAGTATACCTTTTTCGATAATTTGCTAATAATATGATGTTCTTTCTTGCATACGATAGAAATCAAAGGCTTGAACTAGTTTCCTGGGAACATCTTAACACATTAAACCCTTTGTAGCATATTCCAAACAGGAGTTTCATTGGAGATATAAAGATGGTTTCCGAGAGATTTCCTTAATTTTCTGATAAATATATATATTGCCTCAACAAACTAAAAAAAAAAAACAAAACGGAAACGGCTTTTCCCTGAAACATCTTAGTTCAACATCTATATGTTGATCTCGTTCATTCAACATGAACGATTAAATTCTATATCGTTTTAAGGAACAGTAAGTGAGAAATAAAGTAAGTATCTAATGTTATTGAGCTTTTCTTTGTATGCTTATAAGTAGACATAATATTTCTCTTAAGGATTCAAATTTTAATATTCAGTTATTGATTCTTTCATAAATACTTACAACAAAAACAATTAACAAATATTAAACTTACTAACTTTTTTATTACCTTAAATACCAATTTTATTTTTTTTTTATAAGTTCTATATTTGGTAGTTATTCTATTTCTATTGATCATGTTTAACATCAGTACTTGAACAGGATATTGTTATGTAAATCAGATCAATTCTTCCTCAAAGGTTTTTTAAAAGACCATGATTTTTATTACCATTACGTCTTACAATCTTCAGGTGGCTGTTTATGAAAGACTTTTTCATTTACTGTGATTAAGTAGGAGTTAAGTCGTACACAAAATACAAATATATTTTGAATTGTAAAATACTTATTACGTAGATGTCTTTTGTTTATTCAGACTAACCATCACATAACAATATAGTTAAAAAGGAAATAAATATTTAGGATTAAAAAATAAGCAAAGCTGTTTTTATTATAAATCTGTCTCTAGAAAGCTTTTGTTGACCTTTTTTTAATTTTTGTAATTGATGTTTATCAGAAGAGTGAAGTAACGACTATTTAAGGTAACGATGAATAAAATATTAAAGGTAGATTTGGATTTTCTTTTTTAAAATATCAACTATTGAGTTGTCCACAGTAATCTTTACAGCAAATCATGCGAACTGAAAACAACATCCTTGTCCACAGTAATCTATAGCAAAGCATGCGGACTGAGAGCAACAATAGTGTACAGCAATCTATAGCAAAGCATGCGGAATAAAAACAAAACCCAACATTTTCCACATTAATCAATGTAGCAAAGCAAACAGACTTAAATCAACAACTTTTTCTAAACTAATCAAAGTAGCAAAGCATTCGAACTGAAAACAACCTTGTCTACAGTAATCAATATAACAAAGTATGCGATCTGAAAACACCGATCTGGTCCACAGTAATAAATATAGCGGACTGAAAACAACAACCTTTTCCACGGATCTTCATGTTGATATTTCATAACTTGTAGCATGTCAATAAAATATGATTCGTATAATCAGTTTAATAATTTTGGATTTACTTAGAGGCAGATAGGGATGGCAACGTTCCTGTTGTGGTACAAATAGTACAGAAAACATCAGACAGACAGGATGATAAAGTGGGAATTCGGGTGGATTTGTATAAGGTAAGTTCTTTTAGATAAAATATCTCTTCTCTTCTCTTATAATATGAACCAGATTTTGCCATCCTTTAGTTTTGTTTAAGAAATGTTGAAACAGTTTAACAAGGTGTATTACCTTTTGCCTCGTTTCAGTAAACAAAATGTAAATATCTAAAACCAGGAAGAATATTGTTCTCACAATTTTACAATGAACATTACAATGAATTTGTATAAATTGTGCACCATTTTATTGTAGTAGTTCCCCATTCATGTATAATCTGGTTGTCCATGTTATAACTGGTGACCTGAATATTCTCAACAACACTTCTCTGCAATGAGAGGCAAAGGATACAAAAGGGACATTCAAACTCACTAGTCGAAAAAAACTGTCAACACATGTTAAAACGAAAAAGACCAAAAGACAAACAACAGTATACAAAACACAACATAGAAAACTAAAGACTGAGCAACACAAAACCTCTCAAAAAACCGAAATGTTTTAATCCAGGGCGGAAATACTTGAGCCTAAGTCCATAAATTGAAAACACACTAATGGATTCAGTCGAGTATATTGCCAGGATTTGATTATCGAGAAAAAGAATACGTGGATACTCTTTCCGAATTGGTTATGGCTATGAGGTCGTTGATGCAAATTATAATTAAAAAACTGAATGGAACTATGAACACTCATGATGATTCTATATTGAAAGATCCATCTGTTGCTAAAACCTGTTCTACTTCCATGACATATGTTGTTGTCCCCATAGAAAAAGCCAAGAAAAAACATAGTTTTCTGTGTAAATCACATTAAATAAAGTACTTGTTAACGGAACAAGGTATTGAAAAATCACTTAGAAACTCAACATATACCACCACGACACTCACCAAAGAGGAAATCTTGAACAATCAAAGGTTTTATGTTCTTTTGGAATTTCAACTAAAGATGAAGAACTGGATCTTCCTTCACTGTACTGGTACAAAATTAAAAAATTACAAAAGTGTCTTCACAAAAACCATACATTGCTTGGTCTCCACAAAACATCTTTCTAAACTATCAACATCAATTTTATCAGCAATCAAAGCCGGGTTCTATAGTTATTGTGAAAACTTACTCTAGGGGCAGTGTGAATTAAATGTGGATACTAAACAATGCCAAAGATCTGTTGGAGTACAGACCATCTAAGTCTCTTTGCTCATGCAGTAGTATAAACACATGTGCATTTTTTACCCTTTACACTAGTATTCCCAATTCTATACTTCAAGACAGTTGAAAGAATTAGTCCAACTTTGTTTCTTTATAAAAACCCAAATATCTTCATTTAGAAAGTGAGGAATAATACTTTGTAGAAAAAAGCAAGCTGATTAAAACAAAATACTATCTGAAACAGACCCAACCAAGATGCTTGGTTATTTCATTGACATGATATTTGTTACAATTGTGTACGTGTTTTCAACACACAATTAACATTCCTATGGAAACTAAGTGTGCTCCTCTTTTTGCCGATTGTTTCTATATTTTTTTAAGGTAGACTTCATACAAGTGCTTCTCATGAAGAATGAAAAGAAGCTAGCATTATCCTTTGAATTCAGATTCCGATATAGCTGATGTCATCTCACTAAATAACTGAAAGTTTAGTGACAATGTTGAGCGCATCTATCCCATTTATCACAGATACAGTTAAGAGTTCCATAAATCTTTACATAATCTAGATATTGACAAAGAATGTCGGTTGAGAGAAAACCTTAACAAAAGGCACGATTTTAGCTTCCAAATTTTAAACTCTCCATTTCTATGTAGCAACATTCCAGCAGCGCCTGCACACGGAATATGTACCTCCTGTTGATACGATGTTCTTGCTTTCTTACCATTATTCCCCTGATAGGGGTTGCCGCTTGCAAGGAAGCTACTGAACCAAGGATTCCAAGTGGTAAAGGTGAAGTAACCCCTTCGACAATTTTACGGACGCTATCACGAGTTTGTTGACCGTATGGAATATCTGTTTCACAGATGACCATATATATGCTCAAATGTTCGTAGCCAAAATCCTGTCCACTCTTTCCTGCATTGTGACATCACCGAACTTGTATTTACAGTGATCAAGATGAAATGGTGTTTCTAACGGAGCAGGATCTGTTTACCCTTTTTAAGCACCTAGAAGTTAATTCTTTTGTTTTTTGTTTTAAAGGGGTTCGTGGTACTTTGCCTTAGTCTTCAGTACTGCCTGTTGTGCTATTTTTTTATGTCTGTGTTGTCCCTACTGGTAAAAGTCTTGTTAATCCTTTGTCAAAGAAAACCTTTCATTTCACTTGTACTTTCACTTTCGGTCAATTTTAAGGGTTATAGAATTAATATGTACCGATACTTTTGTATTTGGTGATGTCTTAAGGTTAGACAGGAGACAATATCAATCCGTTTTTGTAAGATGATCAATTGATTTGACTTATCAATATTTTTTAAGAGTTACTCGAAGGATGTCATGTGTGGCGTAGAATTTGATTGTCCTTCTGGAACATCTTATATCAGCCCTTCCCCATTTTGGTTAGGTTTTTTTTTGCGCAGTCTTTAGTTTCTAAATAGTGTTCTGAGGACTGTTGTTCGTCGTTTTTTTGTTTTTTGGTTCTTGCCATGAAGCCTTTTCGACTTATGAGGTTTAATTATCCCCTTTGTATATTCCACCTCTTATTAATAATGTATTTCATATGTCAATGGATCTGGTCTTTTGAAAACTTTATATTATTTTAGGTTCTTCATGAAGACTCGGATATAATTGTTCTTGACGAGTTAGGAGATAAAAACAATATGTATTTGATAGACTTTAGCTCGTGCTACAGATTTTCTGTGAAACCTGGTAAATATGTGGCGGTACCTTCTACTATGGATAGTTGTGACAAAGATCCAAGAGTACTGAAAGAATTTATGATTCGATTTTTCACGGCTGGACCATTGACCAATCCTTTGTAAGTGTTCATATGCTTAATTCATTCAAACTCGGTTTGTCACGATGGCCACTGTCGGAGTCTTAGTAAATGTTCACATGCACAAAAATTGTGTTATATAATACTATCTAAAACAATAGTCAATTTAGAAAGAATAAGAAAAGGAGTTCTATCACTAAGATTTGTTTGAGCTTTTGATTTTGCCATTTGATAAAGGAATTTCCGTTTTGAATTTTCCTTGGAGTTTGGTATTTTTGTAATTTTACTTTATAATGACGGAGAACTCTGTGTTTATTACTACGTAGTTGCGTGGGTCAACATTGTTTTGAAAAAGATTGGCCAATTGAGACAAATAGTGTATGAAATATGATCGGCAGAATAATTTCTCTTATGGGAAGAGGATATATATTTCAATGTACATCTGATTGGGAGCGAGTTGTGGGTCAGTATTTCAATGTCAAAGATAAAGTGTTTATCAAACATGCTTAATTTTGTTATACAATGTGAATAATACCAAGACATATTTGTAGTGAAATACAAGACAGTACAACAGTAATGACAGGAAAGGGACCCGACATGGAGGTGGATGGAAGTGTCTTGCAGTTAGGTGAGATCAAGGAACTTTTGATGACATTTGCAGGGCTTAAATACTTGAATCAACAATGCTTTTATAATTTGTTTTTATATCCGTACTATTAATCACTGAGAAAGGGAGAAAAGACATAAAGGGAGAAAAGACATTATAATTTTACGCCTTTAAACGTTTATCTTGAATGCTTTACATTGTCACTTTTAACATTCAATTTGAAACATTATCTGACAAACTTTTTTGTTATTTCAGGCTGTACACAATGTATTACTGGGAAATTTGTGACCGGACGCAATGCTGGAGGACAGATTTCATGCCGTGATACTTTTGCATCAAATCCACAGTTCTTCATTACAATTGATAAGCGTATGTTTAATATTAATAAATAAAAATTCTTCTCACATAACATTCTTCTGGCTAAATCAATCTACCTTATTTGTTGAATTTATTTCTCTCTCTCTCTTTGTTTTTTAAAATATAAATTCAATATATTTTTATGAACATCAGAATTTCTTATGGTTATTTGTTTACTTTAACTTTTACAGATGGTCGGTATACTTTTTAATACAATATTAAGTTTTCTTATTCTATAGTTCAAACGATATAATAAGCTACTTACAATCAATAAATCACTAGATTAGTCATTTTCATACTTAATGTTATAAGTAAAGTCAGTTAATTAGCGACATAGAATGAATATCATTTGTAATTGATCAAATTGTATTTCCTCATCATTTACAAAACCATTTTAAACAACTATTACTTAATTCATATACTATAATTATATTTGTTGTTGGTATTAGTATCTTCATGTTATAGAGTTAATAAGATTGAGTGTCCATTTACTGTGGTGTATTGATAGACTTGTCTAATGTTAGGAATTTCATAACTTTGTTCTGTCTATGATTTTATATTAATAGAATTGATGTTAATATCAGATCATCCGATTTCTGTTATTCACTTGTCCTGAGATTGCCAAATGTTGTTAGCTCTTGTCCATCATCTGCGGCCGTATACAGCGACCTTTGAATATCTAATTTTGCTTACCTTATTGACCGTATACTCTCCGTTTTCTTGAATTTAACTAAAACAATGTTATTTCAGCACAAAGTGTAAAAGTGGAAGTCATGCAGCCAGATCAGAAAAATGGTTTCCCTATTGGAATAAAACTGTTTGAGGTAAGAACAGTTATACAATTTACAAGTTTATAAATTATCCGGGCATATTACGTTACAATATTATGACGATAAGTATCCGCATTACAAAAAAATATGGTCTGTGTCATAATCATGGTTGTGATCAATGTCAGTGTTTCAGTTATAACTTATTTCACATAGCTTATATTATTTGCATTGCCGCTACATCTATTCAGATTGGTAATTTAAGATTGTGTTTTTATTAATAAAAAGATGTATCTTTCTAAATTTCCACATTTGAATGTTTTTTTTATTTTATGGTATCCAGTTGTATTAATATATATCGTATTTCAGACTGACAGAAGTAGTTTTCAGTCAGATTATAACTGGTTTGCACAAAATTACAACAATGCAGTACGTGATATGAGTGGAAATGATGGACCATTCTCATACGGAAGCAGTGTGGATTGTGGATATAAATTACAACCTGGAACATACGTATTGCTTATCCATGCTAATGGTCCTGAAGATCAAAATGATTTTGCACTTGCAATATATTCAGAAAGTACGGTTCAAATAGAGTAAGTAGTGGGAAATACTGTAAACCAACATTTTAGTGTTTAGCCTGTTCTAGTCGACTTCGCAACGATTAATTGTGATTTTCTAACTTTGGTGATCAATTAATGTAAGGGAAAATTAAAGTTTGACATATCAATCGCGCGTCATATGTGCTTTATTTTTAATACTAGCAAAGGTTGCTTAAAAAATCGTTCCCTAAAAATTATTGTATTACACTATTATTCCACACCAACTGCCAACTGCTTTATTTAGAGTTATCATAAAACAAGTTATAATAATATTCCACGATTGCTCTTTGTATACAATCAGATATATATGTAACCGTTCTTTTTTTTTCTCTGTTACAGGTCCAGTAATTTATAACCACAACAAAGCTACGAAACAAACTGTGATATTCATTTTAAGAGACAATTTATTTTTGTTGATTTCATTCCTTATTTTGTATACACTCTTGTTATCAGTATTACTAAAATATTTATTTCTTGTTAGACGTATTTATTATACATTTTGAAATCAAGTAAAAGTTTTAAAAAGTAAAATAACAAAAATACCGAACTCCAAGGAAAATTCAAAACGGAAAATCCTTTATCAAATGGCAAAATCAAAAGCTCAAACACACCAAACGAATGGAAAACAACTGTCATATTCCTGACTTGGTACGGGCATTTCGTTATGTAGAAAATGGTGGATAACACCTGGTTTAATAGCTAGATAAACCTCTCACTTATATGACAGTCGCCTAGAATTCCATTATATTGACAACAATGTGTGAGCAAAACAAACAGACATAATAGGTAAAAATGTCAAAAATTGGGGTACAGCAGTCAAAATTGTGTTATGATCTCAATCACTTTACAAACAAATAACTATATAAACAAAACAAAAAACAAAATGGCATATAGACACTCTATAAACAAAGTACAAAAGATACAAACCACTTAACACCTTGAAACATCGATAATTACCTAGGGTTATAAGATCCACCCATATTTAGAATGATTCCCGGTCCTCACTAAAGAGCTTGAAAATCACATAAAGAAGTACGATGAATATCTAACATCTTTATACTGGATACCAAAACAATCATTATAAGAAACGATATATATTCGGCCCGACAAGATGTTCGACTAAACATCTTTCTAAGGTTCTTACCACCATTCCTTCCACAGAAAAAGATGGCCTGCAGAAATATTCTGATGAGGAATATTTAATCAGTGGTGTCAACCATATCTGGATTTTTAAAAATTCTAAAGATTTACTGAAGAATCTGCAATTAGAATTTTTACAATTTTGCAGTATTATCGAAACTTTGATTTTTTATTCTTTACACTACCATTCCCATTACTCAATTGAAAGATCGACTACACCGTTTCATTAAACAGAGCTTTTTCTACAAATATGGGAAACGTTTCATGTCGTGAAAAATCTAATTTTGTCAAGACCAACACTGATTACAACAACACATTTCCCGAAGATGAAATCATCAACATGCTGGACTTTTTGATCGACAACATATTTGTTGAGTTTGGTGAAGCATGATTTATGCAGAGCCTTCTTAAATTTTTCCTTCAGCTATATTGATGATGTTCTGTAACTCAACAACCTACGTTTCAATTAGTGTCTACATCTCATATATCACAGTGACCTTGAAATTAAGGATACTACCGAAAGTAGAAGGCCTGCTTCATTTTGATCTTTTCTACGATATTGACACAGCTGGACAACTTTAAACTACAATTATTGACACAAGTGATGATTTAAAGTTTCCAATTGTCAATTTCCCATTTCTCAGCAGTAACATATACCTCTGCCCCATCGTATGGCGTTGGCACATCTCAGTTACGCTCATCATTACACTCTTGCAAGTTGAAAATACATGGACTTACTTAATAGTGGTGTTCTCTTTACACAAAATTTACTCCAACAGAGTTATGTGGAAGAATGACTTTAATTGACACTACATAAATTTTACCGTCATCATCACGAACTGTTTGATCGATACGATGTCTCTGTGTCTTAACTCAATAGCGACTTGTTTTTCTGGTCTTAGGTCTTTAGATACCAGAATAGTCGTCTGTTACTTTACTGATCGTGTCCTATTTCAGATTGTGACGTTTTACATTTTTTACTAAGTGTTGATTCGGCTAGTGGGTATGCATGCATAGCATAGGATGCGCTTACCATGTCATCGCACTCGGTCTCAATCCTTTTAAGAGTTAATGGGATTCCCTTAGTTATAGTTTTATACCTTGATTTGCATGTTTTTAATATATTTATGAGATTCGAACATCGGTAAACTATTGTTGCTTCTGATTAAGGTATGTCAAGACATTGGTGATCAATACAGGCTTGTTTGGAGCATCATGTTGTGTTTTAGGCGAAACACGAGACTGGCGTATCAAATTATGAGCCTATTATCTTTGGTGAGTTTTACAACCACTGGGTTGATGCCAATGCTGGTTGACATATTGCTATAGAGGGTATCCCCGTGCTCCTGTGTAATTACAAAATATCATTGATGCCGTAATTTTGTATTCCTAATTTACAGTTGATAATATGTTAAAATGATTGTAGTTTAATATACCCTAAATATAGACTGTTGGACAGAATGGCAATAATGCGCGTCAACTTCGTTATTGACTGGATCTTCCAAATATGTCGATTCAAGAGCCACTTGCTAGTCTTATTTCAAAGAAACGCGCGTCTTTCGTATCAAACTATTAGACATGTATCTTTTATTAGTTTTTACAACCACTTGGTCGATGCCGCTACTAGGAGTCGTTTCTTTTTCGAGTGTATCACCAGAGCAGTAGTCTCCTGTGTTGACATGAATTGTCTTTGATATGGTAATTTTCTGTAAATTTATAAAACGTAAGAGATTAAACATCTACAAGAAGGCACCTGTGAAATCGCGGGTATACGAATTGGATTATTAAGATGTTTTGTCTTAGATACATGATTTTTTCATTAGTTGTTATTGTCTTTGAACTACCTTTCAGTAACTGCGAGTAATCTCAATTATGTACTTTGTGTCTTTTGTGTTTTGTTTGTGTGTTTTGTGCTTTGTATCGATTTAATTGGTTAAGCCTTTTCAACTGATTCTTATTGTTTGTTTTGATGTTTTACTGTTACACTAATGTCCAAGGTTTGGGGAGGTTTGGCGCCAGCAAACATGTTTAATTACGCCACATTCTGTATGTTCCTGTCCCAAGCCAGCAGCTTTTAATTCAATTGTCATCGTTTGTTGTTATACTAGTATATCATATTTGATTTTCATGTGTTGTTTTGTACATAAAAAGTTTGTTTTCTCGTTGGAATTGCTGTACATTTGTCATTTCGGGATTTTGCTTATTGTTGACCGTTCTTTGAAATATAGTTGCTAACTTCACGTCAGTTGGTCTCTGGTGGAAAGTCGTCTCATTTGCAATCATACCACATCTTCTTATTTTTATATTGAATACTCATATTGAATAGGCAAAGAATTGAGTAAAGCCATTGGTTTTTGCTAAATACCGGTAGTATCTTTGCTCTCATTGGAGGTACGGTAAACTATCGAATGATTGGTAATTTGATGGAGACTAATTGTATCGAAAAGAAGCCAACATTATCCTTAACCTTTATGGTCCGCTAAAAAGATGATTTCCTCTCACTGAATAATTCATTCAAAGTCTGTTGACTATGCTGTACGCATCTATCCCATCGAACTTGAAATAAAGGATACAAAAGATATATAGATAAGTCTGCCTCAAACATTGACTAACATCTAGAAATGACAACGAGGGTCGATTGAGAACAAAAGTCTACGACAAAAGAGATGGTTTCAGCTTCCCAGTTGTGAACTCTCCATTTCTATGTTGCAACATTCCAGCAGCGCCTGCATTTGGAATATATATATCTCCAATAGATTGCATTTCCTATCATGATTTCCTTGATATAGGGTTTCTGATTACACGGATGCTATCAAACCAAGAGTTCAAGTGGTTAAGTTGAAACCATCCCTTCGAAATTTTTTACGAAGGCATCATAAGTTGGTTGACCGTTATGGATATCTGTTTCACAGATGACGACGGATATGTTCTAATGGTCGTAACCACAATCCCGCTTCTTTTCCTCGAACTTGACTTACCGAATTAGATGAATCATCGGGTTTGTACTTGCAAAAGCAACCAGACGGGTACCCCACGTGGAGCAGGATCTGCTTCCCTTTCGGAGCAACTGAGATCACCGTCGGTATTTGGTAGGGTTCGTGTTGCTCAATCTTCAGTGTTCTTTGTTGTGTTTTGTGTACTGTTGTTTGTCTTTTTGTCGCCATGGCGTTGTCAGTTTGTTTTCATATTATGAGTTTAAATATCATTTTGGTATCTTTCGCCTTTCCTTTATCGCAGATGTTATGAATCGCGGTCTGTGGCTAAAAGTCATAAAGACCGAACGAAAAATTTTTGCAGATATTTAGCCGACATATTTTATTTAAATAAACCAGATTTATTTACATCAAATATCCCAGGAAAGAACACGCAAGCAACAGTTTACAATCTTATTTATTAATTCGTTTAAAATTAATCATATGACAATGACTATGAATGAAGGAATGAATTCTTCATTGAAAAGCAGTTGTTAAATGTTATAGCACCACGAACATATTTACATTGTGACACACAATAAACAACAGAGAACAATATTCTTAGATAGTAATATAGACAATCAATCAACTAATCAGATGTGACCTAATCTGGCAATTACTAGTTTGTCTTCTATTCAAATACATAATACTATTGTCCAATCTTACATAATTTAATCAGGTGAATGCCCTTCATAAAATAGTGTTAATTGCCTCTTTGTAGCCTTAACTGCCAGCGGACTAAGTCGAAAGTCGTGTCAAAAATCGTCTTCAGTATTTAAAAAAATGAAATTTAAAATAACCAATATACGATTTAAAACAAAAGTAATACGTTTGGAATTCTCGGAAAAAGTTCTCAATCGACTATATTTCCTCTGAAGTATATCTGTGTGTATGGTTTACTCCTGTTTTGCCTTCATTCAATTATACCAATTATCTTTTATATAAGTAAACGAAAAAGACAAAAGGTTTAATGAGCATACAATTGTATAGTCTGTTCCAACTTTATAGGTAAAGTCTATCTGTGATTTCTATATGTTCTGGTATTTTTCATTGTGTAGTTCTATTTTTATTTGTGCAAATAAATAAATAATAAATAAATCATTTTTTTTCTCTCTCAATAATTTAATGTCAATTCAATTGATTTATTTAACATACAACTAATAACAAATAAAAGTGGAATTCATTTATAAAAGCCTCTTAACATTCATTAAAGTTTCTCAGTGATAGTGATACAAATACACCAATCTATGATGAAGTGTTCTTTTATTACAACTTAAATTATATAATATATGAATCAATTTTATTCATTCATTAAAAAGAGGGAATACATAAAGCACTGTGTAAAAACAAGTAATATCAAGCAGTATATGGCCAAGTATTGAGTAAGGTGTTACCAAGATTTGACATTTCACATAGAAAATAAATCAAATAATTTTGCTATTTGTCTGGGTTTTTATGGTAGATATATTATTGTAGTAAGTATTTTTCAATTTCAAAAGATAGATAAAAGTTCACATTATTGCTTCTTTCTCGAACTGTAAGAGGTGTCAAGTGTTATGTCGGACAAAGTTTGGCATTTAAAATTTACATATTTCTCCGTAATAATTGAATTAAAGTAAATCAAACATAATTTATCAATTTCAGCTCGGAATTTTCTTTTAGAAACTCATATTTAAATTTTATAAAGTTTGAAAAGAACTAAAATTGAAGTGAAAATATGTCGGACGAACTGAGACATTTTGTATCGCTTTGTCTCCAGTTCTGTTATAATTTAGTGCTATAAAATATTTTGAAATCATTTATTCAGCACAGCACAATTCTTAAAACTTGAACATGTGTCTTATTTATGCCTAATAGGCATGGAAGTAAAAGATCAAACAGTTCAAAATATAGGTGGTGGTCTACACTGTGTCGGACGACCATGGACATTGAAAAGTTGCATTTTTTTTTAATTTGATGCTCTAAATTGGATAATTTAAATTATCTTCTTGAATATAGGTAAAATAGCACTGCATAATCTCAAAAACTCAAGTAAGTAAATGAATTAACAAAATTGAAAAGCTTGACATTAAAGAAAAAACAAAGATGAATAAAGGCAACAGTAGTATACAGCTGTTCCAAATTCATAAATAGATTGAGAAAAAAACAAATCCGGGTTACAAACTAAAACTGTGGGAAACACATCAAATATAAGAGGAGAACTACGACACAACAGAAACACAACATTAAAATGTAACACACACAGAAACGAACTATAATATAACAGTGGCCATTCAAACAGTCAACAAGAGGACATACGTGTCAGAAGAACATGGACATTTCGTTTCCAGGCTAACTTTACTAATTTCCAAAGTTATCAAAATACATAAAATATTTTCAAATCCACATTATGTCAATTGTCACAGTTTAATTTAATTGTTAGAACTTATTGTTTTTTCTATATCAAAATTTCGGAGTATTAACAAAAAAATATTTTAGGTGAATGAATTAAAAAAGTTTAAAAGGCACTTATTCAATTCTTAAGTTTCATTATTTTACTTGTTATAATTTTCTGAACTTTACCAACAATTTTAAAATTTCGTTGATATTTTGTCAAAATGATAGTTTCTTCTGTATATTTTGTTAAAAATATTTGTCGAATTCGATGCATTTTCCTGGTAAATTTGTAAGATATTTCCACAAAATTGCACATATTTTGTAAAATATATTTTTGCATATTTCCCTTCATTTAATAGTAGAATTCATTATCCTTTATAAAATTTTACAGGTAATAATATGATGATCACAATTCAGAAATAACGTATAGCAGTTAAAACAACAAAACACCTTATGTTTTTTTTAACCTTCAATTAAATGGGACAATAAAATTCAGGCAAATCAGGATGACACCGAGTATATGACGACATGATTTCCTTACCGGTGGGCTTTGCCACAGATTTTGGTAAAATTTTGCATGCAGTTTGGCTCATTGAACTATAACTAAAAATTGAAAAATAATGCATTTATCTCTTTTATTGTTTGAAATATAACTTAACATCTCAAATTTCTAACCGAAAGATTTTTCTTAAAAAACTATATGTCGTTGGTACACAAATTTCCGTTTAAATGATAAAAAATGATGATATGGTCACCGACTTCGTTTTTATGGTATACACTATTTAAAGTAATGCTCTAGGTGAAAAAAAAATGAAAAAAAAAAACGTCGAAATAAGCGTTACGTCATTGCGTTGTAGACAGTAAAACGTAATTTTAGACGTTTTTCACTACCAAATAGGTAAGTAACAGATTGGTTATTACTCCAAAAACGTAGTCGGTGACCATCTGATTATTTCATATCATTAAAATGGAAGTTTATGTATCAACAACATATTGTTTTTTAACAAAAAACTAAGGACTTAAAATTGAAGATGTGATGATTTAAAGAGAAATATAAGAACGTTTTTCGCTTATTTGATGTTCTTTCTATAAAAATTTTCACCTATTTTGAAAGAATTCAATCAGTAATATTTCAGACAATAAACGAGATAAATGCATTATTTATTCTCAATTATCAGTTATAGTTCAACGTGCCAAAAGTGTATACAAATGTTGACAAGCATCTGTGACATAGCTATTTACTGTTCCTTGACCTTAAATGTATCAACTTTACTAAAGTTCGAGCATTTTTGTATTATGACGAAATGGTTTGCTTTTGTCTATGTCCTTGCTGTTTGATATACGGATATAATAGATCTAAGTGCCTTTAATTGTACGTTCAGTTAATTTATAGTTTGTAATTTAATAGACACTATCAAAAAAGTAGAATTAAGTGCGATTTCTACAGTTAACACCATGTCGCGTTCCAATTCTCTAATACGTCATTATGGATAATCTAAACATTAACAACATTCTTTTCGTATAACTAAATCACGATTTTTAAAATTATTTTTAGAATTAAACAATCATACGTATCAATGTCAGAGTTACGTAGATCGTACCTTTAAAAAGACCTCAATGATTGAACGCTTTTCGATTGCGTCTTCATTTTTAAATTACCGATAAATTTCCAAACAAAGTTTAAAATGAACAAGTAAAAAGTAAATATCTATGATAAATAAAGTTTATGTAGTTGCTTAGTGGCATATGTAAATAGTTTATGGTCAATGATTTTATTGAAATAAAGTTGTGGTTTTTAATTTTATCGATCATGAGATAAGGTTCATTGGATATAACGGCAGTGGGTTCACTCTTAAAAACAACATCACACAGGAAAATATAATGTATGTATGGATATCAATAGGGGTTGTTTAATATTGTGATTCTTTATATATATAAAGGTAGGAGATCTGTATGTATACGTTACATTTTACCAGTTTATAGAACATTAAGATATCACATTTGATGCACACATTTCAATAACTAAAGGATGTGTGCTCTGTGCTGATCATTAAGTGTTCATTTTTTGTTTAACTTTGGACTTCAGTGGATTATTTTCTGTAGGCAATCACATCACAACACACACAAGAACACTTCGTAATGATTGTTTTTTTTTAAGTTTATAACGTTAAGAAAGTAACGATACCAAACTTTGAACAATCTAGTATTGTTCGAAAGATTTCCTAGTAATTCTTATCATTACACATAAGAAGATGTGGCACGATTGCTAATGAGACAACTATCCAACACAGTCCAAATAGAATGCATTTTTTAAACACCTTTATGTCACCGTATGGCCTGTTCAACAATGAGCAAAACCAATACCGTATAGTCAGCTATAAAGGTCCCGAAATGACAAAAAATGAAACAATTCAAACGAAAAAACCAACGGTCTGATTTATGAATAACTATTAACTAAAAACAAATAAGGAGTACGACAGAGAACAACCAACAACAACCACAAGCACATATACAATGTTGCGGGGTTAAACATGTTAATGACCGCTCAACCCTCCCCTTACCTTGGACAGTGGTATAACAGTACAACATCAGTACACACTATAAACATCAGTTAAAAAGGGCTTAAAAAATGGAAAACAACACGTTTAATAATTTCATGCGTCCGAAGCGCTTTTCTGAATTTACCTTCATCAGGAACGCTCAAAGCCAAACATTTGAAATCCGAGGGATGTATAAGTACCGAAACAGTTGAAGAGCTATATGACAAAAATACCTAAAACAAATGGCCAAATCCATCTAAGGTCAACTTTGCCTGAGGGAGTTGAAACCTTAGTTTCTTTATAATTTCAAAATTTATAAACGGGCAATTTTAGAAAAGTTTGTTATAAATCATGTCAGTACCGAAGTACTGACTACTGAGCTGATGATACCCTCTGGGACTGATAGTCCACCAGCAGAGGTATCGACCCAGTGATGTAAAAAATTGAAAACAACACGTTTAATAATTGCATGCGTCCGAAGCGCTTTTCTGGATTTACCTTTATCAGGAACGCTGATCGCTTAACTCATCAGATCAATACAAAGCACAAAAAACCCTATGAAAAGCACAAAGACAAAAAGTACAGATCTGAGAGTACTCGCAGTTACTGAAAACTAGTTTAAAGACAATAACAACTAATAAAAAAATCATCTATCAGTGGAGTAACAGCTCAACATAAGACGTGTGTAAGAATCAGTTAGAATGGCCTTACTCAACAGACACAAAATACTCACATATTGTTTTCAATAAGGTTTATGAAAGACTGGATAAGTAGTAAAACGATCCCAGTTAGAGAACAGAAGAAACACTGAATCTGAGCTAACAACGTGTGCGATTGTTTTCAATTTAATCTCCTGACGACAACTTCAGAATTTCTTTTACTTAAGAACCTTCTTCTTGGAAAAACAATTCACAAAAAATAAATAAAATTTGAAAAGAAAGCTATAATGTTCACAACTTAAGACCTATCAATCTTAGCACAATTTCTCTATAAGGTAATAAGTAGAATAATTCAGAAAAGAAAAACGGAAGTGAAACTGGAGTAACATCACTAAGTGCGAGAGTCGCCCAATAAAACCCTTACTAACTCCTGAGACGATTTTGTGATATTCAGTAGATACGCACTGATTTGCTTTGAAAATGATTAAGGTATCGGTTACAGACTTAATTGACACCAATATAATGATTTCATTGTTAAAAGAAAAGTACTTTGAGATTGATATCAGTCTGTTAAATATAGAAATAACGAAAGGAACGCCTCTTTTTGAGACCTTCTGTTTTATATAGAAATAACGAAATGAACGACCCTCTTCGGGATCTTCGGTTTGTTTTGTTTTGTTGTGTTTTTGGTATTGTCCTTCTTTTCTCAAAACGGTAGATATTGTGATGTTATTTACCACTGACTTACTTAGTCGCAATTACTCATAGCTAGTTCAACTCCAATTTCAATACAATGCAATACAATATCTTTATTTTCATAACCATTTCAGATATATAAGTACAGAGAGGGTGTAAAATATGTATAGGAATATGCATCTATTTACAAACATTTATATACAATACAGCGGTTTCAAAATAATATACATTTTAGCCAGGAGGACCTACATGTTTGTTTACACACTTTATGAACTTGCATAATCTTTTTAGCCCGGACTGTTTGTTTAATTTTCTCATCAATTTCTAAACTTTAATGTATTTGTACGAGCCAAATAGTATTTATCTAGGTATAATTTTCTACTGTCGTTAAAAAATGGACATTTTAGCTGATAATGAAATTCGTCTCCAATGCTACCAAGATTCAACAAAAGGAATAAACCATGTTTCCCTTTCTATAAATCAATCAATAACATTTAACGTTGTTTTGTATTTTATGGTTTGTACGATTAATCACTTATCTAATCTTTTAGGTTGCTTGGTTTACTTTAATGTACACCTTTCCCTTAAATCACATCAAAGGGTAGTAATTTTTAAGAATAACTATTTCAAAAGAAATTTCAAATTAAGTTTTTTTGATTCTTTCCCCTTGAATGAAAACTGTAGCAAATAAGATGTATCCAGTTTTCTTTTCAAATGATGCATTTTTCAACCACAAATGTGTACGACCATTTTTGTAGAAGCAGATTATCAAGGTATAAGAATCCATCCGGTCAAATTTCGTTCGTTTTTGTATGTGCGTGTAGGTGGAGAGGGTTAGTGGTGGCATATATGCATATACATGGATGTACACATGTGCATATAAAGCTTTTAAGAGGGTAGTGGTGGTATATAAATGTATGAAAAAAGTAAAATATCAAAAATACCGAACTTCAAGGAAAATTCAAAACGGAAAGTTCCTTATCAAATGGCAAAATCAAAAGCTCAAACACATCAAACGATTGGAAAGCAACTGTCATATTCCTGACTTGGTACGGGCATTTCCTTATGTAGAAAATGGTGGATCAAACCTGGTTCTATAGCTAGCTAAACCTCTCAATTGTATGACAGTCGCTTAAAATTCCATTATATTGACAACAATGTGTGTAGGTCTACAAATCAAGTCTATAAAATTATTTTTATACAAGTAAGAGTCAATGAAGCTATTTCTACTCCATATTTGAATATATGTGTATAAAAAACTTTTAATGATTGCTATATGGTATCCATATTTCTTAAAACCAACAAATATCCATAGTCTTTTTCCGTTTACACAATTTGTTAATTACATTTTTCTCGTAATACATGTTTTTCCCATATCGTTCATTTTCGAGCTCCGTTCGAGTTTTGAACATGTAGCTGCTACTTTTTTTTTATTAATGTATTTGAACAATGATATATGCCTTCTTGTGTGGTTATTTAATGATTATCTTAAACCTTTCTTATGTCCTAATTTGTGGAGTAGAAATAGCTTCATTGACTCTTACAACTTGTTTACCAGTATTAACATAATTTTATAGACTTGATTTGTTGACCTACAATAACCCTTGAAGGGTTGTTTGAAGATTGGTTTGGAGTGTTGTTTTAACACTGTGTAGTCTTCATCATTTGCGATCACTTCAAATCATCAAAATGTCAACAATATTAAAAAAAAACAAATGAATAAACCATGTTTTCCCATTCTATAAATCAATCAATAACATTTAACGTTGTTTTGTATTTTATGGTTTGTACGGTTAATCACTTAACTTATCTTTTAGGTTGCTGTCTAATTGGTTTACTTTAATGTAATCATTTCCCTAAAATCACATCAAAGGGTAGTAATTTTTAAAAATAACTATTTCAAAAGAAATTTTAAATTCAGTTTTTTTTAATTCTTTCCCCTTGAAATGAAAACAGTCGCATATAGGATGTATCAAGTTTTCTTTTTAAATGATGCATTTTTGAACCACGAATGTGTACGACCATTTTTGTAGAAGCAGATTATCAAGGTATAAGAATCCATCCGGTCAAATTTCGTTCATTTTTGTTTTGTGTGCGTGTTGGTGGAGAGGGTTAGTGGTGGCATATATGCATATACATGGATGTACACATGTGCATATAAAGCTTTTAAGAGGGTAGTGGTGGTATATAAATGTATGAAAAAAGTAAAATATCAAAAACACCGAACTTCAAGGAAAATTCAATACGGAAAGTTCCTTATCAAATGGCAAAATCAAAAGCTCAAACACATCAAACGAATGGAAAGCAACTGTCATATTCCTGACTTGGTACGGGCATTTCCTTATGTAGAAAATGGTGGATCAAACCTGGTTTTATAGCTAGCAAAACCTCTCAATTGTATGACAGTCGCTTAAAATTCCATTATATTGACAACAATGTGTGTAGGTCTACAAATCAAGTCTATAAAAATATTTTTATACAAGTAATAGTCAATGAAGCTATTTCTACTCCATATTTGAATATATGTGTATACAAAACTTTTAAATGATTGCTATATGGATATCTATATTTCTTAAAACCAACAAATATCCATAGTCTTGTTCCGTTTACACGATTTGTTAATTACGTTTTTCTCGTAATACATGTTTTTTCCCATATCGTTCATTTTCGAGCTCGGTTCGAGTTTTGAACATGTAGCTGTTTCTTTTTTTTTTAACTTGTTTACCAGTATTAACATAATTTTATAGACTTGATTTGTTGACCTACAATAACCCTTGAAGGGTTGTTTGAAGATTGGTTTGGAGTGTTGTTTTAACACTGTGTAGTCTTCATCATTTGCGATCACTTCAAATCATCCAAATGTCAACAATATTAAAAAAAAAAAAAAATCAAGAATTTAAAGGCCGTGTTTTTGTGTGTGTTTTAGAAAAAAAAAATACTAGGGAATAATCATGGGTTGTGCCGCTTCTTCTGATAGTGGAACTCAGTATGCATCACTTGGACAACACGGACAACAAAATGTTAGGAGTGAACCAAAGATAAGGAGTCAACAACAAAAACCTCCTCAGCAGAATACACAAGAACAACCACCACCTCCTCAGCAGAATACACAACAACAACCACCACCCCCTCAGCAGAATACACAACAACAACCAGCACCAAACGAAGAACCACCACCATACGAGGTAAATAAAAAGGTCACAGTAGCTTCTTGTCTATTTATTGGTTTATTCTAGTTTTAGATAGCTTCTAAGTCCAAACGTTAGCTCTTTCTTTTCCAGTTATCATTTTGATATAATATTATGACTAAAAGGAGGAGTTGAGTACTTAAAACTTGTTTACCAACGCCACATTTTAAAACTATTCCAATCAGGAAGCACGTCAGTATACTTTCGTCTTTTATGTGAATTTAGAGGACTCTGTAGAAGATGTTTTCATCTTTCAAAGATTTTCGATGTTTTAGTTTGTCAATAATGTTGAATGTTATTTTGTCTTTGAAATGCTAAATATTGTCGTGTTGTTGTTATCGGATTGACTTATACCTACTTCTTCATTAATAACAGAAAGAATTCTTGGATTTCTTAAAAGATATCTTTTTTGATTGAAAACCTATATGTTCTTAGATACAAACTTGAAAGTCTATTTGTGAATGTGATATATAATGAATGATGATTATATTATAATTTACATACATATAATAAGCTGAAAAAATCTATTAGGTAACGTAAGCTAAAAGTTTGGGTTTTGCCAGAATCATAGAAGGAACTGTAAATGCCTACTAAACTCACGTTATCAATACCTAACATGTATTTGTTACAAGTCTGATTTGGAAATTTTATGAAACTAATTTTTCATAGTACACCATTTTATTTTCAGCCCTGAATTATGACAATAAACAGAAAAGGTAATACAAGAAAGGAGAACTGGGCGAAAACGTCTTTCATTTACTTTTATCTACTTTTTTGTTTGTAAGCTTGTTATGTGTATGTGAAATATAGTTTATCTTGAATCATCAAAAACATTATTTAGAAAACTAATCTTTGTGAGTAGGATATTCATTGATTGATTATTGTTTGCCAAATGTTTTTCGTTGGAGAATTATTTTATCCAACCATCGGCAATTTTGTTTTCTACACAAATTGCTAATTTGTCATCTAGTTAATTGTATTTTATCCTGCAATCGACGTTTCTACTTAACAAATACAGGTTGACATATTAACATGGAGCAATACACGTGAATAGTCCCCTTTTATCTTGCTTCAGTTGCGAGCGAACGGTTATTTTCAAATAACTATTTACATTTATAACAGATCAACGCGTTTTAATCATAACGATTTCATTTAAAAACAAATTCAACGATTTGAATGGGGGGAAAACCTATACGTTTAAGTTAATTGTTAAATTGCAGGATAAAACAATATTTGTACAATGTAGGAACATATAAAATTAATTTGTCCTCGCTACAAAACCGGAGAAAAGCTCGACGAGCATCGCTTCTCTCTATGTGTCTAAAGCTATCAAATAAATCTGATATTTTCCTACACTGTAAGAATATTGTATAAATGTTTATAACAGTAAGTTGCTTATCTGTCTTCCAGGAAATTGTATAGTTTGTACCAGTAAGTTGTCTTTCAGTTTGTAGCACTACGAATAATACACTAAATTGATTTCAATTGTAGAAATTTTTTCAATATATATTCCGGTAGAACATTGTAACATTTTTAACAATAGAAGCTTATTCAAAATGAACAGAAAGTAACCTATTTTGTTTAATTAACCGAAAAAGAATATTGTAGAATTATCCGTTACGAGTAATATCGTTCATCTCAAACGTTTCCTAAAAATAACTCAGAAAATTAATAAAATTTTATTGAAACTACATATTAAATGTCATAGATTAAAAAACCAAAGGGTGTCAAAACCTGAACCTTGTATAGGTATAATTTCTTATAATCTTATTTACTGTACATGTAATTGATGATGTTTTCATTTTTCTTTCTTTAATGTTTTCAAATTCCATGCAAGGAATTAAAGAGATTATCTTTCAACTTTGATTATACACTTAATGATTATATATATATATATTTATATGAGTTCGAATCCCGGCGAGGGAAGAACAAAAATTTGCTTCCGCCGTGCATCACCCTCACTGGTGATCCAATGGATGGATCTGTCACTTGTTTAGACGTACTTATCAAATAATTATTTCTATGACTACATCTTACGATCTTACGATCCTTTACGACAGATAACTTAGCTAATCTGCATTCAATTCCAACTTCATGTCATGCCTAATATATAATGTACTGTGTTACAACTCTAGATTGAACTGACAAGGAAAGGCCACCGAAAGCTGAATTTTTAGTTCAGTCTAGGTGTCCGAGTGGTCTAGAGCGCTGGACACAGTGCAGGCGGTGTTGTCACGATATCCCAATAGCATGAGTTCGAATTCCGGCGAAGGAAGAACAAAAAATTGCGTCTGCAAATTTGCAGATTTAACATTGTTGTGCTGATATTTAGAGTTATTATATTTATTTAAATTGCAAACAACGTTCAAACCTATGATTGCGTTATATATATATATATATATATATATATATATATATATATATATACAAGTCTAAATTGAAAACAACGTTCAAACCTATGATTGCGTTGGATAAAAACCGCAATTTTTATACGTGTGCATGCAAAACAAATTTCTTGTTAGAGGGGTCTAAATACAGCACAAACAACATTTTCCAAAAGACCAAAAAAGTGAAAAAGTATATTTTAACAAAACGCATTTGACTAACAGGTCGAACAACAAATGTTCTTAAATCCTGCTGACTGCCATTGGCGATTGCCAAATAAACGGATCACAAGGTGTAATAAATGGATCTTAACTATAAATTTAATACCAAACAGAAAACAATAAACTTGCGGCAAAGATGGTATACCGCAAACAAAGGTGCAAAGATTTTTTGTACACCATATCCGGATTTCGACAATTAATGTCTCTTCAGTGATGTTAGGAATCGAAACGGTTATTGGAAGGCCACATAATTTACCTCAATTTAGGATAGACTCTTGAATTTTGAGGAGTCAAAATAGGATGAACGGATCATATAAACCCGAAGGCAAATATAATACAAGCCCAAACGAAAAAATATAAACAAGTCTAAATTGAAAACAACGTTCAAACCTATGATTGCGTTGGATAAAAACCGCAATTTTTATACGTGTGCATGCAAAACAAATTTCTTGTTAGAGGGGTCAAAATACAGCACAAACAACATTTTCCAAAAGACCAAAAAAGTATATTTTAACAATATATATATATATTATTGTGAAACTACCCCTTTTGCAACAGGGCAAAGCTCCGGCGGAGTACTGACACCTGCGTCAGGAAAACATAGTATTTACAAACAAAATTATATGATTATAGTTAAACATGTAACAAGATAATTAAAAATGATTAAAGTCAATAGAAAAATCAAAAATCAAAAAACATTTCCACTCGAACAATCTACGTCCACGTGCTGTTATCCTTTGATTATTTAATATCTCCTAGCGCTTTCTCCTTCAGTCAAGAATGAAAGTGAGGTGGCCGTTTTGGAGAAAAATTTAAGACGAAATTTAGCATTTGTGTGTGTGTGTTTGTGTCAAAGAAGTCTTGTTTTTTTTTTTATTAATTATCAAATTTGTGTGTATTTTAATCACAAATTTTAATCTACCTTGACCAGCTTTTGTACACTTACCTGACAATCACAATTAATCCAAAAATATATTTTATTTTTAATGAAAAAATCGTTATTTGCATCAATAAATCAATATTATTTGGATTATCTGTTGAATTTTGTTGGAAATATTAAAGATTCTTAAAATTAAATGTACGTGCCATATTAATGAAACTGTTTTTATTTTAAACTGTCATGAAACAGTTTGGTTACATGTTATATAGTATTTCTTCATAGTGCTATCGTCGGTTGTTTTAAGTAGAAGAAAAACAATAATGATTATAGAACGTTGTATTAGTATTTTATATCACTACGCAATATTATATTAAACGTTACGTTTACATTTTAGTTATTTTTTTATTAGCCATCATGTCTTTAAATACGCACTAGCTACGAGATATATAAAAAATCTAAAATATGATGTGTTTTATCATTCATTAATGAAAGTGAAATAGTGAAATAATAATTCGCTTTTAGCAGCCAGTATGGTTCAATTTTATCAAAATATGCTAAGAAAAATTGATGATGAATTATTCACTTGCAAGTGAATAATTAGACCTCATTGAATCCGTATTCATGTGAACTTCAATTTAACCCCTTAGCTAGAGATCGATAACGCATGCATTGTGCGTGTTGAGTTATTTAAAGGAAAAGAATGTCAACATTGAAAATGAAACAAAGGTAAATCATTTGATTGACTGATTCGAGCCACAAAAAATCATTCTTATACAGGTAAAAACGATGATAAACATATATTCTTAATCTATGATATGAAATTAAACAGACCTAGAAAAATCCAATTGCACGAGTTCGTTAATCTATTTATATCTATATTTATGTTTATATTGCTTATATGACCATCGGAGGTGATCGGAGGTCAACTCGATAGTTTATTAGATGGCGTCTAGACTAAAATACACACGAAACGAAGCTACATATTATCGAGTACATGCCCTGTAAATTGTTTATTTAAGACTTTTTATAGTTTGGATAAATGATTTACATTGTTATAAATCAAATATGAGAATTTGAGTGAAATCGGTGAACATGAATTTGAAAGCTAGTACCCCTTGAACCTACAAAAACATATACGCCAAAGCTGAATACCGTCAGTAATAAAATTCTATATGTATGGACATCTGGACTTGGTTTTCGATTGTTAATTTGTAATTTAAAAAAAGATTATCATTTTCGTGATTAGTATTTATATAACAAACAACTTAGGCTGTAACTCCTTTAAGTACATCCGTCCTAAGATGGTTCTGAATATTTTCTTGCTCTTTTTGGTTATTTAGTATCCATATAACTTTTTTAAATTCCCCGCTTTTGTTCTCTTACTAAAAAATTCAAAGTTTGGTGACCATGTTGCTCGCATCTATCCCATCAAACTTGAGATAAAGGATACAACAGATACAGTTAAGTCTGCCTCATATCTTAAATTACATCTAGGAATTAACAATAAGGGTCGGCTGCAAACAAAAATTTACGACAAAAGAGATGATGTCAGCTTCCCAATTGTGAACTTTCCATTTCTATGTAGCAACATTCAAGCAGGGCCTGCATTTGGAATATATATATCTCCCAGTTGATACGATATTCCAGTGCTTGTATTTCCTATCATAATTTCCTCGATATAGATTTGCTGCTCACAAGGAAGCAATTAAACAAGGAGTTCCAAGTGGTAAAGTTGAAATCATCCTTTCGTAAATGTTACGGACGCCATCACGAGTTGGTTGACCATTATAGAATATCTGTTTAACAGATGACGTCAGATATGTCCTAATTATCGTAACTACTATCCCGTCCTCTATTCGCCGAATGTGACCTACCTAATTAGACTTATCACCGGTGTGTACTTATACGAGCAGCACGGCGTTTTCCACATATGGAGCAGAATCTTCCTACCCCAACCGGAGCACCTGAGCTCATCCCCGGGTTTTTGTGGGGTTTGTGTTGCTCAGTCTTTACTTTTCTATGTTGTGTTTTATGTAATTTTGTTTGTGTTTTGTTCTTTTTCTTTTTTTGCCATGGCGTTGTCAGTATTTTTTTCGACTTATGAGTTTGAATGTCCCTTTGGTATCTTTTGCCTCTTATTTGGTTGTGGTTACTCCTGATGCGATTAATCGAACGATTTCAGCAAAAACGATACGTTCACGTTGACTTTACTTCCCCTGGATTCATACTGCTTGGATACTGGTAGTTAATGTTTGCTTGTAGACTGTTAGTCCTTGATGGTCTATCTGGAAGTCAGTGTTTGATTGCGGGATGTTAGTCCTCGGCGTTATGTTAGCCATCGGCACTCTGCCTGGTAGGCAATGGTTGCCCGTAAACTATTACTTCTCGACAGCCTTATCTGTTTTGTAGTAAATGTTGCTTGTAGACTGTAATTTTGCAACTGTCTGCCTTGTGGACTGTTGATTCGAGACGGTCTGTCTTGTAGTCAAATGTTTGCTTGTGGACTATTAGTTCGCGACAGTGTAGTAAAATGTTCGCTTTTGGATTGTTACTTCTAGACGATCTGCTTTTTGGTCAAATGTTTGCTTTTGTACTGTAAGTTCTGGACGGTCTCCCTTGAAGTCAAATGTTTGCTTGTGAACTGTAAGTTTGCGACGGTATGCCTTGTGTTCAACGTTTGCTTGTCTACTGTTAGTCCTAGATTGTCAGTTTTCGACGGTTTGCTGATAGTCAAAAATTTCATGGAGACTATAAGTCCTCGAAGGTCAGTTTGGAAGTCAGTGTTTGCTTGCGGATTGTTAGTCCTTGACGGCGTGATCTGTCATGTTATCAATGATTGCATAGGAACTATAAGTCCTCGACATTCTAATTCGCCTGGTAGCCAATATACATGAGTGTTGATTCTCCTTTTGGTATCGTCCGCCTCTTTTTAAAATTCCTCAAATGGTTGAACCTTTAAGACTTAATCCTCATTTGTTACATGATTATAAAGTCTCATAAGTACAAATATTTTAAAAGAGCTAAATCAGAATGCCTCGATTATGAGGGCATGTCCTCTTGCACATTTTTACCTTGTGAGAAAGCAGTATAAGAATGCTTGTGATTAGGATGACATTTGTTATTGCAGATTATTAACCTATGAGAAAAAAAAAAATCAGAATATGTATTGACGTCCACATTTAAGACGAGATTTATGACGATATCTATCACCGACATAAATGTTATTTCTTAATATTTACCGACAATAAATCTTAGACCGACACAATCGATGTTAAAACTTTAGGGAGAACAGATGTGTACAAACGTTAGTTGATGATTCAAGAACCAATGCATTTGCCTGTACATTCATCCTAGGCTTTTTCTACTTTTTTGCCAATTCTTTTTTTTAATTAAAATTTTATCCAAATAACATGTATCTTGTTAGAAGTATGATGCACTAGCAAAGCAATACCGCGATTTAATACATGAAGGCAATTACATGTGTACGATGGGTAGACGGGTATATTAGAAACTTAGAATATGAAGTTAAGAATTAATTTTGAAAGATAAAATAGTTGCCATTAGATCTTAGAAATGAGTTGCTGATTAGAAGCACAAATGAGGCTGACAGCAACGTTCTATTATATTGTATTGACTAAATTCACCTTTCTTTAAGTATAAATCAATACCTGTGCCAATCGTGGCTGCCAAACCCAAAAGTGCCGATAAAAATGGCCCAGTTGGAGTTAAAAGCAGTGATGCCAAAAGTGGAGTTGACTTTTACAATACTGACGATATGATGTTGCCTGGACTGCCAGACTTCACGGTAGCCGAGTATGTACCAACAGACATTGGAACACATGAACTGTTCTTAGATTTTCGAACATCGTATGCAGATTTTCCCACACAGGAACCTCCTCATTCTAACGAAGATCTGTATACTGATTACAAATTCACTGTGGATGTTGCTTTTCCTAAAAGATCAGATTTGGAATGGAAAAGACCTATGGTGTGTATTCATTATTAACATATTCCATTTCTATCTATTGAATAGTTTATATCAACATGTGTATAAAGATGTACAACATGCAATTCTGAAGTGATTTTATTTTGGGCATAAATGAATTTGAATACATTTATATTCATTCCTTGATTTATCTTGTGTAGGGAGTATGGATGTTTATGAATGAGTGTACATTTGACGTTTGCGTTTATGAGACAGCAAGTCATAAACACAAGTTAACCGATATTGAGAGTTCTTCATCAACAATGGACAATTACCAACACCAAGTGACACGCCTCTTTTCCAGCTTTATAATATTGCGACAACCAAAATATCTGAATCAAAACAAAACATGAAAAGGCAATGTTTACGAAATTCCTTTTTCTTTTCAACTTAATATCTATTAAAACATTGTTTTTACAGGATGTCGCAGAAGAACCTGTTCTATTTTCAGAGGGAACAACTAGATTTGACATTGGACAAGGTGAAGTAGGCACTTGTTGGTTCTTGGCTATGGTAGCCAACATTGCAGACAAACCAAGATTGCTACGAAGGGTAAGTAGGAATAATAATAACGTAACGATTACTATTTTCAACAACAAACTCAAGAACGAATTCGGAAATAGAGAAATTGTCTCCTAAATAAAGTTTACCCTTCTCGAGCATACCCAGGTAATGTTTATTAAAAAAATCGGTTTTGTATGTTTCCACTACCTTTGGAACGGTACCGCTGCTAGTGGGTCATTGGTTTGCAGGGGTATCATCCGCAGAGTCACTATTGTTGCTTTATTAGTACGGCTTGAATGAAATATTTTGTCTGTAAATTTTCAGTTCATAAATGTAGTTGTATAAAAAAAGACAGAGTTGACTGCAGACGGGTTCGGTTGTTTTTGTGTATGTACCTTTTGCGTTTAATGTATAGTAATTGGTTTATTTTTGGCCATTATGAATTTTTTTGTCTGAAGCACACCTGATTTAAATCATCTAAAAAAACACTTTTCGTGCGCATGAAAATCAGTGTCATGTTTTGTTTTTTTTGCCATTAGGCATTTATCACTGCTGGCGGACTATCAATTTATGAAGGTAACAACCAGCAGCCAGTGAATCATTACAAATATTTTTTAATTAAAAGAAAAATACCTATTTTAAATCAAATTTCAGTGAATTCAAGCGGAATTCAACGAAATCTAAAGGGAGAGAGACAAGGAGCGTCGCAAGAGGTAAATCGTTTTCTCCTTTTATATTACAGGTTATACCTGGTGATGCTTACAAAATAGGTTCGGATGATTATGATGGGATATTTCACTGTCGGTTCTGGAGATTTGGTGTTTGGAATGATACCTATATAGATGACTTCCTACCAGTTGTGTATGAAACAAATATAGCTGGGGCTCACTCTGCAACAGACCCAAATGAGATGTGGGTGGCTCTCCTGGAAAAGGCTTTTGCAAAGTAAGTTTAAAGGTTTTTTTCTCAAATAATGTCCAAAATAAAACCTGAAATGGTAAACGAGTAATCCTAAAATTGAAAAAATATAGAGTATGTTATTACTTTCAAATATACTTTCAAAGTTAGTTATTACATACTCTGGATTCGTCTATTTTTGTGGATTGAGAAAAATATATTTCCTTTGTTTTGCCAAAGTTTACAATCAAGCCTATAGAAAATTTGTATTTCGTTGAAATTTAAATTCGCGGATAACATTTATCCACGAAATCAACGAATATTGGTATGCCAATATCAATAATTAATCCACAGTACTAGTATATTAAATTTACATTTTTATAGGAAAAAAGCATACACCAACCAATTATGTTCAAATGTCTTTTCTAGGTTTATGAATATTTTGAAGACTTAGGGAATTTATAATTACAAATTTCCAATATTTGTTGAAGTTTTTATAATTTATTTTTGTATAACATAATTTTTTTTTATGTTTATCTTCTCAATACAATTTTATTTTTATTCAAGCGTCAGTGATGAGTCTTTGGTAGACGAAAAGGGCGTGTGGCGTATTAAATTATAAGCCTTGGTGTCTTTGATTAGTTTTTTTATTATTAAACAGGGAAATTACATTTAATTAGCGGTTCAAAAAGATATTTGAATGGATGAATGAATTTCATTTCTCATTAACTACAAATTACATAGTTACAGAGAATATATATATATATTATATATATATATATAGATATAGGACTCGAAGTGCGATGGGGACGCTGAAGTGCGATAGTCACGCTGAAGTGCGATGGTCTGCTCCGAAGTGCGATGGCGCGTTCGCTGATGTGCGATGGTCTATATGACGCGTGGTGGCTTGTTTAAAATCTACAGATGTGCAATTATTTAATTGTTTTATAGTTAGTATATAAAATATTCATTATTGTCTATGTATGTCCTTAGTTACAGTTGCATATTAAATGAGAGATCGTCCTCTTTGATTTTATGCATGTGAACATAATTCTGCTTAAACATTTTATTTTTACCTGGTTCTTTTCATGAGTTCCTCTTTTACAGTAATATTATAATACAGAGAGTCTGTTTACGAACCCGTATGTATTTAGAGAATAATGCGACGTTCGTAAACTAGAACCTTTTGTAGATTTCGAAAAAAAAATCCGCTACAGAAGGTTAACTCGACCAATCACTCTCCGTTTCCTGTAGTTTATATGCCCCTTATTAACTTAAAAACCCGAAAACTGCTTCTACAGTAACACAATGTAACGTCGACATAAAGCAAACAAACTGCATTCTACATAGTCATGAAAAGCATTGAAAATATAGTTTAATTAGTCCATCGCACTTCAGCGTTATCACCATCGCACTTCGGTGTAGCTATCAACAGGATAGCGTCACAATGCCACCATCGCACTTCAGCGTGATCAAAAACGCACTTCAGCGTCCAACCATCGCACTTCAGCGTGACCATCGCTGTTCGGAGTACCATCGCGGTTCAGAGTCCTACATATATATATATATATATATATATATATACAACCAAGTCTAAATTGAAAACAACGTTCAAACCTATGATTGCGTTGGATAAAAACCGCAATTTTTATACGGGTGCATGCAAAACAAATTTCTTGGTAGAGGGGTCTAAATACAGCACAAACAACATTTTCCAAAAGACCAAAAAAGTGAAAAATTTGTTCGACCTGCTAGTCAAATGCGTTTTGTTAAAATATAGTTTTTCACCTATTTTGTCTTTTGGAAAATGTTGTCAATACCAAACAGAAAACAATAAACTTGCGGAAAAGATGGTATACCACAAACAAAAGGTGCAAAAATTAGTACACCATATCCGGATTTCGACAATTAATGTCTCTCTAATGTTCACGGCAATTTTTATACGTATGCATGCAAAACAAATTTCTTGGTAGAGGGGTCCAAACAACATTTTCCAAAAGACCAAAAAAGTGAAAAAGTTGTTCGACCTGCTAGTCAAAAGCGTTATACCAAAATATACTTTTTCACCTATTTTGTCTTTTGGAAAATGTTGTTTGTGCTGTATTTAGACCCCTCTACCAAGAAATTTGTTTTGCATGCATACGCATAAAAATTGCGGTTTTTATCCAACGCAATCATAGGTTTGAACATTGTTTTCAATTTAGACTTGTTTATATTTTTTCGTTTGGGCTTGTATTATATTTGTCTTCGGGTTTATATGATCCGTTCATCCTATTTCGACTCTTCAAAATTCTTGATTCTATCCTTAATTGAGGTAAACTATATGGCCTTCCAAATACCGTTTCGATTCCTAACATCACTGAAGAGACATTAATTGTCGAAATCCGGATAAGGTGTACCAATTTTTGATCCTTTTGTTTGCGGTATACCATCTTTTCCGCAAGTTTATTGTTTTCTGTTTGGTATTTAATTAATAATTTTAAAAGATCCATTTTGTAACATCTTTTGATCCGTTTATTTGGCAATGGCCAATGGCAGTCAGCAGGGTTTAAGAACATCTGTTGTTCGACCTGTTAGTCAAATGCGTTTTGTTAAAATATACTTTTTCACTTTTTTGGTCTTTTGGAAAATGTTGTTTGTGCTGTATATATATATATACAGAATGTATTTTCAGCCTTGTATCACCATCACTGCTGGTGATCCGATGGATAAAATCTGTTGTAGAGTCGTCACTGGTTCAGACGTACTTATATATATATATATATATATATATATATATATATATAATTCGTCTAAACAACAGCCCATCAATGTTAGATCTGTAAATTTGTGGAAGCAATTTTTTTGTTCTTCCCTGGCCGGGATTCGAACTCATGCTACTGAGATATCGTGGCACCAAATCGCCTTGCACTATGCCCGACGTGCTAGACCACTCGACCACCTAGGCTCTATAATAATAAATCTTTCGGTGGCCGGGTATTACCTTTCGTCGTCAGTTTTTATCTAGCGTCGTAACACAGTACATGATATATAAGGCATGAAGATGGAATTGTTACAGATCAACTGAATTATCTATTGTAAAGGATCCTACAAATTAATGTGAGATGCAGTCACAGAAATAATTATATTATAAGTACGTCTGAACCAGTGACAACTCTACAACAGATTTTATCCATCGGATCACCAGCAGTGATGGTGATACAAGGCTGAAAATACATTCTGTATATATAATTCGTCTAAACAACAGCCCAACAATGTTAGATCTGTAAATTTGCGGAAGCAAATTTTTTGTTCTTCCCTGGCCGGGATTCGAACTGATGCTACTGAGATATCGTGGCACCAAATCGCCTTGCACTATGCCCGACGCGTATATATATATATATATAATATATAAGTACGTCTGAACTAGTGACAACTCTACAACAGATTTATCCATCGGATCACCAGCAATTCCGGCGAGGGAAGAACAAAAAATTTGCGAAAGCAAATTTACGGATCTAACATTGTTGGGCTGATGTTTAGACGAGTTGTATATATATATATATATATATATAAACAATTACATTAAATATTAAAGCACATGTAAACAATACAGACATAAAGTATTGAATTACAGACTAATCAGTAGGAGTGACTCTCACATTTATAATTTGTATAAATCTACATAGTTTTTCAAAAACAATATAGTTACACGAGCTCATTAATTGTTGACATTAATATATATTTTGACAAAAAGTACAATAGTGTGGTAACAACCTCTTTCTGTCCTGATTAAAAACTATAACAACAAAAATACTGATCTCCAAGGAAAATTCAAATTGGAAAGTCTCTTAACAATTGGCAAAATCAAAAGCTCAAACACATCAAACGAATGGAAAACAATTGTCATATTCCTGACTTGGTACAGGCATTTCCTTACGTAGAAAATGGTGGATGAAACCTGGTTTTATAGCTAGCTAAACCTCTCACTTGTATGACAGTTGCATACAATTCCATTATATTGACAACAATATGTGAACAAAACAAACAGACATAATAGGTAAAAAAGTCAAAAATAGGGGTACAGCAGTAAAAATTGTGATATATTCTCAATCACTATAAAAACAAACAAATATGTCAACAAAGAAAAACAAAATGGTTATCGACAAAGCACATACGCAAAAATGAAACACAAGAATACAAAAAATGACCACAGCACAACAACACAATGGCGGGATGCACAAGTACCGAGCCAAGCCTAAAGGATATTACCAAAAATGTACCAAACAGTAAACATTAATACTTTACAGACAAATAAAAGAACACTATAACACGTATTTAAGATGATAAACAACGTCAGTTACTAGAATCTATACATCAAGACCATCATGTATTATTTGTGAAGTTGATACGGAATATTTATCAACAAGGTCTTGGTATCTTCCGATAAACATTTTTATAGAAAAAGGACGAGACGTAACCCTGGTTCATTAACTTTCTGCTCAGACACTGGTGACGTAGTACAAAGTCTGAGTAGCAGCTTCAAACTCTTGAATACTGAATGAGTTGGGAAATGTATATCCCATATGCAGGTGAAGTTGGTATATTGCTACTAAGGTGGGGGAAATTGATAATTTTAAAATTAAAATCGTGTCGTTTGTCTTAGATTCTGGTACTGAAATTACCGCTTATGTCAAATTCGAGGTATAAGTCTAAAAATGAGGCGGAGGAAGCCGTGTCTGTTGTTTCTTTAATTTCTAGTTCTTAAGATTAAGAGCATTACATTACATGACATGATGATATTCATCACTGATATCTCTTGATTTGCAAAGATGGCACAACCTATCATTTTTGGATATGTTGTTCCACCTTCTCCTCTCAATAGGGAAGCGATGACTTCCACATCTTAATTAACACAATAAAAATTGATTATAAATTGACAATTTTGAAAAATAACTTTCCAATATAACATCAGTTTTAAAAATTCCATAACATAAGCATTTGAGAGTAGTGTTAATTTCGCTAAAGCAATTCTGCATAAACTGGTCTTTAAGTTTCAACTCAATACCTTTAATAATTACCCATTTATCTAATAATTGGTTCAACTAGATATTTATCATTCCACAATTATCAAAAACCGTTTTTACAAATGATACCCATTTACATTTAAGACCATAGTTGTGAAAATTAATATACAAAGTAAAAAATAACAAAAATACCGAACTCCAAGGAAAATTCAAACCGGAAAGTCCCTTATCAAAAGCTCAAACACATCAAACGAATGGAAAACAACTGTCATATTCCTGAATTGGTACAGGCATTTCCTTATGTAGAAAATGGTGGATTAAATTTTTTATATAAGATATGCAATTTTACTTTCTTTACCACACAGTAATCTACATAAGAAACTAACCATACGCACTTTGGCATTTAGAATTACAGGATATCCTCCCAATTCTGCATAAACAATTCAACTAGGTGTACTCTGTTTTAACTGTAGAACAAGCTTACAAAATTTTAAATGAACACGTTCTATCATATCAAAACTTTCAAATCATAAAGAAAAATAGGTAAAACTATCTTATCAAACATGTCTAACTGACATTCTAAGGTTAAACTGTTTTGTCTACAATTTTTTAATATACCATACATTGAATTTTTAGCTTGTTCACAAATATATTTTCGGGTCTTTAGAAACGAACCACTACTAGCAAAAAATATACCAAGTTATTTATAATCAGTTACAATTTCTAGTTCTCTATTCTGTATAAAAAAAAAACTAATATTTTTGCGTTGTCTCCCTTTGGAGAATAAAAGAACTTTTGTCTTATCAATATTTATTTTTAGTTGCCATTTTTCACAATAATCACTAAATTCATTTAACAAGTTTTGTAAATCTTCATTACTTTCGGAAAACATCACAGTGTCATCCGCATATAATAACAGAAATATTTTTTAAAATACTGTCAACTCGTAATGCGGAAAAAATTTGCTGTTTATAATATTCTCCAGAAGTTTAAATAATAAAAAATTTCTCTGAATAATATCAAAGGCTTTTTCAAAGTCGACAAAGGTACAGTAAAGTTTTTTTCTTTCTTTCACAAATAAATATCAATCATACAATCAATAGAAGAAGATATGTATTCATTTACAATCATATCGTCACCCGACGATTTGTTATTCTTCATATTTTTTATTGCTTTCAATATTTCTTCAGCTGTTATACTTTCATTTAACATAGACTTTGAAGATTCTTTGCTAACATCAATATCAATATCATAAGTATCTCCATCATAATTATTTTTGTTTATATCTTTAAAAAAGTTAAATAATGAATCAGTGGTGATATTACAATTGTTTTTATGCTTTACTTTATTCCAAATTTTCCAAACTTCCCTTGAGTTCTTGAAATGCATATTTCTCATCTTCGTGCGCAAGTTTTCGTTATATAGTTTGATATTCTCGTCCATAATTTTTTTGTAATGTTTTTCTGACTGTCGAAATCTTAGATCCATAGTGTTTATAAAGTCTTCTGTTTTTTTCAAAATTCTTGTCTAACTTTTGTGAATTTTATCAAATAATTTAATATGTAATTATTAACAGATTGTATGGATCTTATGAAGAAATAACAGCGGGATTAACAGCTGACTCCTTCATGAACTTAACAGGAGGAGTTGCAGAGATGATTGACTTCAAGAAGAAAAGGATATCGTCTGAACGATTATTCCAAAGGTTACATAATGCCTTCCAGTGCCCAACTACTATGGTTGGGTGTGCTGTTCCGGTACGGAAATCAAACATTTATTTCTCTGGACAATTGAGTTTAAAACACACGACTATGTTGTATGATATATAAAAAATCCTGGCTTTGAATTTATACCCATTGAAGGCATCCAAGACAGATCTTAATCGATTACAAACAGTTTAACATAACAATAAAAGGAGTTATTTGTATACACCAATGAGAAAACAAATCTAAGACATGAAAACAAACCAAATAACATAAATAGTAGCGAAGATTGACCTGGTCACCAGCAGATTAAATCGTCTTTAGTATACACCGATTTATTGATATGAATATACAACCATTGCAATTGGTCTTTATCAATGGTTTTGTTTTTTGATTTTCTCACACATTGTCATACTGAAACCTTTTATCGCCTGTATACAATATGGTGTTTGCTAGTTATTGAAGACCGTACAGTGACCTGTTCAAATCTCTTTATGGATATTTGTCTCATAAGCAATCATGCCACATCGCCAAATTTTTATATTTATGATTCCGACATAGATGATTTGATGGTTTCAAAATCATTTTAGATCCATTACAATCATTTTATAGTGTAAATTTGAATTTATAAGACAAGGTTTTGAATGAATCGACCTCCGCTTCTCTTAATGTGAATATCTTCCTAATTCTATATTATATGCGAAAAATATGCATTTTCATAGGCAATCTAGAAAAAGCATTAATAATAAAAATGTCTCATAGGCAACCTGGAACAAATGTTATTAAAATTTTTCAAATGCATTCTATAACGAATATGATAAAGAAAAACGTTTGCTATAAAAACAACCAATCAAAAAAACATTTACAAGTATAAGTTCATAAAAAAGTCTATTATCAATTATGTTCATTTATGGTTTTGCAGGGTAAAAATGATGGTAAATGTGGATTGGTAGGAGGTCACGCTTATTCCATGAACGGAGCTTTTATTGTAAGTTAATCTTCATTTACTGTACAGCATTGCACGAAGTGGTTTTACGGTGGAAAATATAAAAAAAAAATTAAGATATGTATTAGTAAACCTGAATATTTAATACCATTTACGCAATAGTGGTGCCGATACCCTTTATAAAATCACAGATTAATTAAACAAATTTCATTGGTTGGAATCGGCCGATAAAATATTTCAAAAATGTTGCTTGATTTTTAACTCAAAGAAATAAGGCAAACATGATTTATATTCCATTCTTATTTTGACGTCTCTGCGACATTCAAGAATTTATTACTAAATATATGAATGTTTAAAAAATAATATGTATACTTTCATTATTTACTACTAATAATAAAACTTTTAAATGGTAACATCGTTTTTTTATTTAAAGGTAGGTGGAGCAAAGTTATTAAGAATAAGAAATCCTTGGGGCAATGGAGAATGGAACGGGCCATGGAGTGATGGGTATTTATTTCTTTAATTTACTTTCTTTTGACTTGAACAATGCAAACGTTATGGAAAAAGGGGCGAGGGAGCTCTGTTTCAATGGATTTGTCTTTTTCCCCCATGTAAAGCTCATATACCAAATAGTCTTTCTTGTTGTTAAGGGGGATCGAACCTAGCTCGCTCGGAGATTTTGCATATGGGGATTATAACATCTTTTAGGGATCTGGAGAATTCTAGGTCACATGTCTGTCTAGGTGATTCCTTCTTCAGGTGTGTCCATCTTCTTGGACACTTGTTCTTTCGAAGTCTTGCTCTGGTAAATAAAATACTATGTTGTTTCAATGATTTATTCCAAATCAGCAAATTAAAATGAAAGGATATACGGGATCAAATTTATTCAAATAGAAGTCTTTATTTTAACTTATTAATGTTAATGAAATTCTTTATTATAAATCTAAATTATGTTCAAAATATTTAACTTTATTTATTAAATCGGAAAGATAAATTTATACTTTTAATTCAATTGAAAATAGTTTAAACTTAAAGAATTTACAAAGCTTCGGTATAACATTGTTATGTTAATGGTTTACTCCAAAACAGCAAACTTTATTGATGTGTGATATGTGATGTTCGGAGCTTGTCGTCTTCCTTTTTAAAACCAATATCACATGCTAATTGGAACCCTGTTTTTAATGGTGAAGTGTTATACTATATTTAATTCTACAGAACTTTGCGGTCTACAGAATATATATCATGTGCCATATTTTTCTAACTGGACATTTGGCAATTTTTTAGGAGCCCTGAATGGGATTCTGCCCCGTCAGACTGTGTTCCGCCACCTTCAAAAGACGATGGTGAATTTTATATGGATATAAATGATTTTCTTGGATATTTTGAAGATTGTACCATTTGTAATCTAACACCGGATTTTGACAGAGATGGAAACCCTAATATGTTAAGTAAGAACAAGCAGCTATAAACTTTTACAACAGAGCTGTGGACAGCACAAAAATGGCCCAAATATATGCACAACGCATATGCAAAAAATACACAATATAAAATGAAAGAATACATTATTATATTGACATCGGATTTAAATGTGATAACCTTAATGGAGACGACGTCAATTTACGGAAAGTAAAACAGTCATTATACTTTATATTTTTAAAATGACAAAATTAAATTTGGGGTCTCACCGCACAAAAATAAAGGTAAAGTTTAAATCTTTTTGACGAAAGGACTTTGAAATATATGTTGTCAGCATTCTTTTACAAAACAGCCATCATGGTTACAAATGCTAAACAGTATAAATGCGAAATTTACAATGGAGTGTAGCTTAGATAAATTCTGTGTAAAAACTCGATTGGTAAAGTCCATAAGGATTCCAGACGCTACAAGGAACATAAGGATTGATGAAAAATTCAGATTAATTTTTGTTCCTTGGAATTTGTTTCTATGAACAAGATTTATAACAACTAAGAAGTTAATTCTTAAATATTGTGAATAACTACAGCATGTTTATAACAGTTAGTCAAACATCATCTCGCATAATATTCTTACACATACCGTTATCTAGCAACATATTAAACCTTCTACCTGTCTAGGGAATCGAAGAAAGTTCCGATAGTTTAATGCATTATTCTCCCGTTTTGTATTGTCTCATTTCAAGTAATGTTTTTGTTGATATTGGCAGCAATACTGCACAACCATGGGCCATTGTGCTTAAGCATAATGTTTTTTAGTAAAATGGTAAGCAGAGAGAGAGAAAAACAAACATGCATTTGACGAGTTTCAGAAACAGAGAGAAAAGCGAGAGTACAAATACATTTTTTTTTTCCTACACTTTACAAATATTGTTTTATCCTGCAATTTAACATTGAGCGTAAACGCATAGATAGAGGCCTTGGTGGCCGAGTGGTCTTCGTAGTCAAACTACTGTGTCGCTAGCCTGTCAACACCGATGTTGTGTGTTTGAATCCAGCACATGGCAGGTGCACTCGACTTTAAACTCAATTGACTTGTATTGTCAGCTTTCCTACAGAAGGTCGGTGGTTTTCGCTGGGCACTCCGGCTTTCTCCCCCAATAAAAACTGACCGCCACGAAATAACACAATAGTGCTGAAAGTGGCGTTCAACACCAATCAATCAATCAATCAATAAACGTATAGATTTTATTCCATCCTATTCGTTGAATTTTCTTTTTTGAATGAAATTGGCACGACTTAAAGGTGGACCGCAATGGGGACCCCAAATTGAACTGTGATGTCAGCGGTAATTTGAACATAACCGTTTGCTTGTAACAGAAGCAAGATACTAGAAGACTATAAACGTATACTATACGTTTATCGACTAGTGTTATCTGTCAGCCTATATTTGTATACTAGAAAGGTCGATTGCAGGATAAACATGCATATCTGTAGTTTTGACAAGAAGTATATTTCCTTGATGTCATTTTATTTATTCGTAGATTGACTTTATGGATTCGAAAAAGACAAGCATAACTTATTTATTGATTTTTTCTGCTAAATCAGTTCCATATCAATCTTTCTCTAACATTGTAAAGACCGTCCTTATTGAATGGAATTATACTATTTGTTCCATTCCTTTGTGTCTGTTTTAATCATTAACAAAATAAGGAGATGTAATATGAGACAACTATCCGTAGACCAATAAATACCGAGGCTAACAATAATTGGTCCCTATACGGCCTTCAACAATGAGTACAACACATACCGTATAGTAAGCTTCAAAAGTAATACAAATGTTTTATATTTTTCTTTTGTCTTTTAGATTACGTAACATGTGTATACGGAAACTGGCGTGAGGGAAAAAATGGCGGATTTGAACACCGAACAAAGAATCCATGTTACTGTGTTACACTGGGCGATGAAGGTATTTTTTTGTTTTTAGAAACGTTACAACGCACACGGCAAAAGTGTATAGTAATACGCCTTAGAAAGAAATCTTAATCTTCTTGACATTAGATATGTAAAGATGATGGAGTTTGTCAATCAATCTGTTTACAAAATGAAATGTATTCAGTATATTGAAACTGTTTGCTCTAGCAGAAGACGTAAAGATGTCTACATATATTCTTACTTTTTTATACTTTGTAAAAAAAATCTGCCTAAAGCTAAGAAATAAAAATACCTTTATAAACTAATCATAGATACCAGGATTGAAATTTTCTACGCCAGACGTGCGTTTCGTCTACAAAAGACCCATATTAAAGTGACCCTCGAAGCAAAAAAGATAAAAGGCCAAATAAAATACGAAGTTGAAGAGCATTGAAGACCCAACATTCCAAAAGGTTTTGCCACATACAGCTAAGGTAATCTATTCCTGGGGAAGATTATATCGAAAAATTCAAAGTTTTGTAAACTGTTATTTTATAATTATGACAATATCAAAGATATTGCATGTCAACACAGAAGTGCTGACTACTGGGCTGTTGATAGCCTCGGGGACATGTATATATTTTTACCATTTTGAGTGTCTCATTGTTTTTGTATATATGTTTCTATCTGTAGCAATGGACGATGAAGGTAAAGTTGCCCTTGTTGTTCAGATAGTACAAAGAACATTAGAGAGTAGGGATGATGTTGCTGATGTCAGATGCGATCTATTCAAGGTATTTCCTTAGTTATGTCATCAATACATTGTAAAGTGTTTTAGTCTTCCGCATAATGTAATCTAAGCTAGTAGAGTATATCTGTGTGTTTGTTGCTGTTTATTTACTTACTTATCGATTTGTTTGGCTAATTTAGAGACATATGAATAAATATCTTTACAAGTATGACATGTTTAAAGTGTAATAGGACAAAAAGAAAAGAACATAACATGTACTAATCTTTCAATCTATATGCTAAACAATTAAAAGTCCATAAAAAGTGGTCGCTTTTGTTTTAATCTATTTCAAAATAACTCAGTGGCATTTGATTGTTATAGCGCAGACTTTGCAAATAAAGGGCTATCTATGATCAGAAAGGACGTGACCGTGTGTTTATACATCCAACGCAGTGTTATTTGAACATTCCTGAGTAGGAGTTTTGTAAAGGTAAATGTATGTCAAGTCATTACCCATAATGTATATGGTATCTTAACAAATTTTTATTGTAGGTTCTTAGCAAAAACGACCATTGTGTTTCCCTGGAACTATTAGGAGACAAGTCTAATTTATACATGGGAAATGTACAAAATACATACAGATTCCTTGTTGAACCAGGTTCATATGTTGCTATACCCTCGACCTTGGAAGCTGGATACGAAAAGGAGTTTCTGATCAGATTTTTTACCGCCGGTCCTGTGTCAAATCATCAGTAGGTTTCATGTTTAAGCAAAAATCAAAACATAATTATTTGCTCAATGCAAATAAGATATGCCATACGTTAAACTTACTCATGTGGTCTTCACTGAGTTTCAACTTAACTTTATAATATATATACATCAATGTTATCTATACAATAAGGTATCTTTGAACAATTCCAGTCGACACTCTCTATAAACTGAGGATTCTTTCATCCTCTTCTCATGAAAATGCTGTCTATACAATGAAGAAGTTTTCCGACTCTTCTCCTTCAATACTGTCACGCAGTATATAAGATCTTACTGACTCTTCATCAGTCAATACTGTTTGTACAATAAGGTATTGCTAGGGTTTCTCTCCTATGAGTGATGTCTTTACAACGTTTTTGTATCTTTCAGGCCGTTCTCCTGTCTGTGTTGTCTATACAGTAAAGTGTCTTTGTGACTCTTTCGGTGTCAGTGATGTTTGTACAATAAGGTATATGTGTTGCTCTTTTCCTGTCAGTGACGGTTATGCAATAAGGTATATGTGTTGCTCTTCTCCTGTCAGCTGCTGTGAGGTGTACAATAATGTATATGTATGGCTCTTCTCATGACAATGCTGTCCATACAATAAAGCATATTTGTGGCTCTTCTCTTATCAGAGACGTTTCTACGATAAGGTATATGGGTTGATCTTCTCATGACAATGATGTTTATACAGTTAAGTTTATTTATGGTTGTTCCCCTGTCGATGGTGTTCATGCAAAAAAAACGGAAATCTGTTCGTGTCTTCTCCCATCCATGCTATTTTTCTGTGATTTCTCCTGTCAGTGATATTCATACGAAAGGTATTTTCTTGACTCTTCTCCTTCAATACTGCACATACACTGAAGTATCTTATTATATCAAAAAGGAAGATGTGGTATGATTGCAAATGAGACAACTCTTCACAAGAAACATAATGACACAGAAATTAACAACTATAGGTCACCGTCCGGCCTTCAACAATGAGCAAATCCCATACCGCAAAGTCATCTATAAAAGGCCCCAAAATGACAAATGTAAAACAATTCAAACGAGAAAACTAACAGCCTAATTTATGTACAAAATAATGAATGAAAAGTAAATATGTAACATAGAAATAAAAGACAACCGCTGATTGACAGGCTCCTGACCTGGGACATACAGAATGTGGCGGGGTTAAACATGTTAGCGGGCTCCCAACCCTCCTCTTAATCCTGGGACAGTGGTGCAACAGAACAATACAAGAGCTGAACAAAACAATAAGCAAACAACACATATGATCAACAGCAACAAACAACAACCACTCAGTTACAGGCTCCTGACTTGGGACATGCACATATAGAATGTTGCGGGGTTAAACATGTTAGCGGGCGCCCAACACTCCCCCTAACCTGGGACAGTGGTGTAACAGTACAACATAAAAACAAACTATAAAAATCAGTTGAAAAAGACTTAACTCATCAGATAGATACAAATAGAAATACATCTAACAAAAACACAGAGTGTACGTGGCCGGGTAGTTGTACATCCCAACAACAAAAAGACACTAAGTACAGATCTGCGAGTACATCTGCGAGTACTCGCAGTTACTGACAGCTAGTTCAATCAGTACTTTCTATACACAAAGGTATTCTTCTGGCCTTTTTCCTGTCAAGCCAACCACTAACACTCGACTCCTTCGAAAGAATACAAACAAACAAATACAAGCAACAACGAAATTTATGCAAATACTGTTTGAGGGGTACAAATAAGTTTTACGAGACCACACACCTCCTCCTTTTCTTTCTTGACTAGATGTCGTAAAACAATAAACTTACACACAGTTAAAGTTTGGCTAGTTTGTTGATTTTATTAATTTAAGTTATTATTAACGCTCTACATTGATTCGTTTTTTTTTTGGTGTATGAAAAAATAGACAGAATTGTATCTACATTCTGACGTGTTAGTTTTAAAAAAAAACCTAATTTTTTGACTGAAAATGAAATTCACACCCTTTTGGTAATGATATAGATTTGAACAATCATTGAATTTCAGTGAATATATCCATCATATCTGTTGTGTTATAGGTCTGATCAAATGAAATTTATAAAGTATTGTTTTCATATTGTACAGTATTGGGTTGACTTTTATACAAGTGGAAGGTTTAGCTAGCTATTAAACCAGGTTTAATCCACCATTTTCTACATGAGAAAATGCCTGTACCAAGTCAGGATTATGACAGCCTTTTTTTGTGCCATTTGATAAGGGACTTTCTGATTTGAATTTTCCGTGCTATATTTGTTATTTTACTTTTTTCGATACCGCCAATGGTGGACTATGAGTCCTCGAGGGTATCACTAGATCAGTAGTCAGTACTTCTGTACTGACCTGATTTATAACAAACCATTCTTAAATTACCCGTTTAGAAATTTAGAAATAATTAAGAAACTAAGGTGTCAATTCCATCAGGCAAAGTTGACTTGAAAGGCTAGATTGCTTGGCTTTTATTTTAGATCCTTTTTGGTCATATTGATCTTCAACAAATACGTTTCTTATACATCTTTTGCTTTCATATATTCCGATTTGGCGTTCCTGGTGAAGGTAAATCAAGAAAAGCGCTTCGGACCTATACAATTTATAAAATGCACTTTTAATTTTTCATTGAATTTCTGTTAAATAAACATCTTATATGTCATGTTATTGGTTAAACATTTATTGAAACCTTTGATCATTTGGAAATGCATTCGATAGTTCTCCGATTGGCAATCATACCATATCTAATTATCTTATATCTGTATTGCTATTGATTAAAGCAATCATTGAATTTCAGTGAAGTAGACAACATTACTATGATGACAGGAAGGGGTAGAAATGGCGATGAACCAGCAGAAAATTCACGTTATAGTAAGTTTTGTACTCACACATACTAAAATCATGTAATCGTAAGTTTTGTACTCACACTTACTAAAATCCCCCTATAGTAAGGTTTCCCCCTTAGCAAAATGAAATCATGTTATAGTAAGTTTTGTATTCATATATACCATTAAACCAGGTTCAACCCAACATTTATTTCTTAAAATGTCCTGTTCCAAGTCAGGAATATGGCAGTTGTTATCAAATAGTCCGTTTCTATGTATGTTGGCGTTTGTTTTTTGTTGCAGTTCAATGTTTCTGTTGATCCGTTGTTTTCCTCTCATAGTTGATGTGTTTCCCTCGGTTTAAGTTTGTAACCCGGAATTGTTTTTGCTTAATCTATTTATGACTATTGAACAGCGGTATACTACTGCATGATACGGGTTATTTTCTTCTCATATAATTTATGATGGTATGATACTAAACCCCTAATGGGAGGGATTCTGCTTGATTTTCATATGATGAAGACATAATCTTTAATCAGTTTAATTGAGGTCTGGAGCTGGCATGTCAGTAACTGCTAGTAGTCCTTTGTTAATTTATGTATCATTGTCATTTTGCTTAGTTTCTTTTGTTACCTATTCTGACATCGGACTCGGACTTCTTTTAAACTGAGTTTTACTGTTCGTATTGCTGTGTGTTTGTTTATTCTACATTGGCTAGAGGTATAGGGGGAGGGTTGAGATCTCACAAAACATGTTTAACCTCGCCGCATTTTTGCGCCTGTCCCACGTCAGGAGCCTCTGGCCTTTGTTAGCATTGTATGTATTTTTAATTTTAGTTCATTTTTATGTTTTGGAGTTTAGTATGACGTCCATTTTCACTAAACTAGTACACATTTTATTTATGGGCCAGCTGAAGCCCGCCTCCGGGTGCGGGATTTTCTCGCTGTGTTGAAGGCCCATTGGTGGCGATCGGCTGTTTTCTGCTCTTTGATCGGGTTGTTGTCTCTTTGACACATTCCCCATTTCCATTCTCAATTTTACTGTTGCCTTTATATACCAAAATTACCCTATAGTAAGGTTTGTTTTCACACAAACTAAAATCACGTTATAAAAAAAAAGTGTTCTACTGGCATATACTTAAAATCCCATTATACGGTAAGTTGTGTACTTAATAGTAAGTCAGTATCCATTCATCACGTTATTTTCAGCTTTGTACCAACACATTGTAAAATAAAAATAAATATACTTTGTACTAATACAAAATAAAAATCAAGTTATAGTTAGTTTTGTACTCACTTATACTTAAAGTACGTTAAAGTAGGTCTTGTACTCACACATACCAAAATTACAATCTAGTAATTGTTATACTCGCTTATATTAAAATCAGGTTCAAGTTAAATCCACCATTTGAGAGCACAAATTTAAAATACTGATGGATTTAGTCGAGGATAAAGATACTCTTTCCGAATGGGTTAAGGCTGTGAGGTCGCAAATACAAATTAGAATTAAAAAACTAAATGGGCAAATTAACTACATCAGCAAATTAACTGTAAAACATAACTAAATTTGTATTCTTTTCAAACGGGATGTATAAAGACACACCCACGTTCGTTTTGATCTATATATCTTATATCTACTTTGAATACAAATGCTACTTGATCTTTAAAGACCCAAATGTTGCTTAGTACCTGTCCTACCTCAATAGCAAATATGTTGTTGTCCCCACAGATAAAGTCACAAACAACATCGTTTTCGTGTGTAAATCACATTACATAAACTGCTTGATAAAAGAATTAGGTATTGACAATTCACTTAGAAACGCAACAAATACCCCCATGACACTTACCAAGGAGGAAATCCTGAATAATCATAGGTCTGTTCTATGTTCATTTTGGAATTTGAACCAGAAAAAAAGAACTTGATCTTCCTTCATTGTATTGGATACCTAAATTATGAAAGTGTCCTTGCAAATAATGTTATATTGCTGGGTTAACATCAATTTTATCAGCAATCAAAGCCGGGCTTTCAACTGACAATCGGCATTCCAATGGGAACCAATTAGGCTCCTATTCTTGTAGACTTCTTCTTTTATTCACACGAGAATGGCTTCAAACAGGAAATTCTTAGGAAGAAGCTAGCATTATCTTTAACATCACGTTCCGCTATATAGATGTCCTCTCACTAAACAATCAAAAGTTTGGTGACTATGTTGCTGTCCTGGCATACAAAGCACAAAACAATATAGTTATGACATAATGTAATATAACATAGATCAGTGTTAAGTTTTGCATTCTAATTTAGCGAGTTATACATTTAAAACAAATAAGCAAGTTTAATGTTGAAAATTAGGGCGCTCATAGAACCAGTGTTGTATAAGGCCGAAAATAATTTATAAATAAGTACAAAAAGGATGAAACAACAATAAAGAGCTTATATTCAATAAATTAAGAAAATCTGCTAAACCTTTACGATCTTTAATAAAAATGTCATTAATTTTGTTTCATACAAATTTGTATAGAAATATAACTAAACATTTCTTTTCAGAATGTACAAAATGTTCAGTTGGTGCATTCCAAAGTGGTGTTAATGCTGGAGGACAGATAGCGTGTGAAGGATTTTCAAATAACCCGCAGTATCTACTGACAGTCAATGACGGTAAGAACAAATGCGTGTTAACTTCACTGAAAATGGCGTTAAACAAAAACAAACAAAACAAACCAATTGGATTTTTAAAATAATTTTGTTCATTTGTTATGGTGATCGATGTAGTTTGATCAAAGTCACTCAGTCACAGTGGCTTCGACAAAAGTATCATGCAAAAAGTTGCAGTGCTCGTTAAAGGTTAATAACCATTATATCATTTTATGTTTACATTACAAATAGTACAACAAACTTTTCAAATATTAGAACATAAATTACATAACAAGAAAAAACAGGGACTAGTTATTATATAAGAGGCAACACTATAGTTTAGAATTTTTTTTAAAACGCGTCAAAGTTGACAGGCTTATAATTTAGTCTGCTTGACGAGTGTTTTGTCTACACAAGACTTGTAATTTTGCCTTTAAGTCTCTATTCAATTGTTTAAATAAAGGCAACAGTAGTATACCGCTGTTCGAAACTCATAAATCGATAGAGATAAAAACAAATCCGGGTTACAAACTAAAACTGAGGGAAACGCATCAAATATAAGAGGAGGAACAACGACACAACAAAAACACAACATTTATTATTTTTCTTATTAAAATGTCAATGAAAATATAGGATGCTACGACGTAATTTGGATTGATAAAGATCAAATGATGAACACGTTTTCGTTAATTATTAATGTTAACCTCAAACCATTTCAGAACAAACATTTAGAGTTGAAGTTATGCAACCAGAAAAAGATGACGGATTTGCACTTGGTATCAAATTGTTCGAAGTAAGTGCATCTTTTGAATTGTCCCAAGTAGACTTATATATTCCATTCTTAAGGAAAAACTGGTATCGAACATTTGGTATGCCAAATATACATAAATAGTCGAAAACACTTTTTTTTTTACATATACTGTAATTTACATGCTATATTGTCCAGATCAACTAAGCATGCTATAACTTACTGAAGCACAACAAAAGTATAAGCGCAACTAAGATTTAAAAACAATTGTAATTTAAAGCACAACTTGGAAAGATCCAGATATAAAGCAGACCTGGTTCACTTGGATATTTGAAATGCAAGCACTCTTTGAGATGTGGGTTATTGGGTGACAAAACATTATCAATATATCTGAAGGTGAAATTAAAGAACTTTGAAAGATGCTTTTTGATGTGTTTGAGCTTTTGATTTTGCCAATTGATAAAGGACTTTCCGTTTTAAATTTTCCTTAGAGTTCGGTATTTTTGCTATTTTACTTCTTTTTTTTTTCTTTGAGAAGATTCTGTATAAATTCTGCCTCATATTATTATAAAGTAAAGTGACAGTAGTTTACCGATGTTTAAATCGATTAGGAAGAGACAAATCAAAGTTACAAACAAAAACTGAGGGAATCGCATGAACTCCAAAAGGAGCGAGACCGGGTGGGTCGACAGGGTAAGGTTCTCTCGCTATGCATGTGCCCCCTGCCGTGTTCATTTACTCTCAAAATATCACAATGGGGAATAAGACACAATAGGTAACATTACAGATCAGTCTAATATACTGGTATGTAAAGATTTAAGACCGCAAAAACATGTCGTTAGTGAGTTGAGACACCGACACATCGTATCGGTCAACCAATTCGTGATGGTGACTGTAAACCTATGTAGTCTCAGTAGTAGTACACAATTAGTACCTTGTTTTTTCCAAGTACTTAATTACTCATTTTATTAATCATGATAACAAAATGTACACAGAAGAACTTGTCATCAGATCAATGTATTCAGGTGACTCTATGATATAGGTATAACAGACATGACATGCTTACTTAATCGGAGTTTCTCGGTTTATTTTCAGTAGGTTTCGTGTTGATCAAACTTTTGTTTTTGTTGAAAGTGAGTTATTGGTTGTTTTTCTTTTATCCAGTTGTTGCTGTGGTTTGGTTTTTCTTTGGTTTTTCAAATGCGTTGTCTGTCGGTTAACAGTTTTGAATTAACGTCTAGGTATTTGTGGGTATACGTATGAATAAAGGAGAAGCACGGTATTCATCAATGAGTAAAAAAAAAATAAACTAGAAGGCAACTAGTGGTAAACAAACCATTTGTTTTAACACAAGAATTGTTGTTAACAATACAGTGACTTTCAAACGTGTTTAACTGGTAGATAATACAGATACTCTAGACTGATTCGTCACTGAAGCACACGTAAGAAAGATGCAGAAGATACCTAATGGATAATAAAAAATTAGTAACTCGAAGAAAATCTGACCTTGGTTAAAACAGAAAACTGATGAAAATCTAACAACAATCTACAAACACTACATAGAAAACTTTAATTTGAGCTTACAAGTGCTCATGATAAGCAGATGATGTTCCACATGTTGAACCCGTCGTGTTGCTCATAACAAGTAAAAAAACATAATCGAGGATTTGTTTAACAGTGTTTAATGAAAATTGTTAATGAGGCTTATCGCTATTTTTTTGTGATAACTTTTCATATCATGCTACTAGCTTGAGATGGAAAATTATCGCTAGAAACTAAGGGCGAACGTGCCATTGTCCATGTAAACATCAATAACGTCATAGGTAAAATAACGATAAACAGATTATCAACTGAGAAACACCATCTCCTTTGAAAAACCATCGACAATCTATAAAAAAAGGTCTACAGACGCCCGTGATTAATTGTATAAAATAAGACCCCGACAGAAAATGGATTACGTTAATACTTGTTAAACACCACGAAAATGCCCAGCAAGCCTCTGGTGGCTCTAAAGAAATGTACCCCTTATATATTTACGTCATGAAATATAAAATCACAGGAAGAAAAATATCCAAAAATTCTAAATCTAACATCCAAAATGTGAATAGTTTTAACGGTTGTAAAGAGATATAATTACATGCTTGAATTTGCAGGCTCCTGGAGATATTTTCCCAGTTGATTACAACTGGCTAAATGACAACTATGGCAATGCTATGAGAGACAGTGAAGGTGGTGATGGCCCTTTCCAATTCGGAACTTCTGTAGACACATGTTACACAGTTTACCCGGGAACATATATACTACTTATTCACTGTGATAGTGAAGTCGATGAAAACGATTTTTCTGTGGCAATTTATTCAGAATGTCCAATTGAAATGGAGTAAGTTATCAAACAAGTCATTAAATGAATATACTGTAAATTATAAACAACACTATCATTTTTTGATCTGCATTACCAAAACCACCAACGAACCGATAAATCGTTAATTAGTCAAGTAAATGTTTTTGTCATGAAAAGTAAAAGAGACCTGAAAGGTCATTATAGAACATAAAATCCGTGTAAACTCATCGAACCTTTAAACAAAATTATTAGTAAAGGTTATCTTACCAATGTTGTAATTAGATCTTTGAATATAGTTTACATTGGCACAAATATCGATTTTGTCATCAGCAAATTAAAACATAACTAAATTTGTATTCTTTTCAAACGGTTTTTTGGGATGTATAAATACACATCCACATTCATTTTCTATATAGAGATTACTTTATCTATATATAAAATTATACATATTTATTAAAAGGTTAACTCCTAACTATCCTACTGCCTGTCGATACTTTTATTTTGGCATTGCACAAGTCATTCTTCTTTGACTGTCCATGACGTTAAAACACTAAATCCCTGGGATGTATTTTAGTTGACTTTAGTCTCTGATGCATGATTTTTTATTATTAATTGTTTTTGGCTTTTAACTAGCTTTCAGTAACTGCGAGTACTCTTAAATCGTACTTTCGTGTTAATTTGACCTGTTGATACAATTTGTAATGCATTATTGTTTTTTAATGTTTACTTATTTTGTGTTATATCTCGTCTCACTATTTTTGATATATATCACCTTTGATAAGTGTTTGGTATTACGATAAATTTTCACTTCTGTTCTCGTACTATGAACATATTTTGTAAAAATATTTCCGTACTCCATGTATACCTTACAACAAAATTGTTTTTATTTACCTGTGTACGTTATTTTATTTGGCGGCATTTTGTCCAAGGTTATGGTTGTCTTTCTGATTTTGTTTTACATCTCACCCCCTTTTTTTTTTATTAATTTTTCATTTACATTGTGTCATAGATCAAATTTATTCGTTCAGTGTATATTTACTTGTTTTTGTTAATATGTCTTTTGATTGAGTTAAGCAATTTCAATTGATATTTTATAGTGTGACTTTCTATGTTGTGATGTTACACTATTGTTTTAGATTAGGGTGAAGGTTAGCGCCTGTTAAAACGTTTAAACCCGCTGCATTTGTTTGCACCTGTCCTAAGTCAGGAACCTGATGTTCAGTGGTTGTCGTTTGTTGATGAGGTTCATAAGTGTTTCTCGTTTTTATACGCCCGTCAAAATTTTTACGGGACGTATTATGGTATACAAATGTCGTCTGTCCGTTTGTCTGTCCGGCGTAAACATGTCGCACCGTAACTTGAGAACGACTTATCCAAATTTCATGAAACTTAACATAGTTGTTTCTTATGATGGTCAAACGATCTGTATACTTTTTGGTAAAAATAAGATTAAAACTTTTTGAGTTACGGGACTTAGTAACTAAAACAGGTGTGTGTTTTTTTTTCACATGTCGCGCCGTATCTCAAAAACAATTTATGATTATTGCTTAAAACGTTACACACTTCTTAGTTATATTAATCTTAAGATCTGTATACTTTTTGGTGATGATTCAAAATTTTATTTTTGAGTTATTGAGTATTTTGTACAAAAAGGGGGATGGGTTTTTCACATGTCGCGCCGTATCTCAAAAACGATTTATGATTATTGCTTAAAATTTTACACACTTTTTAGTTATATTAATCTAAAGATCTGTATACTTTTTGGTTTTGATTCAAAATTTTATTTTAGAGATATTGAGTTTTTTGTAAAAAAAAAGGGGGTTTTCGCATGTCAGGCCGTACGTCAGAAACTATTTATGATTATTGCATGAAAATTCACACACAAGACGACGGGTGTATCATGCGCTCATGGCGCAGCTGTTTATTTTATATAGATTAGACCGTTGGTTTTCCTGTTTGAATGGTTTTACACTAGTCATTTTTGGGGTCCTTTATAGCTTATTGTTCGGTGTGAGCCAAGGCTCCATGTTGAAGGCCGTACTTTGACCTATAATGGTTTACTTTTACAAATTGTGACTTGGATGGAGAGTTGTCTCATTGGCACTCATATCACATCTTCTTATATCTATATAGCTATACCTATATAAGGACAAATATAAACAGTAGCATATTTTTTTATTTCTTTTTCAGATCAGCACATGTATAAAAGGAGATAAAAGAACATCTTTGTTAAATGGTTAAAGAAATATACTTTAAAAGTCCTGATATAAATACTGAAACGGAAGGATATTGTTGAACGTGGAAATAGGAATGTTATAAACATGTATAATAAAATTAGAAAAAAAAACAGACTGTATTCCTGCTCTCCTACAGTAGTATAATCATCAATAATTTATCAATAACCAGGTTACCTCTTGTTATACTTTATATACACAAATACATCTTGATACTTTTTGAATGGAAAATATGCATTTTTTATTCGTAGTTTTTTTCAGGCAAAAATTGATTTGTATACGACAATCTATGAATATAAACAAAACTAGTAATTCATAATTAATTCATCTGTGATATTTTTTTTTTATAAATTATTTATTTGAAAATAAAAGTGGCCATTGCGTTATTGCTTTTTGTTGTAGATGTATTGTATTGAAGACAAACTTACTAATACTCATATCTATTCAAAGCATATCTGCGACGTATTAAAGGCGTCACAATCTATCAAGATATAATGAATTTGTTTTCCTTTAATAATTAAGAGACGAGTTGATATAATGTTACGTAAATACATCCTAAAAGCTGTTTCACATCAACTCTTTACTACTTGAAAATCTTCATGTTCTGCCCTATAGATGATGTCCTCTCACTAAATAATTGAAAGTTTGGTGAATATTTTGAACGCATCTATCCCATATAACTTAATATAAAGGATACAACAGATAAGTCTGTCTCATATCTTGACTTACATCTTGAAATTGACAAGACGTTCGATTGAGAACAAAACTTTTCGAGAAGAGGGATGATTTAAGCTCCCCAATTGTAATTTTCCATTTCTATATAGCAACATTCCAGCAACGCCTGCATATGAAGTATATATCTCCCAGTTGATACGATATTCCAGAGCTCGCATTTCCTATCATGATTTCTTTGATAGAGGGTTGCTGCTTACAATGAAGCTGTGAAGTTGAAATCATCCCTTCATAATTTTTCCGTACGCTATCACGAGTTGCGGATATGTTCCAAATGTAACCACATTCCCGCCTTCTTTTCCACGAATATGTGACCTACCGAAATAGACTGATCCCCAGGTTTGTACTTACATGAGCAAAACGAAGAGTGTCACGTGTGGAGCAGTTTCTGCTAACCCTCCAGAGGACCTGAGATCACCCTTGGGTTTTTGTGAGGTTTGTGTAGCTCAGTCTTCAGTTTTCTATGATATGGATTTTGGTCTATTTTCGCTTTTTGCGAACGGGATTTTTGTAGTGTTTTCAAAGTAAACTCTGTTGGATTACCGGTTAATCGGATTATCTTTCGACCGATTAACCGGTTAACTGGAAGCTAAGTTGATTGTTAAAATCTTTGTCTACAGTACTCTACAAATATAAAAATATGAAGATGTGGTATGACTGCCAATGAGGTAACTCTCCACCAGAGACCAAATGACATAGAAGCTAACAACTTTAGATCACCGTTATGACAATGGGTAAAACCCATACAGCATAGACAGCTATAAAAAGCCCCCAAAATGACAAATGTAGAATATTTCAAACGAGAAGACTAACGGTCTGATTTATGTACGAAAAACAAATATGATGTAAGTTTACAGCAACAAATGACATCCACTGTAATACAGGCTCCTGACTTGAGACAGGCACACGCAGAATGTGGCGGGGTTAAATGCACGGCTTCGTGATACGATGAATTGATGTTTATTGTTAGCAATGATAAGGCTTGGCTTTTAGAATTCCTGGTGAAGTTCTTTTTTAATAATCCAATACAACTATATCTTCAGCACTGTTTGTAATAACTTCAGATTGAGAAGATGAAAATCTTTTTTAACTCGGCGAATAGACAAAGTATAAAAATTCTGTTGGGTATTCTAGTTTGAGACGATTAAGCGTGTAACTCGTACCTCACAGAATATGTTCATTCCATTCACATAATTTGCATTTCCCCGTTTTTGAGTCGGGATTTCGTTTAAATTATGAGAAAGCCTTGGACGATTGAGGTGGCATATTTACGCAATATTAAAAGTGAAATAATGAAGTAAGTAGTAAAATTTAATCAGCTTATAATTGTTCAAAATATATGTATGATAATTATGTTTACTCAAGCTGATAGACCAGATGTCTTTGTGCTAATTAATTTTGTAAAATTGGAATGTTTTCACGGTAATTAAAAAGCTATCAATATACTGGACAATGATTTGTCAAATTAAGTAGCAAGACGATTATTTAAAAATTCGAATATAATGACTGCAATATACAGTTATATCGAATCTATTGAAATTGAAAAAGGTTCGGTTAACCGGTTAGCGTTTTTGGTATTCGATATTCGGTCCTTCCGATGGTTAACCAGTTTTAAAATTGGTTAACCGTTGACAACAGTAGATTTTTGTTTTTCAATTTATCAGTTTGAATCCCTTAATCAAATAATCGATACACGATTTGAAATACAAGTAGTGCGTTGAATTCTCGCAAATCTAAATTGTTTCTCGTCGATGATATCTTCTCTTAAGTATATATATATCTGTTGATATTAGAGTGTATGACGGCATGATATTTATACCAGTATGCTAAGCACGCTAAGCTTGATTTCATCAATTTAACATTAAAAGTACCAATTTTGCTGACGTTCGAGCATTTTAAATCTGTTATTATTTAAGAATTGAATGCTTCTTTTTGTAATCTTATTTGGGTGTAAAAGCAATAACCAAGGCACATTTTGTACTCCGCATTTCATACTATAACTGTGCGCACGATCAACGCTTTTACAACCCTATAAAATAACAAAAAGAAGCATAAAATTCTCATAATTAAATTTTTTTATGCTACAACCGTGACATTACGACTTATGTTTGTTTTCCTATGCATTGTTGTGACATTGTCACGGAAGCACGTGCTGATATGTATGTTGAATTTTATTGGGAAATACAATCTATCTTATTTTGGAATGTTCCGCTTGTTGTCAGCCAAAAAAAAAAGTACGAATTCTTATAAAACATATATGTTATGTCATTAGAAAGAAATGGTTTGCTTTTGTCTATGTCTTTGTTGTTTTATATACGGGTATATTATATATACCTGATCATAACAGAAACACGATCTTTCAATTATTTTTAGAATAAAGCAACCATGAGTGTCAATGTCAGAGTTACATAGAAGACCTAAATGATTGATCGTTTTTCGATTCTGTCTTCTTTTTTAAATACCAGTAAAATTTCTAAACAAAGTTTATAATGAACAAGTAAATAGTAAATATCTATTATTGACAAACATTTTGTAATTGCTAAGTGGTATATGTAAATAGTTCATAGTCAATTCTGTTATTGAAAGAAAGCTGTGGTTATTCTTTTTTTATCTATCATGCGATGTGGTTTATTGGATATAAAGACAGAGGGTTCACTCTTTAAAAACAACACCATACAGGAATATATGTAATGTATGTATGGATATCAATATGGCTTGTATGTATCGTTATTGTATTATATATATATATACTATATTCGAAAATGAAAAGTTTCTTGGTACAGTTATGTATATTTGAAATATAAATAACGAACTAACACAAATAAGTACATGGTTATAACTGTTAGCGCTTTCAGTCGTTATATCGTCATATTCAGACAGTTTATGAACGTTACTGTGTAGTAACGTAGCGCCAATTTGGTTGTGACGTCGCGTCAGCAGCGTTTTACCTTTACTTTCGGTTTAGTTTTGGCTTGAATTTCCAAATGAAGTATTCGTCTTTAGCTGTTCGGAAAAGATTTATTTTCCATAAAAACTTTTTAAAATGGAAATATACTCCAATGCGGAAGTAGAAAGATATAGAGATTGTCGGTGTGGAACATACAAATATATTGACGAAGGAGACTCTGTGACATTTAAAAATTTTGAGGTGAATGCACGAATGAACTGTGCAACACGCTATATTGTGCACCATGCCTTTCGTGCAAAGAAAATTATATAGGTCAGACTTGAGATGCCCTCTTTTAAAGGGTCGGAGTACATAAACAATATATAAGGGACCCTTCAGTCAGAAATACACACTGCAGTGAACAATGTGGAATGGGAACATTCCGTATATTTCCATTTTTTAAAGTATTGATGGAAAATAAATCCTTTCCTAACCTGGGACAGTAGATTAACAAACAATTTAACAACAAACGGTAAAAATCAGTTTGAAATTGCTTGAATCATTAGATCGGCACGAAGCACAAAAACGGAACTTATATAAAGAAAACAGACACAAAGTACTCACAATTAGTGTTCCGTTGAAGTTTATGAAAGACTATGAAAAAATAGTAAAACGATCCTTGATAGAAAACAAGTGAAACACTGAATCTGTACTATTAACTATTTGATTGTCGAAAAGTTAATCCCCTGCCGACAACTTATGAAACTTTTTGGAAAAACAATTCACAAAAAATAAATAAAAGTTGAAAAGAAAGCTATTAAATTCACAAATGGAGCCCTTATCAATCTTGACACAATTTCTCTATAAGGTAATTAGTAGCATAGTTCAGAAAAGAAAACGGAATTGAACTGAAGTTACATCACTAAGTGCGAGGGTCGCTCAAAAAAAGGCTTACTAACTCCTGAGACGATTTTGTGATATTCCGTAGATACGTACCGGTTTGTTTTGAAAATAATCAAGGTATCGGTTACAGACTTAATTGACACCAATATAATGATTTCATTGTTAAAAGAAAAGTACTTTGAGATTGATATCAGTCTGTTAAATATAAAAATAACGAAAGGAACGCCTCTTTTCGAGAACTTCAGTTTGTTTTGTTTTTTGTAGGTTTTTTGTTACTTACTTACTCGCAGTTTCTGAACGCTTCAATCCCAACTAATGAATAAACCCTGTTTTCTCGATCTATAAAGGAGTCAATCACATCCAACGTTGTTTTTTTTTTAATGTTTTATGGTGTGTACATCTGTCTTCCACTGAATGTTGGATGATAAGACTGTCATTTTGGTCGAATTTATCTGTTAGGTTGCTGTCTACTTGGTTTACTTATATGTCAATATTTCTTTAAACAGTTGTGTTTGCAGAATAAATATTTCAAAAGAAATATTGTTAAATTTAGATTTTTTTTCTTTCTTTGAAATGAAAATAGTCGCCACAAGGAGATTTATTGTGTTACACCCGTTTTCTTTTTTCTATTTTTTCTTTCGTCAACCCTTAATTTCACACGATTTTATTGATATTGTGTTCCTCAAAACATTGGTTTTCCTTATCCTACATTGTGTAGCGGAACCATTAATCAACTAATCAATCAATCAATCGGGAACATGTAGCTGTTACTAGGTTTCTATCGGAACCATTAATCAACCAATCAATCAATCAATCGGGAACATGTAGCTGTTACTAGGTTTCTATCGGAACCATTAATCAACCAACCAATCAAACAATCAATCGGGAACATGTAGCTGTTACTTTGGTTATGATTCATTTGTGCCTTCTGTTAACTATAATTTACTTTTGTTCTAGTTTGTGAACTAGAAATACCATCATTGTCTCTTTCTTGTTTTAAACTAGTTTTATATTCTAGATTTGTAGACCTCCAATAACCATTGAAGTTTTGTTTGTACAATGTGTAATCTTTATCATTTGTGATCAGTTCAAATCATTCAAATATCAACAATATTTATATACAACAATCAGGAATTCAAAGGCTGTGTTTTATCTGTTTTTAGAAAATAAAAAAAGGGAACAATAATGGGTTGTGCTGCTTCTTCTGATAGTGGAAATCAGTATACATCACTTGGACAACATGGACAGCAAACTTTTAGGATTGAACGACACATATGGAGCCAACAACAAACACGACACATATGGAGCCAACAACAAACACATTCTCAACAGGATTATCAACCAGAACAACAACCTACATTAAACAAAGTACCACCACAATTCGAGGTAAATAAAAAAAGGTCCCAGTATCTTCCGGTATATTTCTTGATTTATTTAGTTTTGTGCCTCTTAGTACAAACATTAGCTCTTTCTTTTCCCGTGATACTTTTTTTATCTAATATTATAATAAAAAAAGGTAGTTGAGTACTATAAATTAGTTTACCTCAACCACGTTTTATAACATATGTTCCAAATACCTTGTCAGTGTTTTATACTTTTGTCTTTTTGGGAATCAAATAAGCTCTAAAGAAGATGTTTTCGTCTTGTATAGATTCTCGGCGATTTAGTTTTTAAATTGTTGAATTTTTGTTTATTTATGCTTTGCTAAATTTGGTCGTTTGGTTGCTCTCACATTGACGTATACCTACATCTCTATTTATCACAGAAATAACTCTTGAATTAAAAAAAAATATCCTTTTTGCTTGACAACCTATATGTTTTTAGGAACAGACTTGAAACTCTTTTTTATGAGATATCATGAATGATGATAAAATTACAATTTACATACATATAATAAGGTTTTCGAAATATTCAATTTATTCTTTTTCAAAATTTTTGGTGGGTGCATTTTAATTTACAAAAACAAAATCTAAGTTATCAATTTCAACAGTTAGAATGAGATACCTATCGTTTTTATCTGCTATGTTTTCCTTTTATTTATAGTCTTCTGAACTGTTAAACAAAATAACAACACCTCTAGATTTAGTTTCCCCGTGCAAAAAATAAAAAGAAAAAAAATGAAAACGAAACGTTACAAATTTCAGCGCCCGAAGCGCTTTTCTGGATTTACCTTCATCAGGACGCTCAAAGCCGGATATTTGGAAGCCAAGGATGTATAAGAACTTAAACAGTTAAAGAGCTATATTACCCCAAAAGACCTAAACAAAAATAGCCAAATCCATATAAGGTCAACTTTGCCTGAGGGAGTTGAAACCTTAGTTTCTAATAATTTCAAAATTTATTAACGGACAATTTAAGAAAGGTTTGTTACAAATAATGTCAGTACCAAAGTACTGACTACTGAGCTGATGATACCCTCGTGGACTGATAGTCCACCAGGAGAGGTATCGCCCCAGTGCTGTAAAAAATGAAAACAACACGTTATAAATTTCATGCATCCGAAACGCTTTTCTGGATTTATCTTCATCAGGAACGCTCAAAGCCGGATATTTGGAAGCCAAGGATGTATAAGAACCTAAACAGTTGAAGAGCTATATTACCCCAAAAGACCTAAAAAAAATTGCCACATCCATCTAAGGTAAACTTTGCCTGAAGGAGTTGAAACCTTAGTTTCTAATAATTTCAAAATTTATTAACGGACAATTTTAGAAAGGTTTGTTACAAATCATATCAGTACCGAAGTACTGACTACTGAGCTGATGATACCCTCGGGGACTGATAGTCCACCAGCAGAGATGTCGACCCAGTGCTGTAAAAAATGAAAACAACACGTTATAAATTTCATGTGTCCGAAGCGCTTTTTTCTAGATTTACCTTCACCAGGAACGCTCAAAGCCGGATATTTGAAAGCGAAGGATGTATAAGAACCTAAACAGTTGAAGAGCTATATTACCTCAAAAGACCTAAAAAAAATAGCCAAATCCATCTAAGGTCAACTTTGCCGGAGGGAGTTGAAATCTTAGTTTCTAATAATTTCAAAATATTCCGAAGTACTGACTACTGAGCTGATTTGATTTGATTTTTGGTGTTTTAACGCCACTTTTAAGCACCGCTTTTGGGCTATTTCGTGGCGGCTAGTTTTTATTGGTGGAAGAAGCCGGAGTGCCCGGAGAAAACCACCGACCTTCGATAGAAAAACTGACAATCCTAGTCAATTAAGATTGAAGTCGAGTGGAGCGGGGTTCGAACTCACAACCTCAGTGTTGACTGGCTAGTGATTACAGTAGTAACTACTTAGACCACTCGGCTACCGAGGTCCCCTACTGAGCTGATGATACCCTCGGGGACTGATAGTCGATTAGACAGTCGATGACTATCAGTCCACAAATACACATTGATTACCAGGCTGATTTGAAAGTCGATGACTACTAGTATTTTCTTACTTTTTACCTACAATAAATATTAGACCGACACAATCAGTAGTGAAACTTAAGGGAGAATAGATGTGCACAAACGTTAGTTAAACTTCAAGTTTAAAAACCAATGCATTAGTCTGTATTTTTACCTCTAAACCTTTTCTTATTTTAAACAACAATTTGTTTTATTATGAGTATATCCAAATCACAGGAATATTGATACAAGTTTGATGCCCAAGCATAGCAATACCGTGATTTAATACATGAACGCAATTACATGTGTACGATGGGTTAACGGGTATATTAGAAACGTAGGAAGTTAACAATTATTTTTTAAGCTGAAAACAAGTTTGTCATTGATTTTAGAAATGAGTTGCTTATTAAAAGCACAAAAGAGACTGACATGCTGACGTTCTATTACATTGTACTAACTAAATGTACCTTTCTTTAAGTATAAATCACCACCTGTGCAAATCGTGGCTACCAAACCCAAAAGTGGCGACAAAAATGGCCCAGTTGGAGTTAAAAGCAGTAATACCAAAAAGATAGTTGACTCTAACAATACTGACGATATGATGTTGCCTGGACTGCCAGACTTCACGGTAGCCGAGTATGTACCAACAGACATTGGAACATACGAACTGTTCTTAGATTTTCGGACATTGTCTGCAGATTTTCCCACACAGGAACCTCCTCATCCTGACGGAGATCTGTATACTGATTACAAATTCACTGTTGATGTTGCTTTTCCCAATAGATCAGATTTGGAATGGAAAAGACCTATGGTGTGTATCCATTGTTAACATATTCCATTTCTATCTATTGAATAGTTTATATCATATATGTATAATGAGGCACAACATGCATTTCTGAAGTGATTTAATTTGGGTAATAAATTAATTTGAATACATTTATATTCATTCCTTGATTTATCTTGTATAGGGAGTATGGGTGTTTATGAATGAGTGTGTATTTGATGTTTACTTTTATGACACAGCAAGCAATAAACACAAGTTAACCGATATTGAGTGTTATTCATTTTCAATGAAAAACTACTAACACCAATGAAAAGCCGCTATTTCGGCTTTAGAAACAAAATCATTATTAATTGCTCAATCCAAATATCTGTATCAGAACAAAAAATGAAAAGGCAATATTTGCAAAATTCCTATTTCTTAAACCTTAAAATATAATATTGAAACATTGTTTTTACAGGAAGTCGCAGAAGAACCTGTTCTATTTTCAGATGGAGCAACTAGATTTGACATTGGACAAGGAGAAGTAGGCACTTGCTGGTTTATGGCTATGGTAGCAAACCTTGCAGACAAACCAAGATTGCTACGAAGAGTAAGTAGGAATAATCATAACTAAAAGGTTTCAACAACGAAAGCTCAAAACCGAATACGAAAATAGAGAAATTGTTTAGTATAGAAAGTTTGCCCTTCTCGAGCGTTCCAATGTAGTGTTTATTAAATAAACGCGTATCTGCTTCATGTACAGAAGTTGGTATTATATATTTCCACTTCCATTGGCGCGGTATCGCTGCTAGTTGATTATTGGTCTCCAGGGATATTATCCACACATTCAATATTGTTACTTTATTAGTACCACTTGAATGAAACATGTTGTATGTAAATTTATCATGAAGATTTATTAAACAAAGACAATAGATGACTATAGACGGTTTTAGTTTTTCTATGTGTGCAATTTTTGCGATTTATGTACAGTGATTGATAGATTTGAGCAACATTTGTATCTAAAGCAAACACCTGATTTAGGCCACGAAGGTCCCACCCAACAGCCAGCGAATCGATACTGGTATTATTTGATTAGAGTAAATATACTTATTTTTATTCAAATTTCGGTGTTTTCAAGTAGAATCTCATGAGAGCTAAACGGAGTGAGACCAGGTATATCACTTCTCTTTGTATCCATGCACAAATAATCACACAGTCATATCAAATACTAATTGTCAAGTCCGGATGATGACAAAACCGGTAACGATTTCAAATGGACATTTAACGAATACATGGCATCTATGAGTTAATATGTCTAGTAAATTCAGAAATCAAGAAAACGGTAAAGATCAACCAATTCATGATGGCGTCCGAAAAACGTTTGAAGTTATAATTTTAGTTGTTCTTCCTCATAAAATGACCGTGATAGAATATGCTTGCCAATTTTTCTTCAAGACTAACGTTGTTTATCAGGAAAATTATAAATCGTGACAAAAGTGTACCAAAACGTATGATATGATTTTCGTACTCATAACACGTGTTTCTGAACAACCCTCATCCGTTATCGTCCAAACCAAAAAGTCTTGAAAATAAAGTATCGCCATGGCTATTCTAACAGTCTCAAAGCAATACTACAACAAGAGGGTATCAATAAAATAATTTTCTTCTTTTATATTACAGGTAATACCGGTGGATGCTTACAAAATAGGTTCGGATGATTATGATGGGATATTTCACTGTCGGTTCTGGAGATTTGGTGTTTGGAATGATACCTATATAGATGACTTCCTACCAGTTGTGTATGAAACAAATATAGCTGGGGCTCACTCTGCAACAGACCCAAATGAGATGTGGGTGGCTCTCCTGGAAAAGGCTTTTGCAAAGTAAGTTAAAAGGTTTTTTTCTCAACTTACGCCAAAAATAAAGCCTCATAAAGCATGTTTTTATAATTGTTTTAGTATTAGTTGTAAACATATAGATTATTTGTAAGCAATGAGCATTGACAGAGTTATGAAATGTTATAATCTCTCTCATGCGCTATTCCTGGATCACATGGATTTGGTCAATGGAGTATATAGTACAAAGTGTGAAATTGATTTGGAAACTTAGGACCCTCTCGATAAGTCTGACTCATAAAACGATTTGACTCTGCCTTTAAAGTTTTTCTTTATTATTATTTTAACTCTCCGACTATTTTTTAATGCCATATATTTAACAGCAAGTGACACTGCATATATTCTGACATATTGTATCGATACCTGTTTATTGCTGTATGTTCCCCTTTTGTCTTTTGGAGTGTGTATGTCGTTTGATTGCTGTCTCATTAACGTCTCCAACATTTCCTTTAACTAGTATTCATATTTTCCCCCAGATGTATCAAAACAGGTACTGCTTGATGTAACCGTCTTTTTGTGTTTATCTTTTCAATAGAATCTGACTGACAGTGTACACCTATATTGTCATTCAAATAAAAAAATTATCAAACATTGCCGTTGCTTCTCTGTTCAAAAAGCTATATGTGAATTTCTACAGTTTTAAATTGTAAATATTAACAGATTATATGGATCTTACGAAGAAATAACTGAAGGATTAACAGCTGATTCCTATATGAACTTAACAGGAGGAGTTGCGGAGAGGATCGACTTCACGGAGAAAAAGATTTCTCCCAAACGATTATTCCAAAGGTTATACAATGCCTTCCAGTGCCCTACTACTATGGTCGGATGTATTGTTCCGGTATGGAAATCAAACATTGAATATCTCAGAAAAATTGAGTTTAAAGACATATTACTTTGTGTAATATATTGAATATTTTATTTTTTAATTCATAATTCTTGAAAACATCCAAGAAAATTCTTAATCGATTTCAAACGGTTACACCTATAAATAAAATGAGATATGAGTATACATCAGTGACAACACAACTCTATGACACACACAAATTAATTTATAGAGTTAGGTTTTGTGTGGGGGAGGAGAGATTGTTGAAATCGATATTGATTAGGTCGGCTTACTATGTAATGTAAACATGGACGTGTTCTCTAGCTGTTAAAAAGCGCCTTCATGATACATTGATTTACTGTATGTATACGCAACCATTGCAATCGATCTTAAGGCTTTTTTCTCTTTTGAATTGTTTCAAATATTGTGATACTGGGGCCGTTTACGGTGAATATTCAATAAAGGATTTGACCTTTGTTAAAGACTGCAATTATAACTCTAAGGAAAATCGGAAAGTATCTTATCAAATGGCAAAATCAAAAGCTCAAACACATCAAACGAATGGAAAACAACTCTCATATTCCTGACTTGGTACATAAGGAAATGCCTGTACCAAGTCAGGAATATGGCCGATGTTTTCCATTTGTTTAATGTGTTTGAGCTTTTGATTTGGCTATTTGTTAAAGGACTGACTTTCCGTTTTGAATTTTTCTTGGAGTTCCGTATTTTTGTTATTCTACTTTTTTATAGGCAATCTGAAACGAATATTATAAAAAATGTTTCAAATGCAACCTATAACAAACAGTAGAAAAATGTCACATAGGCAATCTAGATCAAATATTATAAAAATTTCTCATATGCAATCTGGAACAAATATAACGCAAATATAGCATAGGTAATCTTAAACAAATGCTAAAAATGTCTAATAGGCAATCTAGAACAAATATCAAAAAGATGTCTCATAGGCAATCTAGAACAAATACTATTGAAGAAAAAAAAAACGTTTGCGCGAATAACAACTAATCAACGAAACATTTACTTAGTATTAAGTTCAGTTCATAAACATACTGTTATCAAATATGATCATCTATCGTTTTGCAGGATAAGAATAACGGTAAACGTGGATTGGTAGGAGGCCACGCTTATTCCATGAACGGAGCGTTTATTGTAAGTTAATTTTCATTTACAGGCAAAACGAAGCGGTCTTTTTTTCTAATTAGACTGCTATACTTTATAGCACAATCATATCAACTATTTACAGCATTTCACGAAGTGGTTTTCCAGGAGAAATATTTAAAAAATTAAAATAATTGTTAGTAAACCTGAATCGTGGATATCATCTTTTTATGTTGGTGCAGAAACACTTAATTAATAGGCAAAGTCAATTGGTTGAAAATAGACGATCAAATATTTCCAAATTTTTGTTTGATTTTTATATTACAAAAAATAAGAATGTTTAAAAAGAAATGAAATGTATACATATATTATCTTATAATAATAATAATAATAATAATTAAAACTTCTAAATGGTAACGTTGTTTTTGTATTTAAAGGTAGGTGAAGCCAAGTTATTAAGATTAAGAAATCCCTGGGGCCATGGTGAATGGAACGGTCCATGGAGTGATAGGTATTTATTACTTTTATTTCCTTTCTGGTGACGCGAACAATGCATTTATTATGAAGGAAAAGGGGCGACGGAGCGATGTTCGAACAGACTGGTTTTTCCCTTTCCCTCAAAACGATTATACCAAATATTGTTTCATGTTGTTAAGGGGGGTCGAACATCTTTCGCTCGAGTATGTTTCATATATTCGTACATATGTATTTATATCATTATAATATTGACATATATTTCATTTTGTTGTATAAAAGCAATTAATGGATGATACAAAATCTCTACTTCATTTACGGGATAATTTTAATAGACATTGCAACAAAACTACAACTTTAATGCCTGCTAACTTATTTTTAGATAAGTTAAAACAAAGTGCACAATTACTCTAAAACATTTGATAACCAATTGGGGTTTTTTTTTCAATTAATAACAAAATTAATCTTTAAGATATAATTTATCTCACGTGTTTATACTGGTAACGAATCCATATTCATAGCATTATAATTTTACTGTTAAGGGGCCTGTTAAACCGGGAATACCCAGAAATTCGTATGACTCAAACAAACTTTTATTCTCATAAAGGGAAATGTAAATATTGATGAGAACTCAATATTGTAGTAATCGCTAAAGCACAGAACGTATACTTACACAAATATTTATTTATTCGCATTTAAACCTTTGAATTTTGCAGAGCCTTTTTCTCAACAATTATTGTCCCTACAGATTACTTAAAGTTGAATGTAAGGTTTAAAACTTTATTTTGCTGTTCAGTCCTCGCTTAAACAAAAGGATTTTGCAAATCAACAAAATTAACCTGTGAAGTAAAAGGAATTCGGACTTCACCTAAAACTTGCACTCATAACTTACTTTGTATATCGTTGAATAGTAAATATAATTTTGACAAATATTTTTTTGAAATATTTTGCTCGTATTTTCTTTCTTAGTTTACTGCTTTCAATTTGTTGGCGCTTTTTGCAATATTCTTGTTTTAATTTAACATACTCAACTTTTTTTAAACATACGAAAAACTATCAAAAGTGTTTATATCATTTTATTATTTTTTTTGTGTTGACATACATTTAAAGCTTATTAACCATAACTATATTCCGGATTTATAATGTAAACTCATGTAAAGGTCTTGAAGTATATATTCTAGGTACTGACGTTGTTTATCATCTTATTTATGAGTTATAGTGTTCTTTTATATGTCTTTGTAAACTATTAACCTTTACTGTTTAGTCCATTTTTGGTAATATCCTTATAGCGTGGCTCGGTACTTGTGCATCCCGCCAGTGTGTTGTTTTGCTGTAGTCGTTTTATGTATTCTTGTCTTTCGTTTTTGCTGATATGCTTTGTCTATACGCCATTTTGTTTTTCTTTGTTGACATATTGGTTTGTTTTCATAGTGATTAAGATTATAACACAATGTTGACATTTTCGTAGTGATAATTGATTTTTCTTTTAACGAAAGTTCAATAATAATTTGTGAGCTTTAGTCAGCTCTAAAACCAGGTTTAATCCACCATGTTCTACATAAGGAAATGCCTGTACCAAGTCAGCAGTATGACAGTTGTTTTCCATTCGTTTGATGGCTTTGAGCTTTTGATTTTGCCATTTGATAAACGACTTTCCAATTTGAATTTACCTTGGAGTTCGGTATATTTGTTATTTTACTTTTTTCATACATAATTTTCTATAAGTTAAACTAACTTATTATTTAAGAATTTGAATTATCTTATTTAATCATTTTATTATTGTGATTTTGTTTTAGCTGCATTTGATTGACATCACAAATATACTTTAGATTTGACAGTTTTGTTCTTTTCTTGTTCAAAAATGTAACATTTTTTAAGATTTGTTGATAATGATGTGAACATTAAGTTCGATGTTAGGTGTTGCAAATCTTTCATAGATTTGTGCATTAAAGAACCTTTACAACGCATAAAGCAGGAGCTATTTTTATTATGTAAAATTTGCGCTACCGATAGTTGAATTAATCAACAATTGTTATCACAAAGTATACTCTTACACCACAAACACAGCCAGCAAGATACCATTCAATTATAATATTTTAAAAGAAAAGTTGAAAGTGTTGATGCATGTATCTCTACAGGTTTTGGTTTTGTATTGTGATACTATGTATAAAATGCTATTGAACTGTGCGGTATACTCTACGATCTAAACCCCCAAGGGTGACTGGGGAATAGAAGTATGGTCACCATTGGTCTTCCTCCGACCGGCAGTAAAACCCGTGCTAAAGTGGGGCGTCCGTTTGGCTGTGCGGGATGTACAAATTTGCAGCCACGTCCGGTCAGAATGGGGACGTTAAATCCGATGCCTCGTGTAAAGAGAGTGCCACGCTCTTTGCACGTTAAGAACCCTTGCAACAACTCTTTGAGGGGTCCGTAGGTGACCTGTTGCAAGGCTAAATTTCTGTCCCTATCCAATATACCCTCATTTCCCGTGGCAGTCTAAATTTCTCCGACCTTAATCCCTTAATCTATTACAGAACCTACCTATTGTATGTATTGTGAACTTGTTCTCGTCCTGAATATGCATGAAATATTTGCCACTGGACGTTAAACAACCAACAATCAATCAATCAATCTACGATCTAAAGAATAAATGTCATATGACCATATTTTTCTAACTGGATAAGTTGCAATTTTGTTAGGAGTCCTAAATGGAATTCTGCCCCATCAGATTGTGTTCCACACCCCTCAAAAGACGACGGAGAATTTTATATGGATATAAATGATTTTCTGCGATACTTTGAAGCTTGTACCATTTGTAATCTAACACCGGATTTTGACAGAGATGGATTTCCTGATATGTTAAGTAAGAAAACGCAAGTATAAACTAACCTTTTACAACAGAGCCGTAGTCAGCACAAAATAAATGACCCATATACATGCATTATGCATATACAAAAATAAACAATATAAAATTATAAAAGACATTATCATATTGATATCATTTAAAAGTAATAACCGGAAATGTTAAATCTATTTGACGAAAGAACTCTGAAAGTGGTCAGCATTTCTTTACAAAAACAGCCATTATGGTTACAAATGCTAACAATATGATACAAATGGGGTTAAACTAAGATCTATTATGTGTAAAACTCAATTTGCAAAGTTTGAAAGTTTGTTTTCGTTACTTGGAATTATTTTCTCTGAACAGGCTTTATAACAACTATGAAACTGTGAAACATTTAAGTAACCACATCTAAATATTCTTGTCCATACCGTTTTCTAGAAAAATAACAAACTTCTTATCTGTTTGGGTATTTAGTAAAGATCCGATAGTTGAATGCTTTATTATCCAGTTTTGTATTGTCATATTTCAAGTAATGCATTTGTCGATAATGGCAGCCATACTGCACAAAAATGTGCAATTAAGCTTAAGCATTGTGGTTTTTTGTAGTATTTAGTTAAATGATAATCAGAAACAGTAAAACATTTATATCTGTAGATATAACAAAAAGTATATTTCCTTGGTGTCATTTTATTTATTCGTATATTGACGGTAGGGATTTTTAAAAGGACAAGCGTAATTTTTCTGTTGAATCAGTTCCATATAAATGTTTCGCTAAGATTGTACAGACCGTCGTTATTGATTTGAATTATACTATTTGATCCATTCTTGTGTGTCTCTTTTAATCATTAGAGAAATAAGGAGATGTGGTATGATCGCCAATGAATCAACTACCCATAGACCAGGTATAAAGCCTAACAATAAGAGGTTACTGTGGGGCATTAAACAAGGATCAAAACACATCCCGTAGAATAAGCTGTAAAATGCACTTTGAAAGTGAAAACAAATAATTTATATTTTTTCTATCGCAACTACTTTTATCCTTCAGACTACGTTACATGTATATATGGAAACTGGCATGATGGAAAGAATGGCGGATCTGAACAACGAACAAAGAATCCGTGTTACTGTGTTACACTCGGGGATAAAGGTATTTTTTTCATTTTAAACGTATCACCCACAGCAACAGTGTTTACTAATACGCCTTAAATCTTGATCTTGGAATTAGTTATATGAAGATGATGAAGTTTATCTATTATATCAATTATCAGAATGAAATGTGTTCAGTATAACGAAATTGTTGGCTCTATCTAAAGACGTAAGGATGTCTACATATATTATTACCTTATTTATGCTTTTAAAAGAATTCTGTCTTCAGATAAGAATTAGCAGCGTATTTTTTAGTGTCTTATTGTTCATGTATATGTATTTCTGTCTGTAGCAATGGACGATGAAGGTAAAGTTGCCCTTGTTGTTCAGATAGTACAAAGAACATTAGACAGTAGGAATGATTTTACTGAAGTCAGATGTGATCTATTCAAGGTAAAGTTGCCCTTGTTGTTCAGATAGTACAAAGAACATTAGACAGTAGGAATGATTTTACTGAAGTCAGATGTGATCTATTCAAGGTAAAGTTGCCCTTGTTGTTCAGATAGTACAAAGAACATTAGACAGTAGGAATGATTTTACTGAAGTCAGATGTGATCTATTCAAGGTAAAGTTGCCCTTGTTGTTCAGATAGTACAAAGAACATTAGACAGTAGGAATGATTTTACTGAAGTCAGATGTGATCTATTCACTGAAGTCAGATGTGATCTATTCACTGAAGTCAGATGTGATCTATTCACTGAAGTCAGATGTGATCTATTCAAGGTATTTGCCTTTTTATGTCCTCAATGCATATAAAGTGTTTTAGTGTTCACCATAATGTCAACTACGCTAGAAAAGTATAATTGTGTGCTTATTCACTTAACCATCCATTTGTTTGTTTAATCTAGAGAAATATAAATAAATATTTGGCAGGACAATATATTTAAAGTGTTATAGGACGAAAAGAACATAACATCACATGTAATAATCTTTCAATGCATAAGACAAATAATCAGAAGTATCTTTTGTTTCAATCTATTTTAAAATTACTCGATTGCAGTTGACTATCATAGTGCAGACTTCTCTCATAAATGGCTATTATCAGATCGAACGTGACCGTGTATCTATATATCCAACGAAGCTATTTGGAAATTTCTCAGTTAGAGTTGATGTAAAGGTTATGTCAATTCATTGCCAATAATGTATAAGACATCGATATTTTTTTTGTTTTAGGTTCTTAGCAAAAACGACCATTGTGTTTCCCTGGAACTGTTAGGTGACAAGTCTAATATATACATGGGGAATGTACAAAATACATACAGATTCCTTGTTGAACCAGGTTCATATGTTGCTATACCCTCGACATTGGAAGCTGGATATGAAAAAGAGTTCCTGATCAGATTTTTTACCGCCGCTCCTGTGTCAAATCCTCAGTAGGTTTCATATTAAGTTCAAATTAAAATATAATTATTTGCTCAATCCAATAAGATAAGCCATAATTCAAACTTACTCATTTTGTCTTTTCTGAGTTACAATTTAACTATATCATATATCGTCACCGATGTTATCTCTGTTTAATAAGATGTCTTCCTTAATGAATTTCAGCAATCACTGTCTATACAGTGAGGCATCTTACGTTCTCTTCTCCTGACAATGCTCCTCATTTAATAAAGTAACTTTCAGACATTTTCATGTCATTGTTTTCTATACAATAAGGTATATTTGTTGCTCTTCTTCTGTCGTAGACGTTTGTGCAGTTAAGTATATGTGTGTCTCTTCTCATGGCAATGCAGTCGATAAAATAAAGTATTTTTGTGGCTCTTCTGTCAGTGAGGTTTGTACATTAATGTATATGTATGGCTCTTCTAATGCCAACTCTGTCCATACAATAAAGAATCTTTGTGGCTCTTCTTCTGTCAGTGACGTATGTACAGTAAAATATATGTGTTGCTCTTCTTATGACAATGCTGTCCATACTATAAAGTATCTTTCTGACTCTTCTCTTGTCAGTGATCTCTGTATAATAAGGTATATGTGTGGCTCTTCTCATGACAATGCTGTCCAAGGAAACTTCCCATACACTGATGTTTTTTATTTGTCCTTCTCCTGTCTGTACATAACTATACACTGAGGTATCTTATTGGATCTTCTGCTGTTTGTACCGTCTATACACTGAGGTTTCCTTTTGGCTTTTCTCCTGTCCAGCCAACCACCAAAACTCGATACCTTTGACAGAATACTCGTACAAACAAAGACGAGTAACGATCCAGATTGCTATGCTTGGTAGATGCACAGACGATTGGAGTTCAACAACCCAGTATTATGTTATCACAAACCTCCTCCTTTTCATAACTAGATGTCGTCAAATTTAAATTAACACACGATAAAAGTTTTGGCTAGTTAGTTGTTTATTTTATTCAATGCTCTCTTCGTCTCTTTGTTTTTAATGTATGTAAACATAGACAGAATTGTGTCTACTTTGTAACGTGTTAGTTTTCCTTCTGATCACTGGATTTTTTTTAATGGAATTGGAATTGACACTCTATCTGTAATGTTATTGGTTAAAACTTTCATTGAATTTCAATGATTTGTACATTATCTGTCATGTTATATGTTTAATCATATGAAATTTCTTTAGTGCTGTTTTCATTTTTTTACAGCACTGGGTCGATACCGCTGCTGGTTAACAATCAGTTCCCGAGGATATCATCAACTCAGTAGTCAGTACGTCAGTACTGACATTATTTATACTGCTCTAAAACTGTTGTAAAATTGTCAGTTTATAACTTTATAAATAATTAAGAAACTAAGGTTTCAACTCCCTGAGGCAAATTTGACCTTAGATTAATCTGGCTACTATTTTTGGTTCTTTTCGGTCATTTGGCTCTTCAACTGTTTCGGTTCTTATATATATATATCATTGGTTTTCATATATTCCTATTTGAGCATTACTGATGACCGTAAATCAAGAAAAGCGCTGCGGACCTATGCAATTCATCATGTATAGTTTTCACGTTTTGAACAGTCATTAAATTTTAGTGAAATAAACATCTTATCTTTTATGTTATTGGTGAAAACAGTTCTTGAAAAAAATCATCATTTGGACTCCATTCGATAGTTGTCTTATTAGGAATCATACCACATCTCTTTGTTTCATATCCTATCATTTGTGTTATTGATTAAAGCAATCTTTGAATTTCAGTGAAGTAGACAACATTACTATAATGACAGGAAAGGGTAGAAATGGCGATGAACCAGCCGCAAATTCACGTTTTAGTAAGTTTTTTACCCACACATACTAAAGTCATGTAATCGTAAGTTTTGTACCCACACTTACTAAAATCACGTTATAGTAAGTTTTGTACCCACACATACTAAAATCATGTAATCGTAAGTTTTGTACCCACACTTACTAAAATCACGTTATAGTAAGTTTTGTACCCACACATACTAAAATCATGTAATCGTAAGTTTTATACCCACACTTACTAAAATCACGTTATAGTAAGTTTTGTACCCACACATACTAAAATCATGTAATCGTAAGTTTTGTACCCACACATACTAAAATCACGTTATAGTAAGTTTTGTACCCACACATACTAAAATCATGTAATCGTAAGTTTTGTACCCACACATACTAAAATCATGGTAAAATAAGTTTTGTACTCAGAAATGCTAAAATCCCCTTATAGAAAGTTTGCACTCACACAAACTAAAATCACGTTATAAAAATTCTTTTTTACACGCATAACATAATCACGTTATGGTGAGCATTGAACTCAAATATACTGAAATCACGTGAAGTAACTTTTGTCCTCATACATACTTTATTCACGTCAAAGAAAGCGTTTAGCCTGATATCTAATCTATTTAAGTAATTTTCTGAATAAACTATGATAAAATTAAATTAAAAAAAGCGTTGTACTTGCATATACCTCAAATCATGTTATACAGTAAGCTTCGTGCTTAATAGGAAGTCTGTACTCAAAAATCCCTTTACAGCCAGCCTTGTACTCACACAGTGTAAAATAAGAATAAAGTAGACTTTGTACTTATACAAACTAATATCACGTCATCGTTAGTTTTGTTCTCGCATCATATACAATGCAACAGTAAGTTGTGTACCCACAAATACTTAAATCACGTAATAGTAGGTTTTGTACTCACATACACTAAAATAACATTTTAATATGATTTGTACTCGCACAACTAATATTACAATATGAAGTGTTTTGGTTTGCCAACAACGATCTTGATGCCAGTAACTCAAACAGAATAAATCATCCCAAATATATCATTCTCTTTATAAAAAAATAAAACTCTCTTCTTATCATCTCTTATGCATACATATCTCATATTGTTAACACAATGCTCAACTACAAACACGCGTTGCAATATCTTACAAGTGACGAATCTTAATATAGACCTCCTGGTTGTATATTAGCAAATTCCCCGTTCATTATACAATTCGACTGGCAGTGTAATTACTGGTTGTTTTTAAAATCATCAAAGAAACGTGTTTATTAAATACCTTGGACAAGTTGTTATGCTAAATATTGGAATTATACTTTAACATAAAGAATTCTTAGGATGATTATGAAAGACAACTGTCAAAAAGTAAAATCACAAAAATACTGAACTCCGAGGAAAATTCAATCGGAAAGTCCCTAATCACATGGCAAAATCAAATGACAAAACACATCAAACGAATGGACAACAACTGTCATATTCCTGACTTGGTACAGGCATTTTCAAATGTAGAAAATGGTGGATTGAACCTGGTTTTATATCGCTAAACCTCTCACTTGTACGACAGTCTCATCAAATTCCGTTATATTTACAACGATGCGTGAACAAAACAGACATAATAAATAAAATAGTCAAAATATGGGTACAGCAGTTATCACTGTGTTACAATATCAAAACAAACATTCATTTACAAAAAAGCACAAAAGCATCTATCATATTAAAAACCACATTCATTGCTTCGCGTGTCTGACGTCAGAAAATGTAAACGTCACATAAGAAGAAATTTTGTCGTTCAATGTTTATTCAAAACAATTTTATAATTTCACATGGGGAATGTTGGTATACAGGGTTAAAAAATCAAAAGTTATGTTAGAATTAATTTCAGAAATAGACCGAGATTTAAAATTGTCCAGAAGTTCTTTAGAATTTTTAAGAATCCACATATAGTTACCACTACGCGAGTAAAATAAATTTTTCGTTTGTCGTTCAAAGTATTTTCAAATTTATAATAGAACAATAACATAATGACATATAATAGAACAATAACATAATGACGGGATCTTTTAAAGTACAGAGTCACGTTATAAGAACCAAAGAAACACAAAAAGTCGCATATACAAAACACACCAGCAAAAATGAAAGATAATACAAACACATTGACGGGATGTATAAGTACCGAGCCACGTCAAATGGATATCACAGAAAACAAACCAAACAGTAAAAGTAATATTAATAATAGAACAAAGACAAATGAAAGAACAATATAACATGTTGTAAAGATGATAAACAACGTCAGTACGTAGAATCTATACTTCAAGACCATCATGTATTATTTGTGAAGTTGATACGGAATATTTATCAACAAGGTCTCGGTACCTTCCGATGAACTTTTTTTAGAAAAAGGACGAGACGTTCTTTGACATACCCCTGGTTCATCAACTTTCTGCTCAGACACTGGTGACGTTTTAAATGTGACTGAAAGGTCAAGCTCAACATACTAATCAGAGTTAAACACTAAAACAATATCCATCATCAAAATTCCTAATTTGTTTACATTTTATCAACAAACAATACTTGGTTGCTGTCCTTGCAAACAAAGCACAAAACAATATAGTTATGTAAAAAGATTAGTAGTATGTTAAGTTTTGCACTCTTATCCATCGATAGATACATTAATACAAACAAACACATAAACCAATTTTGTGTTGAGACGTTGGGCACCTATAGAGGCAGAGTTGTACAAAGGACGAAAAATAATTATAAACAAGTACAATTAGACTATGAAAAAAAAACCAAACAACCATGAAGTGCTTATAGTCAATAAATTGAGAAAATCAACGAAACATAGGACAACTATCTGCTAAAATTGACATTCTTGTTGTTTGATACAAATTTTAATAGAGATATTAAACTTCTTTTCAGAATGTACAAAATGTTCAGTTGGTGCATTCCAAAGTGGTCTTAATGCTGGAGGAACCATAGCGTGTGACGATTTTGCAAATAATCCTCAGTATCTACTGACAGTCAATAACGGTAAGAGTAAGAACAGAAAGTGTGCGAAGGGATGCAAATAACCCTCAGTATTTACTGACAGTCAATGATGGTAAGAACAGAAAGTGTGCGAAAGGATGCAAAAAAACCTCAGTATCTACTGTCAGTCGATGACGGTTAGAACAGAAGGTGTGCGAAGGGTTGGAAATAATCCTTAGTATCTACTGTCAGTAAATGATGGTTAGAACAGAAAGTGTGCGAAGGGTTGGAAATAACCCTCAGTATCTACTGTCAGTCAATGACGGTAAGAATGAAAAGCAAGCGAAGGAATGCAAATAACCCTCAGTACTTACTGTCAATCGATGACGGTAAGAACAGAAAGTGTGCGAAGGGATGCAAAATAACCCTCAGTATCTACTGACATTCAATAACGGTAAGAACAGATAGCTTTAAATCACAAATATACTGAACTCCGAGGAAAATTCAAAACGGAAAGTCCCTTATCAAATGGCAAAATCAAAAGCACAAACACATCAAACGAATGGACAACAACTGTCATATTCCTGACGTGCGAAGAGGTGCAAATAACCCTGAGTTTCTACTGTCAGTGAACGACGGTTAGAATAAAAAGTGTGCGAAAGGATAGAAATAACCCTCAGTATCTACTGTCAGTCAATGACGGTAAGAACAGAAAGTGAGTGAAAGGATGTAAATAACACTCAGTATCTGTCAGTCAGTGATGGACAGAAAGTGTGCGAAGGGATGCAAATAACCCTCAGTATCTACTGACAGTCAATGACGGTAAGAACAGAAAGTAAACGAAGGGATGGAAATAACCCACAGTATCTACTGACAGTCAATGATGGTAAGAATGGAAAGTGTGCGAAGGGATGCAAATAACTCTCAGTATCTACTGACAGTCATTGACGGTAAGAACCGAAAGTGTGCGAAGGGATGCAAATAACCCTCAGTATTTACTGTCAGTCAATGATGGTAAGAACATAAAGTGTGCAAAGGGATTGAAATAACCCAAAGTATATACTGACAGTCAATGATGGTTAGAACAGAAAGTGTGCGAAGGGATTGAAATAACCCTCAGTATTTACTGTCCGTCAATGACGATAAGAACAGAAAGTGTGCGAAGGGTTGGAAATAATCCTTAGTGTCTACTGACAGTCAATGATGGTCAGAACTGAAAGTATGCAAAGGGATGCAAATAACCCTTAGCATTTACTGTTAGTCAATGACGGTAAGAACAGACAGCGTGCGAAGAGTTTGCAAATTACCCTTAGTATCTACTGACAGTCAATGACGGTAAGAAGAAATGTGTGTCAAGGTAAATGATTATGGCGTTAAAGAAAAAAAAATAAACATTGTTTTTTATTGATAATTTCATGCATTTATTATTGTGATCGTTGTGGTTTTATCAAAGTCACTCAATTACAGTGGCTCTGGAAAAATATCATGCAACGCTCACTTTGCCTAACGACACTCACTAAAGGTTAGTAAAACTCTTATCATATTTATATATACTTAACAAATAGACCAACAAACTGCTACAAGTATTAAAATAGACAGTTAGATTATAACTAGTTATTATATGAGCGGCAAAACTATAGTTTTACAACTTTTGTAAAAAACGCATCAAGATAACAGGCTTTTAATGTAGTCTGCTAGACGTGTGTTTCGTCTGCACAGGACTCGTAATTTATTTTTCTTAATAAAATGTCAATGAAATTATGGCATACTATGACATATTTTTTATTGAGGAAGATCAAATGATGAACACGTTTGCGTTAATTATTAATGTTAACCTCTAATTATTTCAGAACAAACATTTAGGGTTGAAGTTATGCAACCAGAAAAAGATGATGGATTCGCACTTGGTATCAAATTGTTTGAAGTAAGTGTATCTTTTGAATTGTTCCAAGTAGAGATATATATTTTATTCTTTATGAAAATTGGTATCGAACATCTGGAATGCCAAATATACATAAAGCATCGAAAACACTTATTAACATAGACTGTAAAATGACCAATTAAAAGTATATTTGTGACCTTGATCTTAAGATACCAATATAGACTTCTGATCTGTATTTCTACCGATTGTGTTCTTTTCCCGATTGTGATATTTGAGTATGAATTCGCATGGCGGGGGATGCTGTGCTTGAGTATGAATTCGCATGGCGGGGGATGCATGCACATCATGAGACGCATACCCTGTCGACGCATGCGGTCTCGCTCCTTTTTGAGTTCATGCGATTCCCTCGGTTTTTATTTGTTGCCTTGATATGTCTCTTCTTAATCGATTTTCGAAATTTCAACAATTCGTGATGGTGACCGTAACACTTATGGTATTCATCAATGAGTCAAAAACACAAAAACAAAACACTAAAGGGACAATCAAAAAGTCGAAGAAAACCGACCTTGGCTTAAACCGAAAAACGATGAAAACGGAAACAACAATCTACAAAACACTACATAGAAAACTTTAAACTGAGCTTACAAACCCAATCAGACTACCTGGGTGATCTCAAATGCTCCGGAAGGGTTAGCAGATCATGTTCCACATGATCGTGGCAAGTACAAAATCGGTGAGTCACAATCGAGGAAAGAGGTCGGGTTTGTTCACCGGTGCATGTTTTAAAGAAAATTGTTTATTTATGAGGTATATAGGTCTACAGACACCCGTGATTAATGGTATGAAATAAGACCATAAACAGAAAATGAACGGTGTCAATATGCGATCAACACCTCGAAAATGTGATACAATAAAGAGGAAATTCTCATATCATACAGCAAGCTTCTGGTGGCTCCAAAGAAATGTACCCTCATAGAAGTCCTTCATAAATTTACATCAGCAAACATTAAGTATATAATTCTACATAGAAAAGTATCAGAAAACTATGTTTAACATTTAAAAGGTGAATATTTTTAACGTTTTTAAAGAGATATAATTACATGCTTGAATTTTCAGGCTCCTGGAGATATTTTCCCGGTTGATTACGACTGGTTAAATGACAACTTTAGCATTGCTATGAAAGACATTGAGGGTGGTGATGGCCCTTTCCAATTCGGAACTTCTGTAGACACATGTTACACAGTTTACCCGGGAACATATATACTACTTATTCACTGTGATAGTGAAGTGGATGAAAACGATTTTTCTGTGGCAATTTATTCAGAATGTCCAATTGAGATGGAGTAAGTTATCATACAAATTATAAAATGATTATACTGTAAATTATAAACAACACAATGCGTTTTTGATGTACATTACCAAAAACACAAACGAACAGATAAATCGTTAGTTAGTATAGTAAAAGAGAGGCGACAGATACCAAAGAGACATTCACTCTCATAAGTCGAAAATAAACTGACAACGGCATGGAAAAAAACGAAAAAAGACCAAAATACAAATAACAGTATACAAAACACAACATAGAAATCTAAATACCGAGCAACACGAAACCCATAAAAAACTGGGGTGATCTCAGATGCTCCAGAGTGTAAGGAGATCCTGCTCCACATGTGGCACCCGTCGTGTTGTTCATGTAAGTTCAAATCCAGTGATAAGTCTTGTAAATGTTTGCTGGTCATGAAAAGTAAAAAAGGAACTGAAAGGTCATTATAGAACATAAATATTATCAAATGGTAAAAAATAATACGAAAAATGATTTTGAAGTTTCCCAATCCCATATTTTAGAGCAGATTAGAACGAGTAACCTTAAGAATGGCGGTGGCCTAAATATATATTTTTGCAATAGTAAACTCATTATTTGAACTTTACATCTATGTAGCATTCGCATCTATTTTCATGAATGAAATACACGGTACAAAGCTTTTCTAATCAAATTTCGATCCCCCGTTAACTTATATGCTGCATATAAAAAAAAAAAAAACGTAACGGCTATCGGGGTTTGAGAAGATGTTTAATAAAGTATTTGAAAGTAAATATTACCATGCTCCCCTCTATAAAGTGAAAATATTAAACCCAAAAAGCATAAACATAGCACGGACACACTAATGGAAGAAGGACAAATATAAACTGTAGAATATTTTTTTAAATTTTTTATTTCAGATCAGCACACGTATAAAAGGAGATAAAATAAAATCTTTGTTGAATAGATAAACAAACCTACTTTATAAGTCCTGAGCTAAATACTGAAATAGAAGGATATTGTTGAATGAACGTGGAAATAGGAATGTTATAAAGATACAAAAAAAGGAGAACAAACAGATTGTCTTCCTGCTATCCAACAGTAGTATAATCTTCAATATTTTACCAATAACCAGGTTACCTCTTGTTATGCTTTAAATACACAAATACATCTTGATATATTTTGAATGGGAAATATATATTTTTACCCGTTAATCCGTTTTTTAAGACAAAAAAGGGATTTGTTTACGACAATCTATGATTTAGAAAAATAATTCATAATTGACTCATCTGTGTTATTTTCTTTTACATATCATTTACTTATCTTATGTAACCTCTTTTTGGCAAAAAAAGAAAATATTATCATCGATTCAAAATTTTAAAACTTTTTATCAGGGGATATAACTTTGAAATATAAAGGAATGTACAGCACTTTTCCCTATTTTGGTGTGTAGCAAGATATCGATTACGGTGAACCCCATTTTTTTTTTATTGTCTAAAGCTTATAAGAGCTATCTTGACCTATTTCATTTTAAAATTCTACCTTTTCGTTTTCTTTCTATTCACACAAAAGGGCTTTTAATGTATAATCCATACCACAATTTTGCACAACCTATAGCTTGAAAAAACAGCTTTGTGACTCACACCTTTTCTTATATTCTTAAAAATATCATCATATAAACCACATGTTTGGCAAAGTATGATTCGTTTTTATTGTTCATAATTTAGACTCCATATCTACCCTAATTTCACGATATTATAATTTATTGTTATATATTCATAAAGCTAGAGATATTTTGTTTTTTACACAGCTGTTTCTTTGCATATATATATATATATTCTGTGTTTTCACTTTGAAAAATATTTCATCAAGTGAAAGTTATATATATATTTATAAGTTATCATTGTAAACACAAATGCACTAATTTTTGACAAACTGTATGTATTATTCCGATGATGTTTTACAGTGTTACAAATTATATCATTATTCCTTTGATTATCATTGCATATCTAAGAGTATAAAAAAATCATATTTATCGTATTATGTGTGATACATTTCACCTATTAAGTGAAAGGCATATCCTCCTCTTCCGTATGGTCAATTTCTTGTGGCGTCTTTTCAGGGTTATTTTCAGTTGAGTCAACTTCTTTTGAACTAATACGATCATTTTCAGAAGATACATTGTCTCTTTTAAGTTCATTGTGTGATATAAGTTTCTCCGTGGAACTTGTATCATTTGTTTCCGCATTCACTTCAGTATCAACAACACTTTCTCCTTCCACAACATTTGTTCTTTCGGCTTCCTCGGTTTTTGTTAAATTGTCATTTGCTACATCTTCCTCATTCAAATGTTTTTCTTCTGTTTGGATTCTTTCGGTGGTTTCTTTGGTTTCTTCGTCTTTTACTATATCTCCCGTTTTTGAAATGCCGTCATCATTCATTTCTTGTTCATTCGTTTCGGAATATGGTGTCTTATGTTCATTGGTTTCCGATCCTATCGGAGTATAGCCGTTCATTTCCGAGCCTCGGTTATCATCATGTTCGTTGGTTTCCGAGTTTTTCACAGAACTTTGTTCGTTGGTTTCCGTGAATCTGGTTTCCGAATCCCTAGTTGCAAGTAGTCTTGTATCCGAGTCTCTCATATCATCGTCTGATTCACTTTCATCTTCGGATGACGATGATGAAGATGAAGGCTTTCGCTAAAGGAAAATAAAGAAATGTGCTGATATTACATTTAAGCAAATTACGGTTACAAAACACACATGTCCTTTTATACACCATTATAAAGTTCGTGCCTTTTATAGCCGACTTTCTCATTGTTGACGGTCGTACGGTTGCCTATAACTGCTTATATCCACTTTATTTGAATTTTGTGAATAGTTGTCTCATTGGCAATCTTACCACATCTCTCCTTATTTTTATATTAACATCAGGCAAAGTTGACCCAATTTAGATTTGACCATTTCTATTTTGATCCGTTTTGATCATACAGTCCTTGACGTGTTTATTCATTTTAACATCATTGGCTTTGAAAGTTTTGGATTTGAGCGTTCCGAAAGAAAGGCGATCCAAAAAAAAAAACTCTTCGGCAGCAGCATTTATAAGGTGTTATTTTGTTTTTAGAATTAAATTTACATTTAGCATTTCTAATCTCTCTTATTCATAAAATGCCTTTCGATATATTCATTTCAGAGGAATTTCTTATATAATCAAATCAGTTTGTTTATTTAAGTTGTTACGATAAGTTGATAATAGGAGAGTATGCAAGACCATTTAAAAACACAGCCTTGTTAAATATGTCAAAAAATATGCTATAGAAACAAACTCTAGACAAAAAAATATTTCTTCATAAACCATAAGGTCGATGACACTGCTGATGGAGCTTTCCTCCCCGAGGGTATCACCAGTTCAGTAGTCAGCACTTCGGTGTTGACATGAATTATCATTGATATGGTCGTTATTATAAATTGACTGTTAACAAAACTTATGAATTTTTGAAATACCAATGATTGTCTACCCCAGGGATAGATTACCTTATTTGCATTAGACAAAAAAAAAAAACATTTGGAATGTTGGTTCCTCAATGCTCTTCAACGTCTTTTAAAATTTTTTGATTCGATTGTCACTGATGAGTCTTTTGTAGACGTAATGCGCGTTTGGTGTTCAGAATTTTAATCCTAGTATCTATGATGAGTTTATTCGTTTTTTTTAAGACAGCATTTGTATACATCAGTATCTCGTTCTGAAGGAATTATTGATATGTTTTGTGTACACCATCTTTCTTTCTGTTTGTGTATTCATGTCATTAAAGGTTTCTTATTTAGGAACATTTAAGGTTCACTTTTCATTATCACTTATTCTTTTAAAGAAAAGATCGGTTTGAGATCTATCCAAAAAACATCCTAAATCACAAAATAAAAAAATCGTCTTAATTTCGTAGATGTATTCGTAATCTATTTGTGTACATACGCTTTTCTATATTCCTTTAAAACAAGCTTTCTAATCATTTCGAATAAGAACGTCATCAAAGATACCAGTCTTATAATTCTTGAAGGCCAGATGGTCGTTTCGTCCACACAAGACTTCTCAGTAACACTCAAATCAAAACAGTTTTGACTAAGGCCATATGTGCCTTGGGTAGAAAAAAAAAACATTAGTATTTCGAAAGGTTTTTTTTTTATTTTCTGACAATTAAATTTACAAAAAATACCCGAGACATTCTGTGTCAGCTCGGAGTGTTGGGTACTGGACCGGTGATACCCTCGGAGTCAAGACGTCAACCAGCAATGGTATAGAAAAATGTATAATAGGCTTACAATTTTGTACGCCATACGCACGTTTCGTCTACAAAAGACTCATTGTGACGCTCGAATAGAAAAAGTTAAAAGACCAAAAAAAGGCCCTTAGTGACTGTAAGAGTCATTAAAGAGTTCATACACTAGTAAGCGTTTCGTCAACACAAGACTCAAGAAGGGTCTTTTTCGTCTATTCGTTAATCCTCCAAATCCCAGAAAGGGAATTCATTATAACATATAGATGTTCTGCTTGGACCATTTTGTTTTATTCTCTCAACGTTTAATAGTTTGGCTCTCTAAACTTTCAATGTCGTTCGTATCGAGTTATTGTAAACTCATCGATGATACAAGGATCATAATTTAGTACGACAGATGTGCGTTCCGAAACAGTCGGAAGGCCAAATCAATATCAATCCCTGAGGGTATAACATAGATATAGGAAGATGTGGTATGAGTGCCAATGAGACAACTCTCAATCCAAGTTACAATTTATAAAAGTAAACCATTATAAGTCAAGGTACGGCCTTCAACACGGAGCCTTGGCTCACACCAAACAGCAAGCTATAAAGGGCCCCAAAAATAACTAGTGTAAAACCATTCAAACGGGAAAACCAACGGTCTAATCTATATAAAAACGAGAAACGAGAAACACGTATGAACTACATAAACAGACGACAACTACTGTACATCAGATTCCTGACTTAGGACAGGTGCAAACATTTGCCTCTAGTACCATTGTATCCGTCCCTCTGTCGGTGGACTATCAATTCCTGAGGGTAAAACATGTCCTCTAGTACCATTGTATCCGTCCCTCTGTCGGTGGACTATCAATTCATGAGGGTAAAACATGTCCTCTAGTACCATTGTATCCGTCCCTCTGTCGGTGGACTATCAATCCCTGAGGGTAAAACATGTCCTCTAGTACCATAGGATCCGTCCCTCTGTCGGTGGACTATCAATCCCTGAGGGTATAACATGTCCTCTAGTACCATTGAATCCGTCCCTCTGTCGGTGGACTATCAATCCCCGGGGGTATAACATTTCCTCTACTACCATTGTATCCGTCCCTCTGTCGGTGGATTATTAATCCCCGGGGGTACCATTCACCAAGTAGCAAGAGTTTCGGTACTGGCATCATTTAAATAATATAATTTCTTTTTAAATTTCAAGGTTATCAGTAAATTGAAATAAAATCAAAGTTGAAGTTTCATCATACAAAATAGGATATGTTTTTTTATTTTTCTGGTAAAGCTCTGTTTGTTTCATGCTCTCGAATGTTGTATATTGTTGGCTTTCCAAACCTTTGGAGTCGAACGTAACGGAAGTTTATTCCAGAAACATTAATCATCTTCTTTTGATAAACTGTTTCTATACATCTTTCATATTTCATCCATATAATTTACTATTCAAAGATTTAAGCGTCTATCCCTTCATAACGTATTATTCATATTTCATACATATAATTTACTATTGAAAGATCTAAACGTCTGCCAAACTACTCACATTTTATACATGTTAACTTTTATTGAAATATCTGTTATATAGATACAATGGATAAGCGTGGATTCTTGAAAAAGAAACCATGAGCCCGGAGGGCGAATGGTTTGTTTTTTATGAATCTACGCTTATCCATTGTATCTATAACTTAAACTATTGTGTTAATTTCTTTTCAAAATTAAAGCCTTTTCTTAATTAGAAGGTATTGTAAGTGAGTTTAAATAACCATGTTATCGTGTCTAACGATGCATTGATAAATCTCAGATCACAATTAATTGGTTAACAAAATACAAATATTACACTTCTACCTTTAAAGATCTTTATATTATCAGGCATCTGAATATTATCTGTTTTTACAAAATAAGACATATTCGAACTTATTTCTAATAAAATTGAGAATGGAAATGGGGAATGTGTCAAAGAGACAACAACCCGACTAAAGAGTATATATAAAGTATATATAATAAGTATGTTACCGAAATTTCTAGCACTCTAGGCACATCACGATTTTCTCGCATAGGAATTTGCGAACAAACATTTGTAAAATTATGTAGTAAAACAGATGAAATCATACTATATTTATACAACAAAAATTGACAAATAGAATGTAATCATTTTTGTTTCAAACATGTGAAATAGTCAATAATAATCCCAAAAATAAACGGTAAAACTCGCTATTATAACAAAAATATCCACTATAACATGCAAAATTAGAAGAAAAAAAACAGAATTGGGACAACAGAGATAATACAGGGATTCGAACCTATACCGACAAATCCCTATCTTTTAACTCTTTGATTTTAAGCATGCTAACCTCGCGGCTACCAACTTATACTATACGACTGCCCATTGTGTATATATAAAGGTACAACCCCTGTGTGTCCGATGTTCATTTATATATATATATAACAGACATCTAAGTTGTAACCCATTGGTAGCCGAGAGGTTTTGTCGATATTATGATGTCAGTCATTCATAACAGATTTCAAGGAAGGGTTCGATTCCCAGTGAAGGCATATACAAATTACAAAAATTAAAGGTAAGTTTTTAAATTAATTCCATTAGTGAACAGAAATCAGCAACTTAGCCAATTCAAACTTAATGAAATTAGACACACAAAGGAAACAATTGACTATAATTTGGTGAGTCTATTTCAGCGGCAGATTTAGGAAGCGTTGATTCTAGAAAAAGAATCCACGGTAAATGAATAGGCTGACGTCACCACAATGGTTTAATTACGTCTACCACTTCATATTTTATACGTTATTAACTATTCAATGATCTGGAGAATTACCCCTTCATACTTTATACATGTGTTTTACTTTTTAAAGATAAGCAATATAACTTACTTCCTTCCCCTCATTGCTCGTAGTATTTGCAATCATCAAATCTTTCATACGTCCACTAGATTCTCTCGACTGTGGTATTTCCTGTTCTGGAGATTTTTCACCTGAATCATTTTGGTGAAATGATTGAGGTCGGTCATAATCTTGCTTTTTATTTGTATTGTTGTCTGAATATTGGGATTTTGGTCTATTATGTTCAGATAGATTTGATTTCTTGGACTTTAGCATTGTGTCTTCTCGATCTTTCTGGTCAATAAGCGACGGGTTAGTTTTCTCGGCATTTAGCATTGTGTCTTCTCGATCTTTCTGGTCAATAATCGACGGGTTAGATTTCTCGGACTTTATCATTGTGTCTTCTCGATCTTTCTGGTCAATAATCGACGGGTTAGAATTATTATCCTTCAGTATAGTATCTTCTTGCTCACTCAGGTCAGTAGATGGCGATAGAGAAAGGTCAGATTTCTCTGATTTAATCTTCATTATTGTGTCGTCTCTGTCTTTTTGGTGAATGGACGACGGTCGAGGAGTTATAACCACTACATTGTCATTATTTAAAGGTTTCTTCTTTTCGAATTGTACAAATTCTGTACCCGTGTCAACTGATGATGCACATCCCATTGTGAAGTTTATCTATGGAAAATATAAGTGAGATTTCAAATTATAGTTACTACTGGGATGAAATTGTCCATATCTATACATTAAAAATATATGCTTCTTATTTATTCAGAAACATACAACATTAATTCATTTTTTTTTTATCTTTATCATGTATGTAAAATCATCAAACAAGAAATAGAATGTCCAGCATAAACAATCATGAAATAAAGGTTTACATCCCTAACGCCATTTTGAATTTGTCCTGTAAAGTTACTAGGCATATGTGATCATATGTTCGATGAAATACCGATCTCAGATTTCGTTTTATTTGTTGTCGTTAGTTCACTGTCTGACTGATGTATACTCAATATCTACTTTTATTAAACTTAATGTTGGCGGTTTAACCATAAAAGGAGGTCAAAGTGAGGTGCCTTTTTTCAGACCGATATATGAACTACACAATGATTCCAAGCTTTAAATGTAATTGAGCTATACTCGTAGGAGATATAAATAAAAATGACAACCTTATCAAGAAGATGCAACTTCTACTTTGTGAGATGCTGAACAATGGAAATGAGATCGAATATTGGTGACATGTGACCATAAAACATCTATCTACACGTATATACAATTCGAATTTTCTAACTATTTAACTTTCTGAAATATTGAGTTTTTTAAAATTAGTTAAAGTCGTAACCGCCATTGGATTATCCTATCATTGATTCGCATTTTGCAACAAAAAAAAAGGACAAGGAAAACTCAACCAATGTACTTACTGTCATGGAAATAATAAAAGTTTCAATACTCCATATGCAAGTTCTGCTAGAATGTTGCTAAATAGAACTGGAAAGTTTACAATAGGAAAGATGAAATCACTTCTTTGTCATAAAGTTTAGTTTTGTGGATAATTGTCTCATTGGCAAACATACCAAATCTTATTTTTGTATAGTTCTTTGACCTTTTTTGTCAATTTCTAGACGCAAGGTAGATTTAACTGTATCTGTGGTATCCTTTATCTTAAGTTCGATAAACAGAGTAACATTTAATGCATCGACAGGGTAAGCATTCATGTTAAACTTGTAATATGCAATAGTGCTCCGTGTTAATGGCAGTGAGACAAGAGAGTAAATCTAGGACCAATAAGAGAGTATGCATGTATCTTGTATGTTGTAGTGTTCCGTATGATTGGCAGTGAGACAAGAGAGTTAATGTAGGACCAATGAGAGAGTATGCATGTATCTTGTATGTTGTATGTTGTAGTGTTCCGTATGATTGGCAACGAGACAAGATAATAAATGTAGAACCAATGAAAGCGTTTGCATGTATCTTGTGTGCTGTAGTGTTCCGTGTTAATGGCAGCGAGACAAGAGGGTTAATGTAGGACCAATGAGAGAGTAAGCATGTATCTTGAATGCTGTAGTGTTCCGTGTTAATGACAGTGAGAAAAGAGAGTAAATGTAGGACCAATGGTAGATATGCATGTATATCTTGTATGCTGTAGTGTTCCGTGTTAATGGCAGTGAGAAAAGAGAGTAAATGTAGGACCAATGAGAGAGTAAGCATGTATATTGTATGCTGTAGTGTTCCGTGTTAATGGCAGTGAATAAAGAGAGTAAATGTAGGACCAATGATAGATATGCATGTATCTTGTATGTTGTTGTGTTCCGTGTTAATGGCAGTGAATAAAGAGGGTAAATGTAGGACCAATGAGAGAGTAAGCATATATCTTGTATGCTGTAGTGTTCCGTGTTAATGGCAGTGAGACAAGAGAGTAAATGTAGGACCAATGAGAGAGTAAGCATATATCTTGTATGTTGTAGTGTTCCGTGTTAATGGCAGTGAGACAAGAGAGTAAATGTAGGACCAATGAGAGAGTAAGCATATATCTTGTATGTTGTAGTGTTCCGTGTTAATGGCAGTGAGACAGGAGAGTAAATGTAGGACCAATGAGAGAAAGCATAAATCACAGAACAGTGAGTCACAGATGACTATGTATATGTTCCAATTGTCGTAACAACTATCCAGTCCTCTTTTCCTCGAATGTGGCACTCACTGATCACCAAGCGTGTACCTACATGAGCAAAACGACGGATGCCATTTGTGGATCAGGATCTGCTTACCCTTCAGGAGCACCTGAGATCACCCCCCCCCCCCCCCCTAGCTTTTTTTGGTGGGGTTCGTGTTGCTCAGTTTTTACTTTTCTGTGTTGTGTTTAGAATGCTGATGTTTAAACGTGTTTTGATCGTATTTAGTTTTTTGCCATGAAGTTTTTAGTTTGTCTTCAACTTTTTATTATATTTGTTCCCTGTCATCACAACAGAAACTTGTGTAAAACAAATGTTTTCTAGAGCAGAATACAAACATGAAACAAACATTGCTTTTTCTCTTGAATTGTTTCGTTTTATTATATAAGTGCCTTTCATAGCTTACTATATGGTGTAGTTTGGCTCGTTTTTGTTAGGCCGATTGGTCACCAGTAATTGAGCACATCTTTGTCGTTTGGTCTTTATGTAGTCTCATTGGGAATCATATCACATCTAATTCTTGTTATCGGTAGTACATGTTGCAACAAAACTTACGAATTCCTAAAATCGAAAGTAAAGAAACTAGTTACTTTGATTCATTAAAAAAAATCCCATTAATTCATTGTTGATTGTGTAACATCGAATTAAATATATTACAATGGAGGTTGTATTAAAGTTGTATACCTATTATAGTGTATCATCTGAACTTTGTAATTCATTTGGAAGCTTTCCCTTAACTTAACTTGTTAAATGAGATTCTAAAATTCTCTTTTTTTACTTGTGTGGTTGTAAAATATTAAAATCCTACCTTCTCTTGTTAACGTTATAAAGTTTTACTTAATTATTTGGTATATATATTCACCTCTTAATCTCAACACAAGAATAACATTCTAATGAAAGATTAACAAACGGAATGTGTAATCGATCTTATTAAACTGTTATAAGCATTTCATTTTATAGAATATTAATCTATTTCAGAAAGGGTTCAATCAGGTTTTCAAGTACTTGTAGACGTTTAAATAGTTATTAATAAAGAATTCCCCAAAAAAAAAATGATTTAAAAAAATATTTAAAACGTTGGCTTTGACGGTAAAACTCTTCCTATGTTAACGTTGGCTTTGAGTCAATGACGGTAAAAATTTCCCTATGTTATAACGTTGGCTTTGACGGTAAAACTCTCCCTATGTTAACGTTGGCTTTGACGGTAAAACTCTCCCTATGTTAACGTTGGCTTTGACGGTAAAACTCTCCCTATGTTAACGTTGGCTTTGACTGTAAAACTCTCCCTATGTTAACGTTGGCTTTGACGGTAAAGGTATAGAACCACTAATTAAGGCCCGGTCGGAAAGAACATACAAGAAAGTAGTACATATTTTAAACAAAATAGTTCCTACGCATAGCTGTATCTTTGTCAATAGGTGGAATATTTGGGTAGTTTTGGTATCAAATGAAAGCTTGGGGACTTGGGATCACTGTAGAACCCGTGTTGAAAGTTTATTTTGAATAATAAAGAAGTATATACAATTTTAATAGGAGGGCACATTTGCCCTGTTGTTCAGATCAGAAGTACCTGTTTTTGTACTATCAAACTTCCGGGAACCAGTACGCTCTAAAATGCAATTAAAGGTATGTTGAATTTTTCAGCACAAGTCAGAATAAGGTATAGTTTTGACATGAAATAACTGCTACTTTATTTGAACTTAAGACAAATTAGCCATTAATGCTTGAAATTGCAGAATTTAACATAGAAAGCAATGGGGCTATGAATTAGTGGTTTTATACCTATTACTGAAAGGCATGTGAAATTCTATTTTTAGAAATGACACCCTTTACAATGAAAATTAGTCACATTTGTTGTCAGTAATCATGTTACATTATTTTTTTTATGTAACAATTATGTTGGTGTCAAATTACAACCCTCAAATTGCTACAATAAGGTATATCAGCCTTTTTTGATCATTTAGCATGCACACAGTTAAGATTTTACCTGATGTTTGAATTTTTGCATTACCTAAGACTGAAACCAATGAAACATGTACATTATGACTAGTTAATAGTATAAATATTGCTTTTGGTCAAATTATCTAGTGAGTGTTCATGTTATATTGGGTTTCTTAGTGAATCATTTATTTCAAATGAAATTGATGTATACTTATATAGGATTTCCCAAATCTCACTTGAAATGCATTTTATAACCAGTTTAGCAAGTTGTCTAACTGGGAGATACATAAATTGCTCTTGTTGATCCATGTTTATACATAAAAGTATGGTTTTTACCAAATCACTCTCCTTTTTCAACATGTAGAAAAAAGGGGGGTCAAAATTATCTATTATTTTTTTTATGTTTGGACCACTGTATTTATATTCAAGGAAGAATCTTTGATAAAAATAAGACAGATATGTAAGGACACTGTTATTTGAGTAGATATTAACAAATAAGAACTGGTAAACATTGAAAAAGTGTCATATCTGTCACTATTAGTATCCATATGGAGTTTTCTTTGTATAACGCATATATTACTACCAGTCCAATTTGAGCTTGAATTTAGTGATATTGTGTTTTGACTAAAGCTTTATGTGTTTTTCTATGCTAGAAATAGATCATAGAAGGAAATTAAGTCAAGCAGAAGTCAATATAACAAGTTAGGTGCTGTTATAGGTATAGAACCACTAATTAAGGCCCGGTCGGAAAGAACATACAAGAAAGTAGTACATATTTTAAACAAAATAGTTCCTACGCATAGCTGTATCTTTGTCAATAGGTGGAATATTTGGGTAGTTTTGGTATCAAATGAAAGCTTGGGGACTTGGGATCACTGTAGAACCCGTGTTGAAAGTTTATTTTGAATAATAAAGAAGTATATACAATTTTAATAGGAGGGCACATTTGCCCTGTTGTTCAGATCAGAAGTACCTATTTTGTACTATCAAACTTCCGGGAACCAGTACGCTCTAAAATGCAATTAAAGGTATGTTGAATTTTTCAGCACAAGTCAGAATAAGGTATAGTTTTGACATGAAATAACTGCTACTTTATTTGAACTTAAGACAAATTAGCCATTAATGCTTGAAATTGCAGAATTTAACATAGAAAGCAATGGGGCTATGAATTAGTGGTTTTATACCTAAAACTCTCCCTATGTTAACGTTGGCTTTGACGGTAAAACTCTCCCTATGTTAACGTTGGCTTTGACGGTATGTTAACGTTGGCTTTGGTGCTTTAGTCTATCACTTGTAAGCCTTGGTTTTGATACTCTTTCTTTTTAAAAATAATAATTTTCGCTTTAAAACTTTTGGCTTTGAGCTTACCTAAAGAAGTTCATTTAAATAAAAATATCGAGCGTACTAAAATGTGCATTTCGTCTGATCAATTGATATCCTTTATAATACTAACACTGGTCTATTTACCGCAGACCCTACAAACCTACATTTAAATCCAAACTTCTGTCTAAGCATTCGATATAATTCATTTCAAATTTAATTAATAACGTCAGGTTGGAATGGCGATGTTTTTTCTGTTGAACCATGTAGGATGAGTGTCACGCTCTCTGCACGTTAAAATATCCTTGCAACAACTATCTAGGGGCCGTAAGTAGCCCTTTGTAAGGCAAAACTTCTGCCCTCATTTTCAAGTGGCAGACTCAATT